AATGTCGGGAAGTGGGAGGAGAGAAAGAATTATATTTTAAATGTTGCAATGCTCATGTTACACGGAAACTTTTATGAAGCGTAAGTTTCTTGGGCGGGGAGGGCCGGTGTGATGGCTAGTACCACACAGACACCTGTACAGGCAACACACAGGAGGAAGTGTGATACACAGCTGTGTACGTATATATAGATATATATATATTCCACTGTATATACAGTGTATATAATATACATTCACACCTGACCTTCTGAGCATCGCCCACCGTTCAGTATCTGCCTCTGTTGCCCACCTCAAGCTTCATATCAGAGGTATTTAGTATTTTGTTTCTCTCTCTCTCTCTCTCCATATTGACTGCGATGACCTTAGGGCCACACTTTTTATACATGGTACATCTTGTTGAAGACGTACTATATCCTGTTACCGTCGGTCTTCATGTACTGTATCCTGCCGTGGTGCCTCGAGCATCCACAAAGTCAACATTTCAAAGTTGCTTTTGATTAATTGGTGGAAAAAAAGGTTGAAAGGTGTTACTATATCCATTATGTGTGTCGAGTTCTTGTCATGTAACAGAGCCGATACATGCCTGGCAGAGCATCAGGCAGGACACATGTGCCTGGCAGAGCATCAGGGAGGTCACATGTGCCTGATAGAGGATCAGGGAGGACACAGGTGTCTGGTAGAGGATCAGGGAGGACACATGTGTCTGGTAGAGGATCAGGGAGGACACAGGTGTCTGGTAGAGGATCAGGGAGGACACATGTGTCTGTTAGAGGATCAGGCAGGACACATGTGTCTGGTAGAGGTTCAGGGAGGACACATGTGTCTGGTAGAGGATCAGGAAGGACACATGTGTCTGGTAGAGGATCAGGGAGGACACATGTGTCTGGTAGAGGATCAGGGAGGACACATGTGTCTGGTAGAGGATCAGGCAGGACACATGTGTCTGGTAGAGGATCAGGGAGGACACATGTGTCTGGTAGAGGATCAGGGAGGACACATGTGTCTGGTAGAGGATCAGGGAGGACACATGTGTCTGGTAGAGGATCAGGGAGGACACATGTGTCTGGTAGAGGATCAGGGAGGACACATGTGTCTGGTAGAGGATCAGGGAGGACACATGTGTCTGGTAGAGGATCAGGGAGGACACATGTGTCTGGTAGAGGATCAGGGAGGACACAGGCGTCTGGTAGAGGATCAGGGAGGACACAGGCGTCTGGTAGAGTATCAAGCAGGACACAGGCGTCTGGTAGAGTATCAGGCAGGACACAGGTGTCTGGTAGAGTATCAGGCAGGACACAGGTGTCTGGTAGAGTATCAGGCAGGACACAGGTGTCTGATAGAGTATCAGGCAGGACACAGGTGTCTGATAGAGTATCAGGCAGGGCGTCTGGTAGAGTATCACAGGACACATGTCTGGTAGAGTATCAGGCAGGACACAGGTGTCTGGTAGAGTATCAGGCAGGACACAGGTGTCTGGTAGAGTATCAGGCAGGACACAGGTGTCTGGTAGAGTATCAGGGTGGGTAGAGTATCAGGCAGGACACAGGTGTCTGGTAGAGTATCAGGCAGGACACAGGCATCTGGTAGAGTATCAGGCAGGACACAGGTGCCTGGTAGAGTATCAGGCAGGACACAGGCGTCTGGTAGAGTATCAGGCAGGACACAGGCGTCTGGTAGAGTATCAGGCAGGACACAGGTGTCTGGTAGAGTATCAGGCAGGACACAGGTGTCTGGTAGAGTATCAGGCAGGACACAGGTGCCTGGTAGAGTATCAGGCAGGACACAGGTGTCTGGTAGAGTATCAGGCAGGACACAGGTGTCTGGTAGAGTATCAGGCAGGACACAGGTGTCTGGTAGAGTATCAGGCAGGACACAGGTGCCTGGTAGAGTATCAGGCAGGACACAGGTGCCTGGTAGAGTATCAGGCAGACACAGAGAGTATCAGGCAGGACACAGGTGTCTGGTAGAGTATCAGGCAGGACACAGGTGTCTGGTAGAGTATCAGGCAGGACACAGGTGTCTGGTAGAGTATCAGGCAGGACACAGGTGTCTGGTAGAGTATCAGGCAGGACACAGGTGCCTGGTAGAGTATCAGGCAGGACACAGGTGTCTGGTAGAGTATCAGGCAGGACACAGGCGTCTGGTAGAGTATCAGGCAGGACACAGGTGCCTGGTAGAGTATCAGGCAGGACACAGGCGTCTGGTAGAGTATCAGGCAGGACACAGGCGTCTGGTAGAGTATCAGGCAGGACACAGGTGTCTGGTAGAGTATCAGGCAGGACACAGGCGTCTGGTAGAGTATCAGGGAGGACACATGTGTCTGGTAGAGTATCAGGCAGGACACAGGTGTCTGGTAGAGTATCAGGCAGGACACAGGTGTCTGGTAGAGTATCAGGCAGGACACAGGTGTCTGGTAGAGTATCAGGCAGGACACAGGTGTCTGGTAGAGTATCAGGCAGGACACACACTATGAACCAGACTCACAAAGGCTCGAGCGACGATCATAATTTTTTTTATAAATAAAGTCGTAGATAATTGACCTAACTGTTTGACTTAGGATAAATTTGAGATTATCGTACGTTCATAGTCATTATACGTTATTGCCATTGTACGTTCATAGTCATCGTACATTCATAGTATTTGTATGTTTATAGTCATTGTACGTTCATAGTCATTGTACGTTCGTTCATTGTACGTTGATAGTCATTGTACGTTCGTTCATTGTACGTTGATAGGCATTGTACGTTCAGTCATTGTACGTTCAGTCATTGTACATCCATATTCATTGTACGTTGATAGTCATTGTATGTTGATAGTCATTGTACGTTCAGTCATTGTACGTTTATAGTCATTGTATGTTTAAGGTCACAATACGTTTATAGACATTGTACGTTCAGTCATTGTACGCTCATTCATTGTACGTTCAGTCATTGTACATTCAGTCATTATGCGTTCAGTCATTGTACGTGCATATTCATTGTACGTTCAGCCATTGTACGTTTAGTCATTGTATGTTGATAGTCATTGTACAGTCAGTCATTGTACGTCTAGTCATTGTACGTTGTTTTTCATTGTACGTTCAGCTATTGTACAGTCATAGTCATTATACGTTGATAATCATTGTATGTTCCATTGTACATTCAACCATTGTACGTGCAGTCATTGTACGTTGATAGCCATTGTACGTTCAGTCATTGTTCATTCAACCAATGTACATTCAGTCAGTGTACGCTGATAGTCATTGTACGTTCAATCATTGTACATTCATAGTCATTGTACGTTGATAGTCATTGTACGTTCATAGTCATTGTACGTTCATAGTCATTGCACGTTCAGTCATTGTACGTGCATAGTCATTGTACGTTGATAGTCATTGTACGTGCATAGTCATTGTACGTTGATAGTCATTGTACGTTCAGTCATTGTACATTGATAGTCATTGTACGTTCAGTCATTGTGCATTTATAGTCATTGTACGTTGATAGTCATTGTACGTTCAGTCATTGTACGTTGATAGTCATTGTACGCTCAGTCATTGTGCATTCATAGCCATTGTACGTTCATAGTCATTGTACGTTGATAGTAAATGTACGTCGATAGTCATTGTACGTTCAGTCATTGTACATTCATAGTCATTGTATGTTGATAGTCATTGTATGTTAATAGTCATTTTACGTTGATAGTCATTGTACATTCACCTGAGACAACATAAACGACAAGCTGTAGTGTTAAGACTGTGACGTTGTGTTGTAACTGGTGTGTGTTGAGGCAGCAGCAGAGACTGTTAATGGACTTTTTTTTTCATAGAGAAAGGAGGGGTGAAAGAAGATTAGAGGGGGGAGGAAGGAAGTTATAGTCCGGAAATTGAAAAAGTTTATGGGGAGGTAAGAGAGGGCGGGCTGACAGCCTAGCTAAGCTAATAGTGTGTTAGGGTTGTGTCATGGGTTAGTCATGGGTGTTTTAAGGGCCTTATTTCATATTCCGCCGACCCTACTGGCGGATGTTGGTCTAGGGAGGTTGTCTATTGCCTGGCAGTGTTGATCGGGGGTGGTAATGGACCTTTTGAGATTTGGTAACTTTTTGGGAACCATGTATGGTTGTTGTCGTTATCTGGTGGGAGTCTTTGAAGGAGTTCTTGCTCTGATCGTTCTATCTTTTGCCAGATTCTGCTGGCCAGGGTGTGCAGCTGCTGGTTGATGGGTTTCATTCTCAGGTCTCTATGTATATCGGCTGTGGTTCTGGTGAAGAGGTATCTTTCACCTGTGACGATTTTAATATTTGAGTGGTGCTCATAGTATGAAGAGGTATTGCTGGGTTAGTTAATATCGGTGTGATAAATGATGTCACTAGGCGGAGTTTTATTTTCTTAGGAAGCGCTTTAAAGTGGTATAGTTTTTTCAGCTCTCTTTTTGCTTTTTCCTTCCTGATGTGGAATGGAGGTAGTGAAGCCGTATTTGGGGGAGGGGTGGGGGGGGGGGAGTAATTTATTGCTGTGGCTCAGGTTAGTCTGTTGAAAGTGCTTCTCTGTCACACGAGCGGTAAAGTAAAGTTTCACATTGGGTATTTTCAATCTCCATAATGTCTGGGGATAAACCTATGTACAGTATGTAGTTAATTTATTACTCTAATCTAAGCTTTGGTTCATAAGGAGTGCGGAGGTTGAGTGGATATACTACTCGCGTCCTGTTTCAGGGGTTAGTGGTTCGATACCCAAGCATTTCTAGTTCGCCAAGCAGTAAATGGGTACTTAAGTTTACAAATTCGGGAAGTGAATGCGGTCGAGTGAAGTACCGGCCATGCTGCCTCCTTGTGTACAGAAGGCCTAGAATTACAGTGTGCCGTATCCATACTGTACCCATGGGCCCAATTTACACATAACATAGCGGGAACATTTGATATACAGACCTATAATAATTAGGACCTTAAGTAAACATCTTAGAGCCAGTATTCACATTCTCCAGCAGTAAAATAAAACGGTGGCTGCCTGACGCTGCGAAATTATGATGGACTACACCAAGTACATGAACGCCGTGGCCAAGAACCGTCAACCAATGCTCATCGCTGAATTCTGCAAGTCTTTAACAAACTATTATGATAATGAGTATATAATAATAATGACAACAATAATAATAATAAAATATATTCAACAAACGGAATCATTATTCTTTATTAATTAAGAGAAACATGAAAAAATTAATGAGGATGTGTGTGTGTGTGTGTTACTAATGAAGGTATATTTGTAACAGTTAAGCTACAGCAGAAGGCAGAGGAGGACGTGGTGTTCCTGGCAACGGGGTCGCCCAGCCCTGACACCTTTCCTATCCTGAGCGGTTCACTACAGATGAAGGACGGACGCTCCATTGCCCTCACCCCTGAGAAGATGGCCTGCTGTCTCCAGTACGGCCCTACACCAGGGTACGTCCAAACACATTACTTTATCCTGTTTGCCACTGATGGTTCGTTAGCAGGCAGGGCGATCAGTCACGTCTCTGTTACGCACTGTTGGCACGGACTGGGCATGAACTCGACTCCAGGATGTATCTGTACCTGCTCCAGTGTTGGTCAAGTCTGGCATTGAATGAGCTTACACTCGGTGGCTTCTTCAACCTTATGTTGTGACCTCCAATGGGGCGGGCATCCGCCAGCTCCAGATATGGACACTCGACTGAGTAATGTCGTCTGAGGCATAAGCCAGGCAGTTGCAGGTACTTTGATCTCTCAGGGTAACCGAAGTGCCGTAACGTAGGCACCAGTCTGGTGGCCCCCCTTTGAACGTTTTGAATCAACTGAAAGTCTCTCGCATATCTCAGGGACCAGACGAGTTGACAGTACTCCAGACGGGGAAGACTCCGAGGAGCCGTGGCTAGTGTCGGTGTCAGATATAATTTCCACTCTCCAGTCATGGTCATACGTGCAATTTGCACTCCCCCAGTCATACGGGGCGACAGAACTAGCTTTGTATATGACCCAGTTAAAAATATTTAGCCTTATCCAGCTTTGTATAATTATGATATAGAGATCCACATGTTCCACTTATTTATTATGCAAAGTCAAGATTATGTATATATTTAGATTAGGTTAGGTAAGGTTGGAGTCACAGGATATTCGGCGAGGCAATGTTGACATTCTTGGTGTCCTGAGACTTGAGAGGAGGACGAGGAAGGCACAAGACGTCGGCGGGGTCATGGGCGTGGGACAGTGCCGGAGTTGTGAAATGTCAGGGAGTTGATGTCTTCTTCGTGGTATTTTAATAACATAGGTATATCTCGTCCTACAGGTACCCTCCTCTGTTGCAACAACTGGCAGACCTCACACAGAGACACCACTCACCCCCTCGATGGCATGACACCGACCTGTTAGTGACGAGCGGCAGCCAGAGTGGATTACTGATGACCATGGAGATGATGATTACCGCAGGAGACTACGTGCTTGTGGAAGAACCTTGTTATACCGGCGCTCTCTCTATTGTGAGCACCTCCATTTTGTGTTTTTCATCACCTTGGACTATAAAACAAATTAATACGAAGTGAATAACTTTATGATATCGAGATTTTTATTCATATAATGGAATTATTTCCGTGTCATAACGTAATGTATCACTTATTTTTACTTATATACCCTGGCAGTTAAACCCTTTCTGTCCGCGGTACCTGGCGGTGCAGTGTGACCAGGCTGGGCCACTGCCGGAGTCCCTGAGGGCAGCCCTGAAACCCTGGGCACCTGATAACCAACACAACCGCTGCCCTGATCCGCCCCCGAAGGTGAGGTGACGACCCTAACATAATTTAACCTAACCCTAAATATAAGCTAACCTAACTTGACCAAGAAATAAACTAACCTAACCCAACCTACATTACCCTACCCTACCCTACCCTACCCAGACCTTATTGATAACGAAATATTTTTACTCCGTTGATCCACAGTTCCTCTACACAGTCCCGACAGGATCTAACCCGACAGGGACAGTGACTACGGCTAAGAGACGTCGGGAGATCTACAACATTGCCCGAGAGTACGACATTCTTATCCTCGAGGACGACCCTTACTACTTCCTTCAGTACGACCACCAAGAGGTATGTATGTTAGGCTAGGATTTGTTCACTTATGTCTTATCGTATGCCAATATATAATATAAATAATAATGGTTACCCCTCGTGTAACAAGGATGGCCGACCCAAGGGCCACCTAGAATTTGTTTAAGGTGTAAAAGCTGTCGCCAACACAACAACCACACCTTAAGTTAATGAGCTGCATGACCCAGTATCAAGGAATAGTCCGAGAAGACCGGACAACTCGCCAACTGCATTGGCTAACCATTACACCGGAACACAATCCCCAAGTCTATTAACATCCAGGTACCCAATTACTGCTGGGTAGACAGAGGCAAATGGCGTAAAGAAACTTGCCCATATGTACACTATAACACACATACATTATAACGCACATACATACACTATAACACACATACATACGCACAAACATACACTATAATACAAACTTACACAATAACACACATACACAGGTTGGTGAGGAAGTGTATTATGTGTGTGTGTGTTTGTGTGGCCATCAAGCTCTTGCACCAAACATCTGAGGACACTGCCGTCTATCCCTGGTCAAATGCCTGTTTACTCTTGTTTTATACCTGTACTGTCCAGGAAGTGTACGTATACATTAGAAACTATAACGCCACGGTCTATGTCTACACACAAACACACACATGCTGAGGTGTATGTTTGGAAGTGCATAGTTTATATACATGTTAAACCGATTGTCAACTTGTATGATGATTTTCCTGGATATTATTATTATTTGTAGTAGTAGTAATAGTCGTAGTAATAGTCTCTATATTATACTTGTAATATACTGTATTTTACCTTGTTCGTATTCATACTGTCTGTGTACGTTGTTTGTATACCTATGCCGTCTAGGTACCGGGGTACATGTATGTATGTATGTATGTCTAACAGTCTCCATACACACAGCTCCCCAGTTATCTGTCTCTCGACGTGGATGGTCGAGTACTCCGGTTCGACTCCTTCTCGAAGGTGGTGTCAGCCGGGCTAAGGGTGGGCTTTATCACGGGCCCTCGACCTCTCCTGGCCAAGATTAACTTACACAAGGGAGCCACCATGATCAGCAGCTCCTCCCTCTCCCAGGTCAGCCTCTCTCTCTCTCTCTCAAGTTCAATGCGTTTAAGGAAAGCTTTTTTTTTATTGGGCACCCCCTACATCCTGTGTAAGGTGAAGCGCCTACAGCACCCAACAGGGAAGCATGCTAAGTCATAGGTTTATGTCATCATGTTATTGTCAGCTCCAACAACTCCCTGAATACGAATTCGCAACTTTTCGATTTACAGCAGGTACCTACTTTACTGCTAGGTGAACAGGGACCAAGGGCTAGGAAGTATGTCCAAACAACTTTCCACCGGCCGGGAAATCGAACCCGTGACATCTCGCTTGCGAGGCAAGAGTGGTACCGCTCTACCACCGGCGCCCCTTAGGAAAGGTTATGGTGTAAATACTGAAAAAAGGTCATCAATAGTGACCTGACCTTTGAACTAACTGTCTGTAGATTCAGCTTCGCCCTAGGGAGCACGGAAGCTAGTTAACTGGGCATCCCCTTTACATCCTGTGTGAGGTGAAACACAGCGTCCAACAGGGAAGCACCGGAGTTCATGCTGTTTGTCTTGTTATATTTAGATGACGGGCGACAAGAGTACCCCGAAGGGCCAGTTTAGTTAGGTTAGGTTACAGGTAGGTTAGGTTAGGTTACCTGTATATAGGGAGAATTACCTGTATAGTTCATCTGTTTATGACAACAAGGGGCAGGACTGTCCCTAGGAGGAGGGATATTTGGAGAGGAAGGGATGTGGCCACGGTGGGGGTGGAGGGAGGGTGGCCACGGTGGGGGTGGAGGGGAGGGAGGGTGGCCACTGTGGGGTGGAGGGAGGATGGAGGGAGGTGGCCACGGTGGGGTGGAGGAGGGTGGCCACTGTGGGGTGGAGGGAGGGTGGCCACGGTGGGGGTGGAGGGAGGGTGGCCACGGTGGGGGTGGAGGGAGGGTGGCCACTGTGGGGTGGAGGAGGGTGGCCACTGTGGGGTGGAGGGAGGGTGGCCACTGTGGGGTGGAGGTGGCCACGGTGGGGGTGGAGGGAGGGTGGCCACTGTGGGGTGGAGGGAGGGTGGCCACGGTGGGGTGGAGGGAGGGTGGCCACGTGGGGGGTGGCCACTGTGGGGTGGAGGGAGGGTGGCCACTGTGGGGTGGAGGGAGGGTGGCCACGGTGGGGGTGGAGGGAGACACAAAACGATCAGAGCAAGAACTCCTTCAAAAACTCTCACCAGATAACGACAACAACCATACATGGTTCCCAAAAAGTTACCAAATCTCAAAAGGTCCATTACCACCCCTGATCTATACGGCCAGGCAATAGACAACCTCCCTAGACCAGCATCCGCCAGTAGGGTCGGCGGAATATGAAATAAGACCCTCAAAACACCCATATATGGGATAGGATAGGATGTCTAGTGCTGTACCGACAGACAGTAACTAACCCATGACACACCATCAGATTAGCTTAGGCGGTCAGCCCGCCCTCTCTTACCTCCTCCTAAATTTCTTCAATTTCCGAACTATAACTTCCTTCCCCCACCTCTAATCTCCTTTCACCCCTCCTTTCTCTACGAAAAAATAAATTGAGTGGTGAGGAAGCGTCAGGGGGTTCCAGGGGTCAGAGGGGGTGTTGAAGGTTCACATGTCGTCCCCGGGTCTACTAAGAGGGACTACTCAAGGACTACTTCGGGATGAGCCACGAGAGGGTATAGCTTGGCCAAAGGGTGTCAATGGCCAGGCTGTCGGGGAGTAGTGGGTGGGTGGCTGACATGGCCCTGGGGAGAGTGGGAGGGGGTGGGGGGAGGGGAGGTTATTAAGGTCAGACCAGCTGTGTCCTGGTGTGCGGTGATGGGGAGGGGTTGGTGGGGGTTTCATCCTTTAACCTCTGTGATGATCCTTGACCTCTGTTGACCTCCAGGTGGTGCTGAATGAGCTGTTGACAATGTGGGGAGAAGATGGTCTGCGAAGCCACATACAACAGCTCAGGTCTTACTACAAGGCCCAACGAGACGCCTTTATTACCTCTGCCTCCATTTATTTATCTGGTGAGTCTCTCTCTCTCTCTCTCTCTCTCTCTCTCTCTCTCTCTCTCTCTCTCTCTCTCTCTCTCTCTCTCTCTCTCTCTCTCTCTCTCTCTCATACTGTTGAAACTAATCAACTTTCTCTGCGTTCTGAATCTTTCCGTAGTCATGACGTGTCAACTATAATGCCCCATGTATTGAACAACAAAACTGTAATCCCACACTGTATTTCTATAACAATTTCTGTACCATTCTGTATCCCTCTGTTCCACCAGGTGTGTGTGAGTGGTCTGTACCCTTGGCCGGTATGTTTCTGTGGCTCAAGGTAAGAACAACTCATTAACAAAATCATCATAAAAAAACTGAACAATACAATCGCTAGTATTAGGTTAAGTTAGGTTAGGTTAGGTTAGGTTTGGTTAGGTTAGGTTAAGTTAAGTTAGGTTAGGTTAGGTTTGGTTAGGTTTAAGTTATGTTAGGTTTAGGTTAGGTTAAAATAAGTGACTTTGTTAATACATGTACCAGGTATGTGTGTGTGAGTGAGTTATTACCTGACCCATATAACACAACACAGGTACCAGGTGTGTCGGATACCAGGAAGATGATACTCCAACGGGGACTAGAGAAGAAGGTCATGTTAATACCTGGACAAGGATTCATGGTGGATTCCTGTAAGCCCTCTCAGTACCTCAGGGCATCATTCTCTACTGTCAGCCCAGAGTTGATGGATAAGGTAAGGATTCTTTTTTAGAGCTTAAATAGAATAAAGATTCAAATATAACCCGACAGGAATTAATACAAGCTAACACGTTCTAACACAAGCTTACACGTTCTAACGGAAACTAACACGTTCTAACACGACCTAATACGTTCTAACCTAACCTAACTTACGGTATGTCTTATTTCAGGTGATGCAGAACTTAGCTGAACTCATCCAAGAGGAAATGAAACAATTACAAAGTGAACAAGTGAACACAGTGACTCACTTCACCAAACAGAACAGTGAACAAGTGAACAGTGACTCACTTCACCAAACAGAACAGTGAACAAGTGAACTGGACAGTTACTTTAATCTGCCAATTAATCTCTCTCTCTCTCTCTCTCATTTACCAGTATACAGTCTATCTGTCAATCTATACCTATCTATCTATCCATCTATCAGTCTATGTCTATATCTATCTATCTATCAATCTATATCTATCTATCTATCCATCTATGTCTATATCTATCTATCTATTAATATGTCTATCTAGCACCTTGCATATTTTTTCTATACGTTAAGATGTAAGTTTTATCTCAATGTTTCAATTCTTATTAAGATTTGTAATAATATTTAATTTTAGTGGACATAAGGAATAATTTGTAATGTGTTGTTATTATTATTATTGATGTTACTACGACTACTTCTAATGTAATGGTCATGATAAGAGCTAACCTGAAAACCTTAAGGATTCATATTACGCTCAAACGTCCACAAAACCTTCTGAGTCTCCCAGTGGAAACGTCCCCCGTTTTCTCTGTTCCTTGATGACGTCATCGATAAGCCGTCTTTGTTTAGACGCTGTATGTTGGGATCTGTTGCCATCCAACCCTTTGTAATCAATTTAATTTTGCTTTCGATAGCCGAGTCAGAGCATTGTTAGTTGAGATAATAGTAGAGAATGAAAATGAGTTCATAGATTGAAGAAGCCGCAAGTCCGGAAAACCGTGGGGGCAAACTTTTTCGGAGTGAGGGTTGTAAACTCTTGGAACAATCTACCAGAGAGTGTTGTGACGGCACCGAGTGTGAGCTCTTTCAAGAGAAGACTTGGGTTTCAGGAGCCCGCCCAGTATTTGCCAACAGTGCTGGGAGAGACGTGATCCATCGCCCGGGCGGCAGCGAGCCGACCTTTTGGTGAAGAATATAAAGGAAAAGAGTCGTGACCGATCGCCCAGAATGAAAATGAGCCGATAGTCTCAATTTCAATAAAAGTAAAAAAGTAAAATTAATTCATCGGAATAGGAGTAGGTGGACTCCCTGGCCTAGTTTGAGTGAGGGTGCCGCGGGCATTTCAACCGTTAGTAAGTGCCCGTCCCTTCATCCATACAGGTCCCTAACGCAGCCTAGGCCGTGTCTGTAGCGTGGATGTTGTATCCACTATGTCTGGGGAGATGTCCGAGGTCCAGTAGGATCAGTTACCTTCGTGAGACCCGGCCGTCAGACACTTCAGACTACCTATAGCCCCCATAGCTGGCTCGTCTGGCCCTAACGCTCGGTCCACGAGGTGACGCCGGATCACCAAGCCACACACCACTACCATCCCCCATCATTGGTGGATGAGTGTCTAACTCAATAGGGCTATTTGTGTGGTGGAATTAATCCACTGGGATCTCCAGAGTTCGTCCGATAGTACTCCATGGTGGCTGGACCCCATGGCTGTTGCTTGAGTAACACACCTGACGACTGAGTGTTGTAGTGGCAGTTGCCCTGGTCTTTATGGTGCTAAGTGACTATAATAGTTGTGTTATTGAGTATGTCCACCCAGTAGTGGTGTGAGTATGTTGAGCCTGAGGGCCTAGTACTAGATTTCGTCTGTTAGTACAAATAAATTCTTTCTTCTAATTTCATATTCATGTTTAAATAAACTTTGTATTTGTATAATTGTGTCTATTATTTACCTCCAGTATTTACCGTTATTTCTTCCCTATTGCTTGATACTATCATTACACCTACCCACGAGCCTCCTATCGTCACGCTACCAATGGTGATAAATATAAGAGTAAAAGGAATTGTTACTGGCACACACAGGCCCTCATAAATGGTGGGAGTTCAAGCCCTCATACTAATACTAACACTAATACTTAACTGTAATTTAACTTTCACTGCTTATGGATATTTGGACCAAAATTCTGGAACAGGGTGGTAATATCGACAGTATTTACCTAGATTTTGCCAAGGCTTTCGACAGTACCCCATGGAAGGATGAAAATTAAACTGGAAAGGTACGAGATTCGGGGAAATGTTCTAGAGTGGATTGGAGATTTTCTCCATGACCGCAAGCAGTGTGTGGTGATTAATGGCACAAAATTATCAAGTGTACCCATCACAAGTGGGGTACTGCAGGGCAGTGTATTGGGCCCACTGTTGTTTGTCTGCTTCATAAATGCCATGCCTGACACTGTACATTCCTCCATACCACTGTTTGCGGATGACTCCAAATTACTGTATTTCGGGAAATAAAGAAGCAAACAGACTGTGAAGAGCTGCAGAAGGATCTCTGTGAGGTCCAAGAATGGTCAAAGAAATGGCTGCTGAGATTCAATGTCACGAAGTGTAAGAGGATGCACCTTGGGTGTACCAACGGTAAGGAGGCATATCATATGTCCCAACGGAACGAAGAAACTGCATTGAGACTGAATGTGAGAAGGACCTACTGTAGGTGTGTATGTTGACAATGAGCTGAAGTTCTCGGGCCATTGCGAGAAGGTAAATCAGGCAACTAAATTATTATGTCTTACAAGAAGGTCGTTCAGATATTTAGACGGTCCGCCCCTCATAATGATCTTCAAGAGTGAAGTGCTTCCCCATCTGGAGTACTGTCACCCCATCTGGTCCCCGAGATATGCTAGGGACTGTCAGTTGGTTGAAAATGTTCATAGGAGAGCCACCAGACTGGTGCCTGCACTTCGGCACCTCAACTACCTTGAGAGATTGGAGCGCCTGAACTTGCCTAGCTTATACTACAGACTTGCACTCAGTCGAGTGCCCTTACCTGGAGGTGGTGGACGCTTGCCCCACAAGGGGTCACAGCTCAAGGCTGAAGAAGCCGCAAGCCCAAAAAACTGTGAGGGGTAACTTTTCCGGAGTGAGAGTTGTGAACTCTTGGAACAATCTGCCAGGAAGTGTTGTACTTTTTCTTACTTTTATCCTCTTCACCATTGATCGGCTCGTTAGCCGCTTGGGCGATAGGTCACAGCTCTGGTCTTCCTCCACCAGGCTTGACCAACACTGGAGCAGGTTCATGCCCAGTACCTGTCAACAGTGCCTGACAGAGACGTGACTGATCGCCCAAGCGGCTAACGAGCCGACCAATGGTGAAGAGGATAAAATTAAAGGTAAAATATTAATCAATGACAACTATGCGCTGTTTTTGGGGAAGAAATGAAACCTACGCTGTCTATTATTTCCTTTGTTTTTCCCACAAACAACACAACGGTGACAGGTGTGTAGGGGTATCGAAATATTAATGTTGTCTAGCACTCAGGATGGAAGGAAACTCTAATGTGGTTTTCTTGTATAATATAAGTTATATGATAGACAGTCTGGTGCTGGAGGTGCCGTGTGGTGAGGGGCCAGCGTGGAGCTTGCTGGAGGAGGTGTTGCTTGTTCAGGAAGATGGGCAGAATGAATTCTCAATGGAGAGACAGAGCTTATGTACCCAGCAGCAGCCGCCAGTCCTCTATGAATCATGTTGGGAAAACCCAGAAAGTTGCCGGTGAATAGTTTCGTTGCTAAACAACCGTACCATCTGGGGACAGCTCTCGCTTGGTTGCTAGGCGACGGCACGTCGGAATGCGTGGAGGTGCCGTGTGGTGGCTGTGGCTACGCAGTTGTAGGGGAGACGTCCACTACAGGTGTTTGGAGCCGTGTTTATATCTCCCGCCACCTGCAGAATAATGTAAACAAACAAAATATATAAACAAGCAGCATACACACCATTACCAGGACAAGCATCCAACTAATAAGGATTTAATTATTCCCATAAGACTAATAGTTACTTTATGATATTCATTGATAAATAACATTAAAATTTGACAATTGTTTTATACCCGAGAGTTTGTTTATAGTAGAGGTGGCTAATGTTTTAAACCTACCACAAACAACTACAAAATTACATATATTTTTACTTAACTCATAAATAAATATCAATACTTAATGAATAAATGTAAATAAATATATTTTTTAAATTAAACTATATTAAGTCTGGATCATATGCCTTGCAAATATAGAATAAGATGAAATTTACTGAGTGGTGTTCGTGGTATAGGAACTAACATTAATAGCTTTTACCACTACACAAGTAGTAGTATTTGTAACAATTACTTTAGATTGTGATAATGTCGGATCGTGAGTATTTTAATGCATTTATTTACCTTTTAAGAGGATCATGAATCAATTGTCATTAATAGAAGCGAAGAAATAACGGTGTGATGAAGTATATACGAGATAATTGTTATATGTAGGGTTGGTTTGCATCATCACAAAACAAAATATTATGTCCTGTACTTTATCTTCCTGGGTAACTACACTCACTGGTCATATCCCACGGAACTATAATATGTACTCCACTCACTGGGCATCACCAACGAGGGGAAATATTATAGTGTGTGTGAAGTCTTTGAACCATAAATGTCTTATTAAATATCCACTCACCGAAGACACCAGAGTGACTGTACAGTAGGGGGCAGTGAAATTTTGCTCAAAGCTGCACTCTTCAGGCATTGTTCCTTATACATATCTAAGACTCCATGCCAAATTTGAAGCTGATATGTCAAGGTTTAGTCTGCCGCATTTTCTACTGAAATTTTTTAATTTACCTACAGTACTAGTCAAACAGCCGTTGTGGCGGTGCAATGTTCTGTTCAGTGTTTATCAACTTTTTTTTCATATCTCTTATTTCATTTAAGTTGTCTTGTTGCAGATGAGTATGGTGCTATGTAAATGTAGGATCAGAAAATGGAGTCATTCATCATCTTGAAATGTTACTTGGTCACCCGCTCCATTATTTCATATGTCAGCTTCACGGAAATAAGCTGCCTTTCCGCGCAGTTTTTTATCACTATGATGGTAAACCAAGTGGTCCTGAGCATTGGCGTGGTCCCATTGGAAAGCAGATCAAGGAGTCTTTGTCTGAGCTTCCAGTTGTCGCCTTCCAGCCAGTCAGTTTCCCTGATTTCCCTGTGTTTAATGATGAAGTGGAGCAAGATCTGTCCTGGGATCAGAAATACCTGTATAGGATTTGTAAAGGAGTTATCACAGGTGTTGTTCAAGATGACTTGGCTGCTATTGAGCCAGGTCCTCCCTGTGTGTCAAGGTGGAACACCTTATGGAGTAGAATCCTCAGGCTGTATGTAGCAACATCAAGACCCAGCCATGAATTGAAAAGAATTGTCATTACAATAATAAAGTTCAGTGCTCCAATGTGGTTTTACATCAAGATACACCTTTACATAACATACAGTATTGTGCTGTACAGTACTGTGTATTCATTCAGAATGAGACTTGGTACTGTACTGAAGACATGTTCTTATCACCTTAGGATAATAGTTACAGCAAAGAGTTTAAGGACATTTACAGTATACCTGTACCTTTATATTTATAGTTCAGGGATTTTCTGGATTCTGTGATGAGTGTGTCTGTAATGTTTGTACAGTTTATAGAACTATATCAAATTGAAGCTGTTATTTTTGTACTGTTAATTTCAATGGTGTAGTAAGTGTCTAGTCCCTGATGATTACCGTGTGTTTTGTGTGGATGGAGAAGATGTAGTTGTACAGTAGCTAAAGCAGTTCCTCTCATTGTAGCAACACAGCTGCTCCTCCAGCGTGGCATTGGGGCCATTCTGTCCAGCTTGGGGGGCGGTAAACTGAAGGGCGGCCAAGCTGCTGAGCTGAAGAAGACGCCTCCTAAGGGTGAGACTCATGTTTGTGTTGGTGATAATAATGTTTAGATATACTGTATAATAAACTAACCTTGGTGTAAAAATTACTTAATTTCATAGTTTTATTTAACAAATTCTACTGTACATTATATAAAGAACTTAATACCTGTAGTTTAGTACAGGAATAATTATGTATGGAGTGTGGCAGATGAGGGAATGCAGTACTGTATCGAGTGCATGTACCTGACCTAACCTAACCTAACCTCGACTAGTATTTGGTGTCACGAAGTCACAAAAAATTGGTAAACTTAATTTAATCTGAGTTAATAGATCAAGTGCATGTACCTAACCTAATCTAATCTAACCTAACCTAACCTAACCTAACCTAACCTAACCTAACCTAACCTAACACAACATAACTCAGATTAAATTAAGTTTACCAATTTTTTTTTACTTTATGACACCAAATAATAATCGAGAAGTGATTCACAACCCGAATTACGCTTGTACGACCATCATTTGACTTCATTGCGGCTACATTTGGGTAATTCCTCGCTCCGTCGGTACATGCACGCGATCTATTAACTCAGATTAAAGTAAGTTTTCTAATTTTTTGTGACTTTCTGACACCAAATACTAGTCGAGAAGTGATTAGCAGTCCGATTTATTCATCTAGGACCATTATTTGACTTCATTCCGGCTATATTTGGCTACATTTGGGTACATTTGGGTAATTAGTCGGACCGGCTAACTAGAGGTTCAGGAATGAGTTTGAGATATGTTTTATGTCTCTTTTGGTTCACTGAAACACGAAAAGTGTGAATGAATGAACACTGAGGGTTCACTCGGTATGAAGGAGGAATTTTTTGAGTTTATGTTTGTAGAACATGATCAATGAACCGTGATTCACATTCGAAACTTGTGCTTCTCCAGGTGATTTCTAATAGGGTTTGAAATCATTGCTTCCAGCAATTTGCTTACAATTGATGTTGAACTGATTGGACGGTAGTCAGAGGATAGTGAACTATCTCCCTTCTTGAAAATTGGTATCACATTCGCTATCCTCCAGGATTCTGGTACTACACCCGATTTTAATGACATGTTTAACAAATTTACTTAGGGCATACTGAGCTCTTCCTTACATTCCTTTAATGCTCTGGCAACTATATCATCGGAGTAATTATTCAGGACTAACCCGCAGCTGAAATTGATCGAAAACAATTATAAAAACTCCGGATTTTCTGGAGGTTTTCTTTAGAGTGAACACTGTTGAAGTTTGTGCAAATGTGTTTAAAAAATGGATATTTTTAAAATAAACGTAACTTAACATTTGTGAGTATGAAAAACAGACCAAACCAACCTAACCAAACAAACCTACCTAACCTTACCTGACTTCCTTACCGGTGGGCTCCCCCCCCCTGTACCCCCCGGTATATTAAACAGAAAGAACTTACTATGATTATGGTGAAATTTGAGGCATTTACTGTCATGGCGGGTAACGTTGAGCCACGGCGTTGTGGAAGTGATGAACAAATTTCTTTCCAGTCTGAAAGCACAGGAATTCCCTCAGTCTCTATTTAACGGAACAATGTTGTGGTCTTTGAATAATTGAAGAGTCTCGTCTTTATCCCTTAATTCGCAAATTACGTCCATATAAGACCGGCGACAACCTTCACATGTCATGCTGAAAATGAAACTGCTGTGGGCCCGGGGAAAAGCACAGAACCATAGCGCGGCCTCATTACCAAGAGGAAGACAAATTAGTGGGCTCATAGGCGCCTAATTATTTATGAAACAAAGAATTTGCACAAGAAATGATTATCATATCACAACTCCTGATGAAAATAATGAAAGAAAATAAACTAATAAAAATAACTCGTCCGCAGGTTAGTCGTATATATTAACCCTCATCGGGACCTGGTGACTTATTAGGCTTTAGCTTGTCTCTTTGCTTACCAACATCGTTACTAGTCACTACTGTCTCACTTAATCTATTTTCTTCACTGTCTCTGTATATAGTCGCACCGGCTATATCATATTTAAATTTTCGGTGGTGAAAACTGTTGAAAAATACCTGTTCAGATTATTGCTCATTTCTCTGTCGTTATCAGTTAGCTCACCTGTATTGGTCCAATTTTGTCTCGTGTTTTAGTTTGATACATTTGAAAGAATTCCTTGGGGTTTGACTTCGCCTCCCTTGCTACCTTCAGTTCATTATTCCTCTTTGCTTTTCTTATCTCAGTCTTAACCCTACCGGCCAATACTTTATAATAATCTCGGAAGTAAACTTCTCGATTTAGTCACCAACCTATAGACTTCCTTTGGCCAATAATATTCTTTAAATAATTATGTATCCATTTGAGGTCATTGTTATTTGTGCATTAAGTAACTCATTATTTAAATTGTTATGAAACTCATCAACCTCAGATCTCGTGATCAGGTTATCCTTAACCGTCATATTTTGTGAGGGTGTCGTTGTCAGGTCTCCAGGTAGAGTGGTCTTAATTGTGAACTAAATGTAAAATATAAAATTATATATGTAAAAGGAAAAAGATCACCTCCATATATGTACATTAATATATTTATAATATAGAATGAAAAGACAATTAATAACAAATCAATTCCCCCCCCCTTAAAATCTATGCTGCTTTTTATCATTCATGCAAAAATTTGTAAACTTTTACTTTTTAGTCCGAGTTTGTTAACCTAAGTGGCCCGAGTTGGTTATCCGAGATGGTCCGAGTTGGTATTTGATGGTCTGAGTTGGATTTGGGCCGAGTTGGACTGTAACCCTAAAATTCGCTAGATGACCGAAACGATGATACTTCCCACATTTTAACCATTTCATATTTATGCCAGACCTACAATTGTGTAGGGTAATATCTGTTTGTGCATTAATGTGTATATCTTTATGTAAAAATATGTGTGTATGGGAGTACAGGACTGTACTTGTGGTAAAGAACTACCATATACTGTACTGTATTTTAGAATATTCCACATTACAGCACCACCAGCACCAGGATTTGTTTAATTTCGTTCATTTTTTCCACAAATGTTCTTATCATTATAGTAACTATTTTGAAAGAGGCGATAACTTTGTATTTTAATTATAAGTTTTCTCTCTATCTACAATTATAAATCACCTGTAGTGGACAGGGCATGAAGGATGAGGGAAATTGCAGGATAAAAACATGGTTAATAACTGATCATGTGACACTAAAATGAAGTCTCTACATGCTTTGCACAGGAAGAAATTAAATTTTTATATTAAATATTCGGCCGAAAATTCTGTCCTGTTAGCGCGTATTCTCGTCCGATTGTAAACAAATAAATTCAGATTCCAGTCTTACTTAAATTGTTAACAAACGAGTTGTGTCCATAACATGCACAAATCCCATATAATTTTCTCTGCTCAGTAGGTTCTTAACCTTATTCAATTTATAAATGATGATCATCATATTGTTAGAATTGAAGTTACTGTGGGTAAGGTTAGGTAGGTTCTTTGGTTGGTTAAGTTCTAGTTTATGTTTTCTCTTTTAAAATACTTACTATAATGATAAGAACATCTGTGGAACATTGAACAAAATCAAACAACTCCTTCTGGTGGTAGCAGTGTTCTCATACATTACCCGTGATAATAATTCACCCTTTAGGCAGCAGGCAGGGTCGATCATACCCGGAATGTCAGTAGGAATAATTGCTGGCTTTTCTTCATCCATAGTCTTAAGAAATATGACCCAAGTAAGAGAAAGAAATGTGAAAAATACTAAGATAGAGATAACAGTGGGAGTTACAGTAATAGATAATGAATTGATTTATTGCAGTTTCTCATGAGATGTGTGTTGGTGTGCTTGTCAGAATATTTACACGTCTTCCTTCAATATTTACAGCAAAGGTGCCCAGAAAAATACCGCAGCCACAGAAACAACCACAGAAACAGGAACAGCAACAAGGATTTGACCTGGACACCACAGTAGAATTTTCAGGATGGGAAGACATCAGTTCACATCAAAACATTGGTTTTCAGGGGGAATACACAAAGGACGATTGTGACTCAAGAGCAGGTGAGCTTTTATAATACAGTATTTATTACCTTTGTGTGTGTGTGTGTGTGTGTGTTTCATGATGCATAATGGTATAGATTGATGTTGTTGGCACAGAATCTTGAGCATAATAAATAAAGTAAGTCATATACCATTTGAAGAACAATAAAACATGAAAAAATATAAAGGTATAGCCCTCCCGGGAACAGGTCACTGACCCATATCTGGGGAACAAGAAACAAATTGTATACAAAAAAACAAATGGAAAAAATAAAACAGATGAAGAGTAAGAAATAATATATTGTGTACAGTATATATTGTATGTAAATGACAACACATTATGCTTCCAATATCTTCCCAGGTGGTAGTACCTCCCTGTTTGATAGCTGCCTACTACCTACTACCTTGGAGTATTCAAAAGAAACACACACTGTGGAGGCACTGAAACCCTCAGAGCCTCAGGGGGAATAACATAGAAAGTAGGAAGTTTAAATATGTGGTGCACACAAAAAATGCAGATCCTGCGATAATTGTTGTGTACAGTCAAAACACAGACATCAAAGAGTTAGACGCACACACATACAGTAAATAATTGACTGCAAAATGAATGTGGACATGCTCATACTCATGAAGAATTAAGAGCCTTTTTCAAGTTTTATTACAGCACAGTACCTGCTTATGGTATTACTGTATTTTGGTCTTGTACTTGTTGAGTGTTTTGCCTAGTATTGTAATTGTCTTGTGAGGGTGTTGGAAGTTACCAGTAACTGTAAGATTGACAGCCATCATCAGTGGAAGTTAGCTGTAGGGGTGGCACCCATCATCAGTGGATGTTTTTTGTTCCTTGCATTCCATTTTTGTGCATACGGGGATGGAGTACAGCATCCTTAGCTACCATTTAAGGTTAAAATCAAAGTGAGATGCACATGTCTCCTCCACACTGTGTTTTATAAGTATGACCCCAGAATCATCTGAAAATGTCTTGGGTTTTATTAGGTTATAACCGTTTCAAGGGAATTTTCACTTGAAGGTCACCATTATGCACGATATTCATGCAATTGTACAGTAATCGAATTTGTAGTTTATGATGCCATATATAAATGCTAGTGTCACTTATCTATTTCAGGTTATGTTAGGTTAGTTTACATTACCAATGTGTAGTTTATTAGGTTGGGTGAAGCTCGTAATGTTCCCTAAGTGTGGCTTGGTTAGGTTATGTAGGATTGGTTTAGTTTTGTGTGGTTTGTCAGGTTAGAATGCTGTGTTCATTTCCTGCACAACTACTGTATATCATTAAGTTACACTCCTTTATTGTGCTTATATATGTTGGCTTTTTCCAAGTAAGAAGTTTCTTATTTTCTTATGCAGAGTGGGCAATTTCATGTACTTTTAAGTAGGTGTTGTTGCTGTAGTAGTAATGGGAGTGGGGGATCAATTCTTTGAACATCAAAATGTGATTTTATGGTTTTACAGGAAAATCTGTTGAAGAAAAAATTGAAGCTCCTCCTGAAGAACCTAATAATAAAAATGAAGGCCAAGCAGGAAGGAGACAAGACCCACCACCTAGACGAGGTCGATCTGATAGGCCGCGACCTTCTCAGGGGCGTTCCCCACCACATCCGAGGTATTTGCAGTATAGTGTTCACTTACCACAGTCAAAATAGGATAAACTTGTAGAATCTTACCCATATACTTTACTTAATTATCCACTCCATGTCATCACTGTTGAAAATTTAAGAGTACAGGATTAAAAAACTAGAGGCAGTGTTTTATAATGTGTCCCTTGGGTGTTAACTTACAAGGTTGATCAGCTTGGTCCACACCATAGCCTCTCTTACCTTACCCTGCCACAGACTAGTCCACTTCCATAATGATGTCACAGTTTTTGTGCATAATATTGTGGGTGAAAAGGGGGACTATATATAAAGATGGATGGTGATAGAATAACATGTAGTCAAGCACTTTTATAGACTTTTATGAACAAAAAAATTCTAGTTTTCTTACACCAACACTGCTGTGCAAATGATTCCACAATACTGTGTATGCTACACTTTAAGTTGGTTTACACATATGATGATTATATTGGATCAGGGTTAAAGAGCTCACCCCTCATCTATTGAGAGTTCAGAGCTTAAAAGCTGGAAACATTTCACGTATTGGTCACCTGCAAGTAAGTGAGGAACTCAATATTTGTGTCTTGGTAAGAAAATTTGAATTGTATGTGTTCCGAGAAAGGAAAAATAATGAAATTGTAGAAAGAGTAATGGAAGGGAAATAAAGTTTTTCTTGGGACGATACATGAAAATATGCAGAAATTAGGAGGCGAAATGGAAGTGTGAACAGAAAGTGGATTAGGTTATAGTATAGTAAGGTGGTAAGAACATTTTGAGAGAATGGAAAGATTAGTACCGGTAATTCAGATTTGGATGGTAGGAGGGTAAGGGGAAGACCTAGATGGCAATGGATGGATGGATAATAGATGAACATCCAGGAAACAGCAGTGTTTCTGAATGGTTGTACCATTACATAGCTTGCAGGTTCTTGACATTGTCTGTTCTCATTCCAGACAGTATTATACCTCATTGTTTTTATGGCTTATACAATTTTTCTTTCAGAGGTCACTATGAAAGTCGTGATCGTTCTGGATATGGTGGGAGAATGGGTTCAGCTGGCAGGGACTACAATCGCTATTATGATAATTATGATGATTATGATCGAAGGTCTCCATATGGTGGGGGTCGTTATGACAGGGGTAAGTTGTCTTACAGTTTTATGATGATATCTCCTCAAAACCTCTGCATTCTTCTGTTTGAATCATAGGAGGGGGCACAAATGGAGATGGTGGGAGGGGTGGGGGGGGGATTCTAAGATAATGAGAGGTGAGGAGGGAACAGCAGAACAGAGATGGAAAAGGGAGGTGAAAGATGCACCAAGAAGCAACAGTGTGTGGACAAACAAGAGAACATGGCATAGACTGATTTTTGTGAAAGGATGTAGTACTGCCCTGGGTAACCTAGACCTGGGATGTTGTGTAAGAGAAGCATCACATCAGAACTTTTACAACATTAAGAATGATGGAATAATGAATGAAGAGTAAATATGATTTGCCCTTATATCCAATTACCTTGCATTAAGTGGGGAAAGGCTTAATGCAGAAACAACATGAAGTTAAATGCCTGGGAGTTAGAAGAGGCGTGGAGATAATTTACACTACAAAAGTAAGGTGGGTTGGGAAACAAATTACTGTAGTTTAAACAATGCTCTACATGACGGATTTAATTTTTTCTCTTTTTTTATAGAAAAGAAAGAGCCATCATCAACAGAATGGTTGTCCAGTTAGATTTTCTATTTGGTTTATTTATCTTAAACAGATGAGCATTTGTATCCACTCCCAGTGGTAGTCCCTCCATCAACATCTGAGAAAGAGATCATGATGAGAAATGGCCCACATATGGTATCCCCAAAAGTTTCTTTATTGTACGTCTATAGTACTGTAGTTTGTATCATGGTTTTGTTATTTGGTATTTTTAATTGTTCGTGTAATTTGTTTCTATATTACTGTACTTACCTTCATAAGTAAATGGATTTACAGTCCCCAAAAAAAGTATCGTTAGCCGTGGGGTCAATGTGATTTGTGGCGTTCCAAGCAATGTTGCTCGACCTGTTTTTTAACTATTGGTAGTTCTACATCCATGACCATTGAGCATGAATGAGTATATACATTATTAAACGATGTGACTCCCCCGAGGCTTCAGATCATACATTACAGGATTGAGTGGATGTCGTAAATGGATACCAATGCCATGCCAGTCAACAATGGGATCTTACTTCGAATGGAGCGAGGAATTATTGGAGAGACATCACAAGATGTGAGAGGTGCTATTATTGCCCTTCAAAACAATGGTATAATGCTGAGATAGTACGCAGAACTGGGGTGGACAAACCCGCAGAAGCACAATGGGTTAGGTACCATAAAGCAACTGGTCCCACCCTGAAACATTATTTCAGTGTTAAGTCAATGAATTTACATATCAGTAACATGACAGATCCCATTCGAATGATATTTTGTTTATTGCTGTAGCTGTTCACTCTAATATTAAGTACTATTGGCTTAGTCACTTCATAAATCAGTATGAATGAAACTCCTTGAGTACAACGATGTAATGGTGAAATGTCCATTTTGAGGTCTGTCTCAGTCTCGGTTATGATGTTCCAAAACATTTCCAATTAATATATATTTCAATGTCATTGTAAACATTAGTCAGTGGCTTGTTTACATATACCTTGCTTCTACCCAGCATGATACATACATAAGGACAGCTTAACGGATTTCTTGTTCTATTAAAGTATCCAGTATGCCATACATGGACGACTCCCTCCTCCCATCTCTAGCTGTTGCTGATATGGGGAGCAGGCATACCAACTTGGGGGGACTGTACATAAGCAATAGAGATACAGTAGACCCTCAATTTAACACTAGAGTGACACCAAGAATTGTTATGCAGTATCAAAAGGTCCTGTGTGTTGTTATTGTCACTATATTATTATTATTTCAGGAAGATATGACAGAAGCAACGTTCCATACAGTGACAGGCAGACATATGATGATTTACATTACAGAAGCAGGTTTGTAGAATCACTTACTGTTAAAACTTAATGGAGTTTTTAGTGTATTTACCCGTCCTTCTTCATACTTTTCAATATATCGGATGCTTCATTTTGTCGGCAACTCCCTGTAAGGATATTTCCATGACCTCTCTGTTAGCCCCTACACAACAGCCATTATTAGTGGAAGTTAGCTGTAGACACAGTGACCATTATCAGTGGAAGTTAGCTGTAGACACAGTGACCATTATCAGTGGAAGTTAGCTGTAGGGACAGTGACCACTATCAGTGGAAGTTAGCTGTAGGGACAGTGGCCATTATCAGTAGAAGTTAGCTGTATGGACAGTGGCAGTTAGCTGTAGGGACAGTGGCCATTATCAGTGGAAGTTAGCTGTAGGGACAGTGGCCATTATCAGTGGAAGTTAGCTGTAGGGACAGTGACCATTATCAGTGGAAGTTAGCTGTATGGATGGCAGCCATTAGCAGTGGAAGTTAGCTGTAGGGACGGTGACCATTATCAGTGGAAGTTAGCTGTAGGGACAGTGGCCATTATCAGTGGAAGTTAGCTGTAGGGACAGTGGCCATTATCAGTGGCAGTTAGCTGTAGGGACAGTGGCCATTATCAGTAGCAGTTAGCTGTAGGGACAGTGACCATTATCAGTGGAAGTTAGCTGTAGGGACAGTGGCCATTATCAGTAGAAGTTAGCTGTATGGACAGTGGCAGTTAGCTGTAGGGACAGTGGCCATTATCAGTGGAAGTTAGCTGTAGGGACAGTGGCCATTATCAGTGGAAGTTAGCTGTAGGGACAGTGGCCATTATCAGTGGAAGTTAGCTGTAGGGACAGTGGCCATTATCAGTGGAAGTTAGCTGTAGGGACAGTGGCCATTATCAGTGGCAGTTTCTAGTTGCTTGCATTTACTTTTTAACATAATGAGGTGGAATAGGAGAATTCTTAGCCACCATTTAAGAGTTAATAAATATTGTAAGATGTCATGAGGAATAGTATAATTACTATAAGTATCAACATTTGAACCAGATCTCACCAATGTTATTCACTGACAGTATATGAAAAAAAGTGAAGAATACTGTTTCCGAATTTAGTAATACTGAAAAAGGACCAAGGGTTGAACAGGAAATTTGAAGGCGTCAACATTATATTATCTTACTTGTACTTCAACATAACACTTCCTTTGCACATCTGATGATACTAGATAATCTTTATATAATAGTCACTTTTGTTACCTTTTAACTAATATATTATCAGTCCAGTAAGGCAACGAGACAGACTAGTGAGAGTGCTTCCAGCATTGTCTGAATATCTTGTAATTATAAATAAATTTGCGATTAAATCTAATTTCACAAACCTTAGTGAGGATACTGTGGATAAGATCTTGAATGGGATTTCACTTGATTAGTCTGACATTTTGTGATCTTTGTAAAATTTTCCAGAACATTAGAAACGTTGTTAATCCTTTTGTTGCATCTGTATCGTATACAATCATGTGGTTTTAAATTGGTACATGCACCTGAAGAGCAAAAATGCAGCTGTATTATAATTAAGTATTTTTCTACCAAGTTGAAATGTATATACGGTACTGTATTTGAACTCGGCAAAAAAAAAACTTTTTTTTATTATACATTACTTGTATAACAGATTTTTATTTTTTTTTATTTTTTTTTAATGTCCATACACAGGATATCCTGATTAATTACTGACGTCATAGTGAAAGGATTAAGAAAAAATAAATTTGCCTTTAATATTTGCTTTTTTTGGGTCATACTGTACTCATCCATCACATCTTCTCATAGGGCTGATTCTGACCCATACCCTTATGAACGTAACAAACGCCGCACTCCACCTCCTCCAAGGATATCCTCAACCCAGAAAACCTTACCAGCTGTTCCACTACCACCCCTAGATGCTCCTGTTCGTGGGCCAACTGGAACACTTCTCAAACAACTGGTATGTTAGCAGTTATAAGTAGAAAGTTGGTGGAAATGTAGATTAATTAAGTGAGAAGGTTGGTGTTAATGCCAATGAAATACATGTTGAAATTATATTGTGAATTATTTTGAGAATGGAGAAAGTGTAGTTTTTTAACAAGAGTGTATTGAATAGGGTTGATAGCAGACAAATTATTGGATACAAGAATAACCAAAAATACTGATCTAATGTAAAACAGTTGTCGTTTGTTGCTAACATACTAAAAAGCAGTATTCTTTTAGTCTGACTGTGAGGTGAGGGATGAAAAGGATGTGGACCTTGCCTCCGATGTTATCACCATGCTTTTAAAGGGTCTCTCGGATTTCCACAGGAAACAAGGTTCTTCCAGTTCTGTTCATGTAAGTACAGTAATTGAAAATATCTAGTTTATAAATTAAACCATACTATGCTATCACATTGTAGCGTAAAGGAAATTTACAATTTAGGAGTCATTGGTATCTGTTAAGAAGAATGACAGTTGACTGCTGTGTGAAAGTGGAAAAGTGATGAGATGAAAGTTCCCTGATTAATCAGCAAAGAATGAATCACTGTAAAGCAGTGGTCATGTAGACAATGAATCGGTGTGAAACAGTGGTCATGTACAAGTCTTGGTTTTCATTGTCTTTTGAACATGTAGAGAAGAATTGTTATGGTAAGTTTTTGTTCCATATTAGTTATCAAAGACACTGGGAGAGGTATTTGATATATATTTGGTCCATCACATGACTCCATCCATCAATTGAGTGGTTGAGAACACAGTAATTCACACTACTAGCAATGGTTTTGTAACCATTCTATATACAATATAAGATAGTTGTATGACAGATCATTAACAGTTTCTTCTTGTACAGTACGCCATATAACTTTTTTTCTCGTGATTTTGCACTATTCTTCCACTTTTAGATATGAATGAAATACCATACTGGTTGATAAAGAAAGTTTTTAAGTTATTTTTAGCTTTAAAAGAACTTAATTATTAATATTCTTTAATTAAGAATCATGTGATTATTTATTGGTCAGCTAGGAAAATACAGTCATGCTGTAAAAAGAAATTTCAATTTAAATGTCTCTTTCTCTCCCACAGTTGATATCAGAGGCACAGATCAAATTTGACATTATGAAAGAGCTCATAAATGTGCCCAACCCAGAGGTGTCAACTTGGATGTGAACCACACAGATACAACAAACACCAGAATATCATAATGCAGCAGCCATTACTGAACAACCAGTAAGCTTCACCTTGGATGTGAATTATTGTACAAATGCAATAAACAGTAAAATATTTATGAAGTAAACACTATGAAAAAAATTCTTTAGATTTATCCCAGCATAAACTGGTCATGTAGAGGGGAAATATTTTTATATTTTTTAACAAAGTGCTCTGGGGATTGGTCCTGTAACAATAAATATTATAGGAAGGAAGATCTCAGCTCCCCTAAAAAAAATACAGTACTAGTATTAAAAAAATTTCATATAACCATGTGTAAAGCTAAAGACCCACAACTGTACAAGACCTAAAATAATGTGAAAGCAACCAATTAAATGATATCGGTAGATGTATATAGACGAGGGAATTTAGATTTGTTTTGATACTTGTGGAGAATTCACTGAGCCAATGATCATGAAGGGAGTGAAAAGCACAAGGTATTTTGAAACAATAATTTGCAACCTTTACAGTGAACAGGTAAGACTTACTCCACAGCATCATTCATGTTAGCCTAACATTACATACAACCACCCAAAAAAAAAAAGGATAACTGTATTTGGGTATTTTTTCACGCATTTGAATTTTACAAATTGGCTATGCAGTTCAGTAAGTATTCGCTTAAAGTGGTTCCATTCCTGAAATAGATCAAATACGGGAGTTACGTTCCCAGCCTCCCTTTGCCCCATAAAATACATTACATATACAGAAATTCAATGGAATTTTTTAGAAAATAGTATACAGTATATATACAAATAAACTAAATCATTTTGTATTGTACACACTGATGGACGGAGGTGTTTGGTGGGTAGTGGAGCAAAGGAAGAGGAGGGAGGCGAGTCACCGAGACCCAGCGGGTGGCTCCTCACCTTTCTCAAAACGGTTTAAAACCTCCATTTTTGTAGCAAGGCTAATGGTCTTCACAACACTGGCACTTGATGGGTGCTTGGAAGCCATTTTGAATGGTTAGAGTACATTTTTAAGAGCAAAAACACTTAAACATGCACTAATGCTGTAGTGGCCTAACAAAGACTGGGACTCCGTGACGCTCCGCGGGTGAGAGCGTAGCACGTCATGATGAGATGCGCCGTACAAAGTCCGTGACGACGTTATACTGAATCGGCGGGACGTTATCTGAATCATGGGTATCTAAAGAATAGCGACGTTATAACGAAACAACATTAATTGAGGACTTACTGTAGAAGGTGCATAATTTAACATACGATAATCTCCCCATTAGCTGGAATATCTGGCATGCCCCGACAACAGATGTAAATGCGGTCTGTGAAGCAATAAATCCCATAAAAATATAACAAATTAGGGAGGTTGGGGACCAGCCACCCTCCAAAAACTATCTGTTGTTCAAACTGTCAAACAAGAAAAAACAGCAAACATAGTATGTATTAATTAATGAATGTAAGCATAAATTGAGAGGTTATTCACCAGTGTTGAAGCATTGAGTCATCATTCCTTCCCTCAACCAGATCCTTTGGCTAAAGGGCTGGCTGATGCTTTGGCCACTGTTTCTGCCATTGAGAGTTTTAAAAGATTTCTCCACACATAGAAAAAATTACAGGCTAGTGTAAATTTCTGTGGGCTAATGGGAAATTTTTAGATTCAGCAGGTCTGCTAACACATTCACTATGATGTCCCATGCCTATAAACCTGTTCTATATAGTTACTGGAGAAATGCAGCCATCTGCATACATAATATATGGCTTCTCTTATAAAGAATTTTTTGGTTGGGTTACTATGTTGTGGATGGGAGGAGGGAGAGAAGATAAAATGAGGCGTCACCTTCGATACAATCTAACCTTTTATTCTCAAGTCAAAATACAAATTTTATATTAAATTTTTTGTAACAGTCGTACCCACGTTAACCTTCACACAGTGAGGTCCCAGGTACCCAATGATAACACCCAGTGAGACCCAACAACAACCAGCGATGTGTTAATCCGTCTACGATAGGAAGGCCTGGGACCAAACCTCACTCATATAACACCATCTGTGAGGGAGTTACTACACTCTAGGTGACTCAAAACAAGGGTGTTCTCTCTCACACTCAAATTCATTTTATAGAGAGGTTGGTTTCAGTAAGTCAGAGAAAATGGGATAACGGAGGACTGTGGTGTCTTGAAGTGATGAGAAAACGGACTCCTCAGATGGAGGACTCAAACGAAAGCCGAGTTACATGTTTTGTGGGCTATTGAGCGTAATATGAATCATTTGATTTTGGCGCTAACTGACGTGTAAGACCGTGGTCGTTACAACTACACTACATGTTTACTGTTCAACACCTACATTAATCTGTATGTTCACTGTATGTTCCGTTACCTTTCTCTAATGAAGGCTTTTGTTAAACCACCAATGTATGTAATATGTCATTTATGTCCAATGTATATTTTCAGCCTTCGTGTGAGGGGGCGGTTTCTTGGTCTTGCCACCAATGTGAGGGGGCCGGTTCTCTCTCCTTTTCTACACCACCCTCATCTTACTTACTTCTCTTAGTTCTTACTCTTACTCAGTTCCGTCACCTATTCTTTGGTAGCATGGACATTCTTTTGGTAGCCTGGGCATTCTTTTGGTAGCATGGTCGAGGGTCTAGGCACATGAGTATGGTAATTTTGGTATCAGGTCACTTGGATGGAAATAAAGGTAAAATACTGTGGGAGAAATGAATACACCTAAATTACTCTAAAAACAAGTTTATTAATATGCAATCAATGGGGAAAGATTTTGTATTAATCATATGATTACCAGGCTCACCTCCTGGGCTTAGTGCAAACTCAGTACCTTCTTCTTTACTCTTACTCACAACATTACTGGTGGTACATTACATGGCACTCATTGTAGATTATTCAACATATACGTAAACAATGACACTAGTATATGCAGGGGTCCACTACCCATCATGGGATAATTATTTCCAACTAATTATCCCTAACATACATGTTACAACACTCTCTGTGGACATATACTTCCAAGGAGTAACCCAGGGTAGAGCACTGGGGCTGTTGTTATTGTGGGGTAGCCAGACACATGGCGGGTCTGGCCCAACGAAGCCGTGGGGCACATTAATCAGGCCGCATCGGTGCCATCTTCTCATATATGATCCCGGCTGGACATCTAATACATCCGAGGCCGTTGTTGGATGGTAGAGCGATTCAAGAATCACAGTGGGATCTGTATGGATGAAGGGACGGGCACTCACTAACAGTGACAACAACATCACGTTTCAGGGGAAGTTAAAGACGTAAATATGACTTCACTCAGAGCATATCAACTACGTTACTGTAACACCTGCACAATCAACTATTAATTGGGTCAAACCACTTAAAGAAGGGCAAATTACAACACAGAGTGGAATGGCATACCTGTATGGATGAAGGGACGGGCACTCACTAACGGTAGAAATGCCCGCGGGGCCCTCACTCAAAACAGACCAGGGAGTCCACCTACTTCTATTTCGATGAATTAATTTACTGTACACTCTGACGTTGAAACTGAGACTATGAACTCATTTTCATTCCCTACTATTATCTTCACTAACAATGCTCTGACTCAGCTATCAAAAGCAAAATTAAATTGATTACAAAGGGTTGGATGGCAACAGGTCCCAACATGCAGCGTCTGCTACCAGTTGTGTTCTGACTTCACTAGGGGAAAGGTCACGGCAGGGTTAGCTCCGGAGGGATAATTATCAGATATGGCCAGTGATATGTGCGGTCTTGGGTATGAGAGTTTGTTGACCAAACTGGAGTGGTTCGCTGAAGAATTGGCGAGGGCCAAGTTAGAAATTGAGAGGGCCACGTTGGAGAACCTGAAATTAAGGAAAGAGCTAGCGAAGTTAAAAGGAGAGGCTGGACGAGTAAAGCCAGTGTCTGACGAAAAATCAAGCAAGTGGAAAATTGTGAGTAGTGGGAAGACAAAGCTGGTGGTGAAGAAGCACACGAAGGATACGACAACAACGACAAAAACAGCTAAGTGTACCAACCCGTTCAGTCCCTTGATAGACGAATTGGACGTTAGTACAGTCAGGGGCAGGGATGACAAGGAAGGTATAAAAACTTTAATTGTTGGTGACTCACAGGTAAGGTACATGGACAGGGCCTTTTGTGGTAAAAACAAAAATAGGATGAGGGTGTGTTTGCCAGGAGCTGGGGTGGGGGATATAATTGACAGGATGGACAATATCTTGTCTGGTAATGGGAACAAACCCATTATCTGCCTCAGTGCAGGAGGCAATGATATTGGCCGGTGTAGGAGCGAGGAACTTCTTGATAAGTTCAAGGCAGCCATAGATCGTATTAGGACTAAGGGAGGGATCCCTGTCATATGCGGTGTCCTGCCTAGAAGGGGAGTTGGCAGTGAATGGTTGTCAAGGGCAGTTGGTGTTAACGATCGTCTTGACAGATATTGCAAGTCAATATCAGTCCCATTCATTAACAACTAGGACAACTTCTATGGCAGAAGGGACCTTTATGCTAGGGATGGGGTGCACCTGTCTAGGGATGGAGTAGCAACCCTGGCTGGGGCTCTAGAGGGGGCAGTTCAAAAGATATGGAAGTCTTTAAACTGCTAAGAGAACATATGGGCACGGGGGTGGAGGAGACTGCAGTGGGAGAGGGTAAACAAGGCGAAAGATTACAGGGAAATAGTGTTAGGAATGATGACAAAACTAAATTAGACAGAGAGTTTAAAACTAAACGCGGTAAGGGGAGGACTCAGAACACGACTAACTTAAATGTATACTACGCGAACAGTAGAAGTATGAGAAACAAAATGGATGATATTAAGGCCTTGGTATGTACCGAAGAAATCGATATAATTGCATTCACTGAAACATGGATCAACCTAGACACACGTGAATTACCAGTCGAATACCAAATTGCGGGTTACAAACTGTTCCATACCGATAGGCAGACCAGGAAAGGAGGCGGAGTAGCAATCTATGTTGGGGATAATCTGAAGTGTGAAATAAATAAGGAAATAAAAACTGAGAGGAATACAGAAACAATTTGGATAGAATTAAGCGACGGTCGGGAAAAATTAATCACAGGAGTAATATATAGACCCCCCAATCTTGATAGCGTCAATGAGCGACTTATCTGGGATGAAATGCGCAGGGCTTCCATACACAACAAAGTCTGTATAGTAGGCGATTTTAACCTTGGCCAAATAGATTGGACTGACCTTACGGGTAACTCAGAATCAGAGGATTTTCTCGAGACGATCCAGGACTGTTTCCTAAGTCAACATATAACCGAACCCACACGGGGTAATAATATACTGGATTTAGTTCTGTCGAACAGAGAAAACCTCATTAGCAATGTCGAGGTAGGGAACAAACTTGCAAACAGCGATCACAAAGAAATTCGATTCCAGTTAGATTTTCAGGGCAGGCGTAAGGAAAATTCCACTAAAGTACCAGATTTCAGAAGGGCAAACTTTGACAGTTTAAAGAGGCAGCTGAGAGAGGGTGTGTCGCGCTTGGCCGTGAACCTGACAGATGACACCGACCTGATAACGAGATCTGAGATTGCCGAGTTCCACGACAATTTAAATAGTGAGTTACTTAATGCACAAAGGCAGAACATACCATACAAAAAACTCAGATCAGACAACAATGACCCTAAATGGATAAATAATTATTTAAAGAACATCATTGGCCAAAGGAAGGCTATAGGTAGAAGGATAAATGTGAAATTCACCTCGGGACTATTATAGGGTATTGGCGAGTAGGGTTAAAACCGAGATAAGGAAAGCAAAGAGGAATAATGAGGTAAGGATAGCAAGGGAGGCGAAGGCAAACCCCAAAGGATTCTACCAAATGTATCAAACTAAAACACGAGAAAAGATTGGACCAATACGGTCAGACTTCGTCGAGCTCACTGATAACGACGGAGAAATGAGCAATAATTTGAATAAATATTTTTCAACAGTTTTCACCACCGAAAATTTAAACATGATACCCGAGGCACCGACTCTATTCAGAGGTAGTGAAGAAAACAAATTAAGTGAGATAGTAGTGACTAGTAACGATGTTAGTAAGCAAATAGACAAACTAAAGCCTAATAAGTCACCTGGTCCCGATGAGATATTTGCCAGAGTATTAAAGGAATGTAAGGAGAAGAGCTGTATGCCCTTAGCAAAGTTGTTTAACATGTCCTTAAAAACAGGTGTAGTACCAGAATCCTGGGATAGCGAATATACGATTTTCAAGAAGGGGATAGATCACTATCCTCTAACTACCGCCCAATCAGTCTAACATCAATAGTAGGCAAATTACTGGAAGCAATCATTTCAAACTCTATTCGAAATCACCTGGAGAAGCACGATTGATCAATGATTCCCAGCATGGCTTCACAAGCGGACGTTCTTGCCTAACTAATCTATTAACATTCTTTTCATCAGTTTTCGAATCGGTGGACGAGGGGCACAATTATGATGTGGTATATCTCGACTTTAGCAAAGCCTTCGACAGAGTCCCCCACGAAAGACTAATTAGAAAGGTAGAAGCTCATGGCATCAAAGGTGACATCCTTAAATGGATTAGGGCGTGGTTACAGGACAGAAAACAGCGAGTGAGCATTAACTGCACTAAGTCCCATTGGAGCAACGTCACAAGTGGAGTTCCCCAAGGCTCAGTACTTGGACCATTATTGTTTATTATATACATAAACGACATAGATATCGGCATAGACAGCAACATAAGTAAATTTGCTGATGACACTAAAATAGGACGTGTTATCAAATCTGACGAGGACTCGGCAAAACTACAGGAAGATCTAAACAAATTTTTCGAATGGTCTGAAAAATGGCAGATGAAATTCAACGTCGACAAATGTAAAGTACTCAGTATAGGAGATGTAAACAGGGAAACCAGATACCAGATGAACAACGATGCCATCGAGAAATCCGACTGCGAGAGAGATTTAGGAGTAATGATAAGTAGGAACCTGAAGCCAAGTAAACAATGTGTTTTGCTCGTAACAAGGCTAATAAAGTACTTGGGTTCATACAAAGGAGTGTTAGTTACAAGACTAGCGAGGTCATCCTAAAACTGTATCTTGCTCTTGTGAGACCACACCTGGATTACGCAGTTCAGTTCTGGTCACCGTATTACAGAATGGATATAGAATCCTTGGAAAGAATTCAGAGGAGAATGACAAGACTAATCCCGGGCATTAGGAACCTTGAGTATAGAGACAGGTTAAAGCATCTTAATTTGCACTCCCTTGAGAGACGTAGAGCGGGGGGCGACCCGATAGAGGTGTATAAGTGGAAGGCAGGGCTAAACAAAGGGGACATTACAAAGGTACTCAAATTATCCAACCAGGAGCGAACTCGTAACAATGGTTTTAAATTAGACAAATTTAGATTTAGGCGTGAAATAGGTAAACACTGGTTTGGAAACAGAGTAGTGGATGAATGGAACAAGTTACCAAATATCGTCATTAACTCGAATACGCTGGATAGCTTCAAACATAGGTTGGATGCTCATATGAGCAATAGGGGTTGGGTGTAAACGGGACTGCCCAGTATGGGCCAATAGGCCCGCTGCAGTTTCCTCCATTCTTATGTTCTTGTGTTCTTAAATCCGCGGATTATATTCAAGGTTCCCTTAAGACACGACGGGGCAACAGAGAAAACGGGGGACGTTTCCACTGGGGGACTCGGAAGGTTTTGTGGACGTTTGAGCGTAATATGAATCCTTAAGGTTTTCAGGTTAGCCGTCATCACGATCATGACATTCGGACTGCAGAACTTTTTCAATAAACCGTTAATTTAAATGTAACCATAGCAAACACCCAGCTTGTTTACGTATGGCTATGGCGTCACATACCGTTCAACCCCCACCCTCACACACACACACACACACCAAAACGAGCTACGATTTTCCGTAGCATAGTGCGGAACTGAATGCGCAGCCCCTGAACTAGTGTTTATACATGTACATTACTGGCCTTTCTATATTTTCTATGTTAATAATAACTGCAGGAAGAAGTTGGCGACCTTGGTGCGAATCATGGCGTCATACAGCTGAGTTGACAAGACGTTGAAACTTCCATACCAACTTAAAATTATACCGCTTTTCCCTGTCTGTTTTCTCTCATCTTACTTAAGGATTAATAAGTCTATTAATACCACAGACAATGAATTATTAGTAAATTTAATCTCATTTTCATTTGGTTATATATAGATAATATAGGTGGAATTGGTATCACTGAGCACACCACGCAGAAGGAGGAAGTACCAAGGATTCCTAGAAGATATTTGTTGAAGAAGAATAAGAATGTACCTAAAACAGTATTACTCTGGATAAATACAAATTTAACTACAAAAGTCTTCTGTATAATAAGAGAACAAAATTAAATTATAAAATATCTACAGTATAAAGATTATGTTCGTTTAACTAATGTTACACTTTCGCTATAATTCCCATACTACCTTCCTCTTAGTTTAATTTACGAGAAATACCCATCATATTTTTTTTATAAAGTTAGTTGATTTACTTGAAATTTTTAAGTTTCGTTGTTGCTAACGCCCACTTAGCTAAACAGGTGCCAGATCTTGCCAATTTTATCCCCTTATCAATGAATGGAATTTCTTTTTTTCTAATTTAGCAACTATTGGGATTAAAATTTTATTCAATGGACTTTGTGAGATAAAGATGTGAATTATAATGAAAATAGGTTAATTTTAGTATAGTTAATGAAGTTGTATCGGCAGCTGTGTGTGAGGCAGATCAGGCAGTGGCCAATGTAGTCGACTGGACAGAAAACTTGTGGCACCGTAGACACGTTCAGTACGAACTTACAAGCTCTATACGGGTTAGTTTTTCCCGTCATATACTGTTCACGTTTAATACTTCTTTATTACTACGTATATAAGTGTGTGTCTTTCTCCAGCAGCAGCATTGTGAGACTTGTGTTATAAAAGGTAACAGAAAATCGGGGATAGTGTGTTGATAAAGTGTGGAATTTACAAACAACTACGCTTGTTCACCAAGGCTTATCTGTGTGTGTCAGAACATGACGAAATTAGGAACTATCAATACCTGCCATAGTGTTACACTGGATGACACCCCCTCACACCTGAACAAAGGATTGAACCCGTAACAAAGGAAGTGTAAGGTACTGAAAGTTGAACAAGAACAACTCAAAAAAGCTTTTATAAATTGTTTAATGTATCGTAACAGCAGCAGAACTTTATTTATAAATATATTTTTGTTACGGAAGTGCTATATGGGACCACAGAGTTACACAGACGTATTGTATAAAGCGAGTAGCATATTAATATCGCCCCACAAACTCCTTTAACAAGTTATTTTTATCTACGTTAATTTTTCCCCTAAATGATGATGCAAAAGGCTGTAATAACTGCAGAGGATAAAGTACTACCGCCTGGGAAGATATTGGAAGAATAATGTGTTGTCTAATGGTAGACCCTGCTGCCATATGTGACCAAGTCCCAGGTTGCTCATCTGACTTTCTGTCTCATTTACACACAATTACAGGGTCTCAGTTGTTTCTTTTATTGACAACACAACATACATATATTTTTCTCACTTTTGATTTTTTTTTCATTTTTGCATTTCTTTATTATTATTATTATTATTATTATTATTATTATTATTATTATTATTATTATTATTATTATTATTATTATCATCATCATCATCATCATCATCATTATCATTGTTATTATTACATTTTCGCCCCCCAGGCCCCGATGTGGGTCAGTGACCTGTGCCTGAGTGGGCTAATCCCTGTAAAAAAAAAACACCACGGAGGCTTGAGTGATTCTGACCAGGATACAGCTGAGGCACTGAGCAGCTTCTTTTCCTCGGTGTTCACAAGAGAGGATGTGATTAACCTTCCTGCATTTGAGGACAGACGGTTCGACACAGCACTGACCCACATTGTGTTCACAGAAGAGGGTATTAGAAATAAACTGTCCAGGCTAAAGGTCCATAAGAGTCCCGGCCCTGACATGGTGCAACGAGCTTGCAGAGCCCCTGAAGATCCTGTTTTGTAAATGCCTGGATGAACAAATGGTCCCCGGTGAATGGAAAGTGGCTTATGTGAGTCCTATCTTCAAGAAGGGCGATCGTCACTCCACGAACAACTATAGACCGGTGAGCCTGACCAGTATAATATGTAAAGTACTTGAGAGTATTATCAGAGATGCCGCGATGGAACATCTACTACGAAACAACCTTGTAATGGATTGCCAACACTGTTTTATGCCAGGCCCTCCTGCTTAACATAATTGCTCGAGGTATTGGATATTTGGACCTATATTCTGGAACGGGGTGGTAACATCAACAATACGAGTACTGTATATACCTATATTTTGCCAAGGTTTTCGACAGTGTACCCCACGAAAGGCTGAAAATCAAACTGAAAGAGTACGTAATTTGGGGAAATGCCCTAGCGAGGATAGAAGACTTTCTACATGACCGCAAGCAGTGTGTGGTGATTAATGGCACGAAATCAGCATCTGTACCTGTCACAAGTGGGGTACCACAGGGCAGTGTATTGGGCCTGCTGCTGTTTGTTTGTTTCATAAAATGACATGCCTGACGTACACTCCAACCCTACAAATCTTTGCCGATGATGCCAAGCTATTTTGGGAAATCAAGAACCATGCGGACTGTGAAGAGCTGCAGAAGGATCTCTGTGAGCTCCAAGAATGATCGAAGAAATGGCTGCTGAGATTCAATGTCACGAAGTGTAAGAGGATGCACTTGGGGCATACCAACAGTAAGGAGGTGTATCATATGTCCCAACGGGATGAAGAAACTGCACTATTTGAGACTGAATGTGAGAAGGACCTAGGTGTGTATGTTGACAAAGAGCTGAAGTTCTCGGGCCATTGCGAGAAGAAGGTAAATCAGGCAAATAAATTATTGGGTCTTATAAGAAGGTCGTTCAGATATCTAGATGGTCCGTCCCTCATAACGATCCTCAAGAGTGAAGTGCTTCCCCATCTGGAGTACTGTCACCCCGTCTGGTCCCCGAGATATGCTAGGGACTGTCAGTTGGTTGAAAATGTTCAAAGGGGGACCACCAGACAGGTGCCTGTGCTTCGACACCTCAACTACCCTGAGAGATTGGAGCGCCTGAACTTGCCTAGCTTATACGACAGATGGGCAAGGGGCGACCTAATTGAGGTGTATAAGCATCTCAAGGGGCGCTACTCAGTCGAGTGTCCTTACTTGGAGCTGGCGGACGCTACTCCCCACAAGGGGTCACAGCTCAAGATTGAAGAAGCCGCAAGTCCAGAAAACTATGAGGGCAAACTTTTTCGGAGTGAGAGTTGTGAACTCTTGGAACAATCTACCAGAAGTGTTGTGACGGCACCTAGTGTGAGCTCTTTCAAGACCAGACTTGACCAACACTGGAGCAGGATTAGGAGCCGGTACATGCCCAGTACTTGCCAACAGTGCGTAACAAAGACGTGACCGATCGCCCAAGCGGCTAACGAGCCGATCAATTGGTGAAGAGGATAAAAGATAGTGTAACATAGTGAGTTGCGATGGTGTAACATATTGAGTTGTGATGGTGTAACATATTGAGTTGTAATGGTGTAACATATTGAGTTGTGATGATGTAACATATTGAGTTGTGATGATGTAACATATTGAGTTGTGATGGTTTAACATATTGAGTTGTGATGATGTAACATATTGAGTTGTGATGGTGACCTCATCAGGAGGCTGTGTAGGGCCTGTGTAGGATTCCTCCATCTCCCATGGCAATCTTATCCAGGACTCAGACTAGACTTAGATATGTGGAACTCAAATACAACACTTTTTCAGTTTACCCACAATACCAAATAGTTGTTCCTCTTTCTAGTTTTTGGTTAACTATAAGACTATCGAGTATAGGTACTGTACTGTATGTTTGTGTTATGCTATAGCATGGTGTGTTTTAGGGGCTGTGCATGATATCCCGCTGTACATGTCTCTTTTGCCAATAACCACATGCAAGAAGCTATCCTTAGAACCACATATTTAAAGCTGAGTGCCTACCACTGTAATGAAGCACATGATGCATGTATTAATTTTTTATTATCTCACTTCCAGTGATCTTCATAATGGGTGACCAGGGTGGCAGGAAAGGCCAGAGTCGACAACAAGGAAACAAGGTTGATGCTGATGCTATTAGATTTGAGGAAAGAGCCAGAAATCTTGAACGTGCAGCTAAGGATATGCAGAAAATGCTGAAAGATAGTGAATATAATGAGTATTTGTACAGTCAGACCATATACAGGAGACCTGTATAGGAGTACAATTATAATGCAATTCCCCCCCCTTCTTTTTGTCTTGTTTTTCCCTTTAAACCTGATCAAACTTCAGAACAAGGTGGAAAAATTGGTAAAATATTGTACAGGTGGTCAGAAGTAGCAAAATGGTGAAGTCATTCAATCCTGGACACTGACCTTCTCCCAGCCTCCTATTTTTAAACCTGTGTATGGTCCTTCCACTTTGTCTTAAGGTTAACAACTGATGCAGAAATTCACATATTTTTGCATCTTTTAAAGGTACAAAGATACGGTACTGTACTGTATTTAACTGCACATAATCTATACTTAAAATTATACATTGAATCCTTAACTGTAACAAGAGGCCATAGCCCGCCTCTTCCAGCTGTGAATTTCAGCAGTGAGGTAAGTTTTGTATGCTACTGAATACTGTAGTGCAATCTTCTACATTCTGTTAGTAATTTCTTGGTGTATTCCAGTTGTTTGGAAGCAGAATGAAGATAATTTTCCTTTGCTTGAAGTTGCTTATTTGTCAGGTTGACCTCATAAAGAATGTTACACCATACAGTCAGAGAATCCAAAAAAATTTAAAGTGCATTTGCAAGAATGTTTGCATCGATGCATGCTGATGATCCTGTAAGTGTACAGTAGTGTCATCAGCAATTTCAATAAGTGCATCACAGATATCGCCAATCTTATAGCAAAGGGGATTTTAGGCGTCAATACAATCCTCCATCTTGTTTCATGGTATAAGAGAACATCCCAGGAACATGGTGAAGCTGAGAAAAATACTGTACATAGTTGTGCCGTACTAAATCAACCCCTCAGGATGTGAGGAGGCTGGGACAAAAGCAGGGGGATAAGCCTCACCCCCTCAGGATCACACTAGTGAGTGAGGAGGAGAAATGGGAGGTTATTCGGCAGGCAAAAAACTTAGCAAGGAGCGAGGCATCTCGGAGTGTATTCATTCACCCAGATCGCACAGTACAAGAAGCTCCTGCAGGGCTTGAAGCAGAAGAGGGAGGAGTCAAGGAGGAATGGGGACAGGTGTACATGGGTTATATTCAGGGGGAGGGTAGTGGAAGCAAGTGTGCCGACACAGAGCCAGGGGGCAGCAGCGCACCCTCCACCCGCTCTACCCCCTATCTGGGAGTTGGCACCAGCCCCGCCTACCAGACAGGAGGAGGCGAGCGCCGTGTAAACAATGACATTTCTAACCACACCCTGCAAAATACAGTGTACTTTGCAAATGCTGCAGCTTCTGGGAATGGAGTGGGGCCGGAGTTACTACTAAGAGCAGAGACATTACCGAGAACAAATTCTAGTTTGAATGTCATGTACACTAATACTGACACGTTTCTTGATAAGAGAGAGGAGTTTTAAACACTACTGAAGGTACACCAACCAGATATTGTAGTTGTAGAACTGTTGTACAAGAAGAGGAGAATCGACCCAGAGGAATGTGAGTTCAATATTGCTGGATATGACTCATTTACAAACCTTTCTCAAGAAACTTGCAAGAGGGTTGTGGTTACCGTATGTATGCTAGGCAAGACCTTAGAGCCATCTAGGTGAGGGTACAGGAAGAGGATGTTTTTGAAGAGTCCAAGTGGTGTAAAATTAAATTAAAGGGAAGGGACTTACTTATTGTCGAGTGTATCTACAGATCCCCAAACTGTGGCCCACTAAATCAAAGGAAGTTAAGAGCCTTAATAGACAATGCGGCGATGCTCAACCCTAACCACCTCCTTATCATGGGGGACTTTAACTATGGCGACATCGACTGGAGAAACGAGTTCACCCCAAGAGACTTGAATAACCCTGCTACTTTTTTTGTAGAAACTCCGAGAGATAATTTTCTGTTCCAACATGTTAAAGACCCGACACATTACAGAGGGGAGCAAACACCTATGCTAATAGACCTCATCATAACAAATGAGGAGGGTATGGTGGCCAAACTGGAACATCTAGCCCCAGTTGGCACCAGTCACCATGTAGTGTCATTCAGATTTCACTGTTACCTAGTTCATGATAAAGCCAGGCCAAAGTGCAAATATTACAAGGGAAATTACAATGGGGTGAGGGAAGAGATGAGGGGTATCCACTGGCCTGACTCACTAGGGCACATGAAAACAGACACTACGCTGAATATCATAACTAGTATATTAAGTGACTCATTTGATCGATAAACATGTACCCAAGACCAAATCCTGTGCCTCTAGGAATACTAGGGGATCCCTACACATGAACCATGTTGCAGTAGACAAAGTTAAGAAGAAAACCCAGAAATTCAAGATGTGGGTAAGGTCAAATGATGAGCAGGACAGGAGGATGTATGCAAGAGCCAGAAACCAAGCAAAGGTAGAGTGTAGAAGGGCTGAAAAGGAGTTCCAGAGGCTGGTTGCAAGCGAGGTCAAGTCAAACCTAAAGGCGTTTTAACGCTAAGCAAAGTCAAAATTAAAAATGCGAGTAAGAGTATCAGACCTGAGGCTTGAAGATGGTAGCTACGCAGATTCTGACCAGGATGAAGCTGAGGCACTGAGCAGCTTCTTTTCCTCGGTGTTCACAAGAGAGGATATGATTAACCTTCCCCAAGGCTGAGGACAGATTTGCTGATAGCCAGTGACTGACCCACATTATTGGTGTTCCGTGAAGAGGGTATAAAGAAGCAAACTGTCGTGCTGGGGCAACCCAGTCCTGGCCCTGACATGGTGCATCCCAGAGTGCAAAGAGAGTTGTGCAACGAGCTTCCCGAGCCCCTGAAGATCCTGTTATGTAAATGCCTGAACAAAAGGTCCCCAGTGATTGGAAAATGGCTTATGTGAGTCCTATCTGCAAGAAGGGCAATCGTCACTCCACAAATAACTACAGGTGAGCCTGACCAGCATAATATGTAAAGTACTTGAGAATATTATCAGAGATACCATGATGGAACATCTACTACGAAACAACCTTGTAAAGGATTGTCAACTCGGTTTTATACTGTGGCGCTCCTGCTTAACACAATTGCTCAAGGAATTAGATATTTGGACCCATATTCTGGAACGGGGTGGCACATAATATCGACACTATATGACTAGATTTTGCCAAGGCTTTCGACAGTGTACCCCACGAAAGGCTGAAAATCAAACTTGAAGGGTACGGAATTTGGGGAAATGTCCTAGCGTGGATAGAAGACTTTCTACATGACCGCAAGCAGTGTGTGGTGATTAATGGCACGAAATCGTCATCCGTACCTGTCACAAGTGGGGTACCACAGGGCAGTATATTGGGCCAGCTGTTGTTTGTTTGTTTTATAAATGACATGACTGACGTTGTACACTCCTCCATACAAATGTTTGCCGATGAGGCCAAGTTATTTCGGGAAATCAAGAACCAAGCGGAATGTGTAGATCTGCAGAAGGATCTCTGTGAGCTCCAAGAATGGTCGAAGAAATGGCTGATGAGATTCAATGTCTCGAAGTGTAAGAGGATGCACTTGGGGCATACCAACGTACCTGTCTGGTCCCCGAGATATGCTAGGGACTGTCAGTTGGTTGAAAATGTTCAAAGGAGGGCCACCAGACTGGTGCCTGCACCTCGGCACCTCAGCTACCTTGAGAGATTGGAGCGCCTGAACTTGCCTAGCTTATACTACAGATGGGCAAGGGGCGATCTATTTGAAGTGCATAAGCATCCAGGGGCACTACTCAGTCGAGTGCCCTTACTTGGAGCTGGCAGACGCTCGCCCCACAATGGGTCACAGCTCAAGATGGAATAAGCCGCAGGTCCAGAAAACTGTGAAGGCAAACTTTTCGGAGTGAGAGTTGTGAACTCTTGGAACAATCTGCCAGAAAGTGTTGTGACGGCACTGAGTGTGAGCTCTTTCAAGACCAGACTTGACCAACACTGGAGCAGGTTCAGGTACATTCAGGAGCCGGTGCAAGCTCAATACTTGCCAACAGTACGTAACAGGGATGTGACCGATCGCCCAAGCGGCTAACGAGCCGATCAGTGGCGAAGAGGATAAAAGTAAATAATGTAAACCCCGAAGCAACATCTGGCACATAATTTACAACTAAATTCAGAGAATGCACTGCAAGGAACTAATAATACACAAGGGTTAATGTCCTTCGTTCTCTTTTGCACACCAATGTGTTTACTTTTCATGTTGTTGCCGTTATCATAAGCCTGGCCATGAAAGTTCTCCAAGCATAATGACATTCCTTCAAATTGATGAAGGATGCTTTCGGTCATGAAAGCATCAGATGTATCCCTTAATGGAATGAAACCAAAAAAATATTCACTTTTCTTTCTTTTTATTATTTTTTTTACAGGGATTAGTCCACCCGGGCACAGGTCACTGACCCACATCGGAGCCTGGGGGACGAAAATGTGATGATGATAGTTATAATTCATAGTTTAATAAAATTTATAATAAAAAATAGTTAAAAATAACATAATAAAAAATAATAATGATAATAATAACACTGTAATAATAATAATATTATTATTATTAATAATAAAGAATACGAAAATGAAAAAAAATCAAACGTAAGAAACAATATGTGTACAGTATGTTGTGTTGTTAAGGTAAGAGAAACAATTGAGACCCTGCACTTGTGTGTAAATGAGGCAGAAAGTCAGATGAGCAATCTGGGACTTGGTCACATATGGCAGCAGGGTCTACCATAGACAACACATTATGCTTCCAATATCTTCCCAGGCAGTAGTACCTCCCTGTTTGGTAGCTGCCTACTACCTCAGCAGTTTCCATAAATGCAGACTTAACATCTACAAAGTGAAATATTATTGTCATTTGCTCAACAACGTGTCCCACATCAGGTGTACAGTCCAGCACTATCGAAAAATACTTTACAGAATGAGCAGCTTGCTGAGCCTCTGCATGTGCTATTACAGGGGCATGTTCTACTCCTACCTCAGAATTTGTTCCATGTTGTAAACTGTCTTGCTCTTCATGCTGTTGGCAAAGATATTTCAGCAAGGAACCCCCTAGTTTTGATTGTTCTTTCTCCCTTTCAGCTTTCTGTTTACGATACTGAGCTCCAGATAGACACTTGTTATCTACCATGCTGAGATACAGAAATTATAAGAAATAAAAATATATTCTTACTAAGCTGAAATAGGATTAAATAGAAATTATTACTGTACTAGTAGATGGCCTATTACTACATTTAAATGCCATACTGGATGGCTTTTGGTAAAGTGTGATTTATCACGACTGTATAAATTGAGTATACGGTAGAAACTGGTGTTAAAATGGGATTATGAGCCATGATCTGCCTTGTTATTAGCAGATAAGTCTGGCATATAATGTATAAAAAAATGCTTTTACTGGTGTAAAACTTCTGCAGATTTTAAATGCATGTTGTCTGGTGGACACAGGAGTGTTACCTCTGTAAAGGCATTGGAAAAATGCTGTATAATGCAGTCCATTTGTTCAGAATACTTGGTAATTACAGTACTGTATAATACAGTTTATGAATTTGATTTTCCAGAGAAATTTAGTTGGTTACTATTCGGTATTTGACTGTGGCTGGACTTCAGTATACAAACAAATTCAGTACACAAGACTGGAAATGTAAATTGCCTGTAGTATTAGTTGAGTTTGGGTTTTAATATTATTTTGCTCGTAATATTACTGTGCCATTACTGGTGGCACCTCTCACAGTTCAGTGGGGGGAGGGAAGGGGATAATAGCAATCAGCCTACAATGTCATGAAATGCAAGAGTCGTACTAACAGTAAAGAGGCGTATCAAGTCCCAACGGCATTGCTGGAGGCCCCAAATGTGAAAAGGACCTGGGGTATGTCACCAGACTAGTGTCTGCACTACAGCACCTCAATTACCCTGAGATATTAGAATGCCTGCAATTGCCGAGATTAAACTATAGGCAGGGAATGGATGACTTAATTGAAATTTATAAACATGTCATAGGCTAGTATTCAGTTGGGTTTTCATACCTGGAGCTGGCAGATGCCTGCCCCACTAGGGGTCATAGTGTAAAGTTGAAGAGGCCACAAGTTCAGAAAATTGTCAGGGATAACTTTTTCAGAGTGAGGGTTGTGAACTCTTGGAACAATCTGCCAGAGAGCATTGTGACAGCATCAAGTGTGAGCTCATTCAAGACTAGACTTGACCAATACTGGCAAGGATATACTTTTACTTTTTTACTTTTATCCTCTTCGCCACTGATCGGCTTGTTAGCCGCTTGGGCGATCGGTCACGACTCTTTTCCTTTATATTCTTCACCAAAAGGTCATTTCGCTAGCCGCCCGGGCGATCGGTCACGTCTCTGTCACGCACTGTTGGCAAATACTGGGCATGCACCGGCTCCTGAATGTACCTGAACCCGCTCCAGTGTTGGTCAAGTCTTCTCTTGAAAGAGCTCACACTCGGTGCCGTCACAACACTTTCTGGTAGATTGTTCCAAGAGTTTACAACCCTCACTCCGAAAAAGTTTGCCCTCACGGTTTTCCGGACTTGCGGCTTCTTCAATCTTGAGCTGTGACCCCTTGTAGATACATTCTTGAGCTAGTACATGCCCAGTACTTACTAACAATGCAAAACAGACGTGACTGACTGCCCAAGCAGTTAGCGAGCCAATCAGTGGCAAAGAGGATAGAATTAGAAGTACAGTACAGTGCAATACTGTATAGTAAAAGTAAAAAAGGAGGAAACTAATACCTGGAGAAAACCTGCCACTTTTAGTACGTTCACACTGGATAACACCACTCTTACATCTGACCTGGGCTAGGGATTGAACCTAATTACACAAGTGATAGATATCTAACTAAGAACTGAAGAACTGCCCAAATGATTAGTATGGTAATTAGTGGTGAAATAATACATACATACATTACATGCATGGGGTTTCCTGTTTTGGGGGCTTCTTAGCATCCCGGGATTCTGGGACAAACCAGGATATTTCTTGGGATCCCGGGATTTCCCGCATCAGGTGATATTTGTACTAACTAATGCTAACCCTATACTTCATTAGTGTAGTATCTGTAGATTATTTGATAGGCATTGATTTGATAAATTATATTACACTGATGCGAAGTTCTCTATATTAACTTGCATACTTGTGTAAAAATAGGTACATAATATAATTAAACAAGCAAAATTTTAATTAATCTCAATCTGTTAGCCATAAAAGAAACTCAAAGACATTTGGAATGGCATTCAAAGTTAGCTATTATGAAAAATAAGAATTCTATATTTCATGCCATTTGGAAGCCACATTCTACAAAAACCTAAAGCAAACACTTGAATGACCTGTGAAAAAAATAATACTGTAGCATAAAATCATTTGTGCACACAAGCCACACAGTCACGCACACATTAAAAGTTGTCCATGAAATAACTCTTCAAGAAACACAAACAGTCAATCTCATTCTGTTAACCACAAAAGAAACTCAATGATATTTGGAATGACATTCAAAGTTAGCCATTATAAAAAAAAAATTATTCTATGCCATTTGGAAGCCCTACTCTACAAAAAAAAACTTAAAGAGAACACTTGAATGACCTGTGAAAAAAAAAGGAATTTAGAATCATTTGCACACACAAAGCCATGCACACAACTAATAGTTGTTCATGAAATAACTCCTCAAGAAGCACAAACACTCAATACTGCGGTCAGTGAGCCTTGTTCATAGTTTTGTAATAAATAGGCTAGCAGCTGAAAATGCCCTTCTGGTTTCAACTGAAGTTGGTGGTACTGAGATGAGGGCCTGGAATAGTTTCTCTAAATTATGTGTTCTCTCTCCTGTTGCCTCAAACACATCGAACTCTTTCCTAATATGTTTGCATTCATACACCTTTCTACTTTTACTCTGAACCTGTTCTATTGCTGCCTTGAGTTTATCTGTGAGTGTCATTTATTCTTCTACAGATATTTCCATATTATCCTTAGCTGGTGGCTGCCAAAGCATTTTTGTATTTTACACATTGCAAATCAGAGATAAGGAATAACAATAGGAATCCCGGGATTTGAACCAAATTCCCGGGGAAAAAAAATAACCACACTTAAGCCAGGGATCCCGAGATCCCGGGAAGGAAACCCTAATTACATACATACATATTCCTGTACTACTAATAAAAAAAATTGAGTGGCAATCAAGTAATACCACTTAATATCTAGAGCACCTGTATGTAGATATTGATCTTAACTTTTCTGCAATATGAAAAGTATGTTGATGTAGTACTGTACATGTACAGTATACAGGGGTATTGGTAGTACAGAACAGTGGTAAAGCTCAGATCTGTCACCAGTGTGCCCTGGATTCAAGCCCTGGCATGTGGCAGACATCAAAAGTATGTTATTCAGTGTGACCCAACCAAATATGGCAGGTTTCCTCTGGGTAGTTCTGTTTCTTTCAATACCAAAACATACAATTTAAAGTCTTTGTTTACCATAAACTACACTGTACTGTATATGAAGTGTACATTAATTATTTACTCAGCAGGCTGCAGTAGAAGCTGGTCTACCATACTGGATCACCAAACATGAGAGTAATAAATGGACATTTGAACTATGTTTTTTCAACTGATGAATTTAAATTGATTATTTTTTATAGTTGCCATAGAGAAGACCAAAGGCGGAGCCTCCCAGAAGCCCCCTAACAAGACTCCTAACAAGCCCCCTAACAAGCCTCCTGACAAGATGAACAAAGTAAGCCAAGACATAAGTTTGAAGGAAAGATTAAAGATTTCATGATTATATGAACTTGTATAAGTTTATACTGTACTTGACAGAGTTAAGTCTAAACTGTTCACTTGTGCTTTATGGCATTTTACTGTCAGTCATACCATTTACACTACACGTACTGTACTGTACAGCATTTTAGTATAAAATCTATATTTTTTATCAATTTTGTTTTCTATGTCACTAAACATTTTATTTATCACAACCACCTGATGAAATTATGATGACAAAATGTGTTATACATACATTATTGAAATACAACGCTGTAATCTGAAAAGAAAGATCAATAAAATAATTTAATCTTGCAGATTTGAATATATTAAATGAACTTTGTGTTTTCATTCAAAATCTGTTTCAGGAAAGCAGAGGAAGTAAATCCCTGATGAATTTAAACTTTAGTGCAAATAAACAGGTAAAGGGAAACCAAGGCCCACCTCAGGCACAGCGAGGAGGCAGTGGAAGAGGAAGGGGCAGAGGATATGGAGGAATGCATCAGAACGTATCATCACAGCAGCAACACTGGAACAGACACAATGATGGTCTTTTGGGTCTTCCCCCATGCAATCCAAGTGCTCCTAAATTATATTCTGGATATCATGGTCCAACTCATCATGAAAACCGTGGTCCTCAGCATTTTCAGGGCCCAAGACCTCCATATTATCCTCCACAAGGACCACATGCTTATGAAGTACCACAATATGATTTTCCTTCACACTTTGGAGAACCTCCACCTTCATATGAAGAATCAAGTAGAAAAATGCCACTTAGGTGTAGCAGCTCTTTTGATTGCCCCCCTCAAGTGCAGTCAACACCTGAAAAGCTGCCGCCTCATTGCCAAGGAAAATACAAGAAAATGGCACCACCCTCTAGATCAGTTGTTGAAGAATTGGTGAAGGCCATGACATTGTTTAAAGGGCAGTGGTGCACTGCTGAGACCCTCAGTCGGCAGGTTCAAAAAAGTGTGGAGGAACTCATGGAAGTGGTGAAGTCTTGTAAGAATATATTTTCCTTTATGGAGGGGAAAAATGGGGTGATGATTGAGCTTGTTCCAAAAGTGAACTTATGTTCAGCCCACTTGTCTGAGGAAGGCTGTCTTTCTCCTGGTTCTTGTAAGAATCTTCATCTATGTAAGACATTTGTAATGGGATTTTGTAATGCGGGTGCCTCATGCCAGTTTGGGCATAGATGGGAAACTGATCACAACAATTCTCTACTTTCAAAGTTGCATTTATCTCTGATTGATAAAAATGATTTACGTCTCGTGATCAGAAAGGTCTGCAGAGGAAAGGATTCCCCTAAAATATGTTATTTTTACAATGATAAAAATGGATGCAGGAACAATGAGAAATGCAATTGTTTTCACATCTGTAAAGATTTTGTAGTGAATAGAGGAAAGTGTTCTGTGTCAAATTGTTCCCTCAACCACAATCTCTTCACCGACAACTGTAAAAGGCTATTCAAGCGTTACGATATCTCCATCAATGAGTCCCCACGTGACATTTTGATAAAATTAATGTCATTAACTCAGGATGATAACCAACAGTCTTCTGCATCAGCCAATGTGAATACTGGTGATGCCAAGGATGAAGGCAAGAAGAAAGCTCAGAAATCAGAACCTAAAGATAACAGTAAAAATGATGCTTCAACAGTATCATCTGGAAAATCAGCAAATGAAGGGGAAAAGAAGGGGAAAAAATCTGCTGAAAAGAAAGAGGAAGACAGTTCATCAGATAGTGACAGTGATTCATCTTCTGAGCAGAGTGATGCTGGAGATAGCCATAGTAAAGGCCAGAAAAAATATAAGAAAGAAAGAAAAGCTAATACTGAGGGTGAAAGAAAACCCAAAAAGAAAAAGTCAACCACTGTCAACTCGACTGATGTTTGTGGTGATGTACAGATACCAGAAGTATGTATTTTTGCCGTTAATGATAAATGTATAAACACCAAGAAAGGCTGCAAGTATCTTCATGCAAAAAGTCTTTTTCATTGGCAGTTTGAAAAGGAGAAAAAATGGTACAACTTTCGCGTATTTCAGTCTAAAGCTCTAGAAAATGCTTACAGGGATGTTTCCAATGGCGGTGTCCAGATACCTCCCTTTGACGAAAGCAAACTAGAGTCCTTTGCTAAAGACATGCTGATGCTTTTGGGAACTGAGTCATGGATGGCAAACTTCCAGGATATGACTTTAAACAATTCTTCAAGAACCAAACAACTTAATATCCGTCGATTGTCAACTCGATCAGCAACTGTGTCTGCAAGTCCAAAATCTACTGTTTTTGAATGGTACTTTCTTGATGAACAAGGCAAGTGGATCCGCTATGGTCAGGTAGATAGTCTTGGTAAACAGGAACTTGTGTGCCACATATCCTCAGAGGATATTGAAAAGCAATATTTATCGGACCCCACTTCGTCAATGATAATATGTAATGCTCATTTTAATTACAAATTGGATTTCTCACAAATGACTCAAATTAATCAAAATACAAACACTGCAAAGGAGATTCGGCGTCGTCCATCACGACTCTCTTATCAGAGACCCTCACCATCTGACTCGGTCCAGTCATCCCTTCCGGCTCACTGGATACCAATGGGAAACCATCAGACCCACTTTCCTGTTACTCTGGTTCCTAATGACAAAGAATTTCTGGAAGTAGCTGGACGTGTGCGACTTATGCTTCCCACTGCCAACATACAGAAGATTCAGAGACTTCAAAATCCATATTTATGGCACCTTTTGCAGAATAAGAAAGCAGACTTAAGTCAAAGGTATTTTTTTTAGTTTTTCTTTGGATTTGTATACTGTAAGTGCACAAACATAGGTTTACAGTGTTTCTATCCTGTTATAATTTCTTTTGTTGATATGTTGATTTATGGTATTTTCCTTTGCTTTGCCTCCGCCACTTATCAGCTTATTAAGGTCACACTAGACAACAACCTTCTCACATCAAACGCAGCTGGAAATTAAGACCCAGACCTCAGTTGTGAGAGGCTACCCTGTTGAACACTTCCCATGTTTAGTAGAGCCACACTGGTTATTACCCTACCCACGTCTATCCCAGACTGGGGGATTGAACCCAGGACATAGTAATTAGGGATACACATGTTGCTTCTGTACCACCAACACCCCCTATGTATGCAACTTTTTTTCATTGTATTGTTCCTTTTATACAAATATATCTTTAAAAATTTTGTATGGTACCAGCAAATAATCCTGTTGTACTGCTGCCTCAAAAGGTAAGAATATTTTGCTTTTTGTTGCATAATGATTGGATTGTTTTGCAAACTTGTGGATGGCGGCTTAAGTTTGTGAAAACCAGGAACTGGTAGGTTGTGTGGCTGCTGCATTTAAGAGGTTTTATTCAACTAACATATACAATTGTTATAGGATTTGCTGTATGAATACAGTGGTCCCTCGGTTAACGAGCGCCTCGGTTAATGATTTACCTTCCATAAGATTCTTAACTTCGGTTAACGAGCAATCCCTCGATTAACGAGTTTTTTACGAGTCGACTTCAACATGTTTTCACTTGCATTTGGCGGTCCACCAGCTGTAGTATTAGTCCGCCAATACAGTAATCGGTTTTAGGGCTTAAATTCCTTACTATTTTAGTAAATATCAAGAAGTTTATACTATTCAATAATTTTAAAAGTTTAATATTAACTTTTTTAGTCATTTTAACAATTATTGAACATAATTGAAGGTAAAGAAACTAGTTTCTGGCGTGCCATGCATCCTGTTAACACACCAGACAGGCGTTAGTCTCTCTGTTTTCAGTGGAGGTAACATCTTGCTTGAGACTCTCTTCAACTAATTCTTTTTTTCTGTGTTTCCAAGCAAATTATTGGTCATTTTGAAATATATTTTACATATTGACAATATATAATGCAGTGCAGTGTTGATTTAAAGAAAATAATCTTGAAATACACCAAGAGAACTAAAATTTTATGGGTGAAATGGCACCATGGGGTGACTTCTCTTCCACCCCAATGCCTTCTCTTCTCCCTTCTCCTCCACCCCCATTCTAATTCCCATCATCATCATCCAGGAGCCTTCTACATACACACCTCAAAGTAAGTGTACTTTTCTACCTTTTTTGTTGAATTTAGGCAATTTTCGGTGAGCTGGAACCAATTACTGGTACCCAAAAGCCCATTGAAACAATGGTTTCAGTTAACGAGTTTTTCGGTTAACGAGCAACCTGCTGGAACGGATTGTGCTCGTTAACCGAGGGACCACTGTATAGAGATACTGTAAATAATTAGTGATCTAAATTTTACATTACCTGTATATTACAAATGCTCTCCACTCTTGGCAGGTATGATGAAAACCAGTTGAATTTTCAAAAGCTGTTCTATGGAACAGACCCCTCAAAGATTGACACCATATGTAAGGAGAATATTGACTGGCAACATGGTACAACATTTCAACAGGACTATGGGAAAGGCGCTTACTTTTCCAACAGGTAAGGTGTTAGGCCAACCCCTATCTCTTTGAATTTCATCATAATTCTGGAAAGACCAATTTGTTATGAAAAGTAATTTTTACAGGTATTTGTTTTTATAAAAATATAACCTTTTGTGTCAAATCTTACAAGATGAAAGTCTTTGAGGAACTACAGTATTTTAATTAAAGATGATTACAGCATTTCACAGATATACAGATGTTGACCATTACCGTATATCTCGGCTTATAAGACGGAATTTGAACATTAAAAAAATCTGCCCAAAGTTAGGGGGTCGTCTAAACCACCAAGTATAAAATTCTTACCTCTTAAATATTGTGGTTTAGTGTGTCAAGAGTGGTGATGGAAACATCGTAAGCCACTCACAAGGTCTTACCACTAATTATTTTATACTGAAACTTACGTTTGGCAAGCCGGATTCAAATTAAGATTACCGGTGTATTAAAATAATAAAAATGTATTATAAACCTGTCTAACATACCATAAAAGAGAATTATACCCCTGTAATAAACACAGCTATCATCACACACCCCTCCCCATGCCCCCCCCCACCCCCATTTGCCAGTGAGGAGACAAGAAAGGGAAAGTGACCGCGAGATTGGGCTATTTTTAGTCGTGGAGGTGGTCAGTAATGCATATCGGTATATTTACTGATAATAATACTTCTCCTATAAATAATTAATTTAAAATTTATTTTTTCACAAGGAATATTCAGTAAATGACTGCATTAATTCTTGAAACTACTGACAGTTAAATACAGACGCTTAAGTGACGTCACTAGTGTTTACACTACACCAGCTGGTAACATTTGATGCCATTACTTGAAGTGAATTGGCCTTATTTTAAGTAACTAACCATAAATAAATACAAAAAGTAAAAAAAAGATCAAAAGTGAGAAATAATATACTGTATGTATGTTGTGTTGTCAAAGTTAGAGGAACAATTCAAACTGCAATTGTGTGTAAATGAGGCAGAAAGTCAGGTCAGCGCTGAACCTGGGACTTGGTCACAATTTTCATGATGCCATATGGCAGCAGGGTCTAACATTAGACAACACATTATGCTTCCAATATCTTCCCAGGAGGTAGTATCTACCTGTTTGGTAGCTGCCTACTACCTACACAATTTTTAGTAATATTACTTTGATACATGATAAATTAGACAATGAAAATAAACATCAAATTTAATTACCAAGACGCTTCCCATTGGCAGCTGTAAGAAGAGGGGGAGATGGGCTATTTATAGCCCGTCTTTGTGTCTGAAGTGACCAGTACCGGTACCCTAATGCACCATAAATAATTCATTTAACATTTATTTTTTGTGTATATATATATATATATATATATATATATATATATATATATATATATATATATATATATATATATATATATATATATATATATATATATATATATATTACATATAGATGTTTTTTATATGATTTTATCATTTCACTTCTTTGATTTTTTTCCCTCTGCCGGTGATGTCGGCTCAAACGCTATTTTAATTTGCCACCTGCTGACTGCCTGACTGCCTGTTTTAGCTCATAAATTCATACAATGCCAGTCAGAATATAATTTACATTGCTGGACTTCTTATAATTTGGTGATTTTGAATATAACATCATATATTTGCATTAGACATACAAATTTTAGATAAAATTTTCTCTGAGTAACTATATTTTCTTTTTGCATATATGACATTTATATCTCAGTCTTTGGTCCAGCAATGTCAATTATATTATCTAACTTTGGGTATTTATTAAATTGTGGTTATCACATCCTTGGGACGGTTGGTGGGGGTGGGGGGGAGGGAGGACCGACCGACCATCTGTTACCCTGTGAAGAATATTTTCTTTTTGAGAATATTTGTTTTAGCTCATAAAATTCATACAAATTACCGGTCAGAATATAATTTATTTTGAATTCTTATAATTTGGTGATCATTTTGAATATAAACATCATATATTTTGCATTAGACATACAAATTTTAGATAAAATTTTCTCTGAGTAACTATGTTATCTTTTGTGCAAAATATAACATTTATATTCAAAATATTCCTAGTCTTAAAAGGAATCCGTCGTATTAATTGTATTATCTAACTTTAAGTTTGAGGTATTATTTATTAAAATTCTGTAGTTTTCCCCAAAAATTTCAGAAGGGAAGAGCCAGCAGTGTGTTTGAAGAGGGAGGGAGTTGAGTCCATTATTTGATGGACATTAACTTGTGATCTTTATTTCTCTTTCTCTTAAGTATTAATTGTGTGCATGTACCATCATAAAATTAAGATGTTATTTTACTTAACATAGTTATGTTTCTTTAAAAAGTGATTTGAACAGGTTTATAGACCTCTGGAGTTCTATTATTTAAATAGTAGAATCTAATATATATATATATATATATATATATATATATATATATATATATATATATATATATATATATATATATATATATATATATATATATATATATATATATATATATATATATATACCCGGTATATGATGAGGTTAGGGACTTCAAAAAGCCATCATAAGGTGATTGATCATACAGTAACCCACACGTTATTTTTCAATTCGTAATTTCGGGTAGATATACTGTACATATTTTTAATTACTGTATTTATTTATTTATTTGCCGTTTCATGCACAAACAATCTTTCATACAGGATGTGGAAAAAAATAATTATAAGGTCAAAAACATTTCTTACATGCACCAGAGTTAACATAGAGTGGGGTAGAAATATGCAATGTCCCCCCCCCCTTTTTTTTATACATATCCCTATTACGTGCACACAATCATTTATACAAAATGTAAAAAAATATATATATATATATATAAATAATAATTATCATAAGGTAAAAAACATAAGGGAGTAAACATTTCTTTCGTGCATTTATCATACAAGAGGAAGGGACAAGCAATACAGCAGTAATGCGTGTATCTCTCACCATTGTGTCATGGGTTTGAGTTCTGGCCCAGACACATGTAAGAAGGGTGTTATTATTTTCCAGTGTGACCTACCAAACACAGCAGGTTTCCTCCTGTACTAACACTGGACACTACAGCCCACAACAAGAACTGACCAACTGCCTTAATAGCTAGTCAGCTGATAGGTAAAAAATTACAAATGAAATAAATAAATAAATTTTAGTTCTCTGTATGACATTGTTTCTGACCCACTCACTTAAAGAATTTGTTTTTCTGTGATGGGTGACTAAGCTGTACCTAATCCTCATACTGCGATCATCTTCAAACTTAATTTAGTTGTGCCAGCAATCCTATATATGACTGTACCTGATGGTGAATGTTGTTCATATAATCTCCACTATCACCTTCACCATTTGTCAATTTACTAGGTTGTTGGGCAATGATCAGTTCTGTGTTAAGACACTTCTGGTAAATACAGTAGTTAACAGTACAGTACAAGGCTCACACAGGTTCATGATTATACAGTACAATACTTAAAATACATTCTGACCAGTTATTACAACAGTTGACAACTCTTACTCCAAAGAAGTTAGCACTGACAATCTTTACTGATAACATCTTTAACTTGGAGCTGTGACATCTAGTGGAGTTGCCATCTGCTAATTCCAGATATGTACAGTTGACCAAGTAGCGCCCACTGAGGCAATTACTGTACACACTTACAGTAAATCACACCTTACTTTTTTCTTTTAGACTTAACGGTTGTAAATGTTTTATTCTGGTGTGAGTGCAGCACATATCCATGGTCTCAACCAGGTGGTACAAAGGTCTGTGACATACCTCTGAGACCAAACAGAATTAGTGATCCAAGTAAAATAGAGCTACATCTTTAAATACCCTTATTAGAGACAGTCCACCTATGTCTGTGTAAGATCTTTGTATTAGTCCTATTAGTCAGGTGCATTTGTCCCAATAAACTGAGAACTTCCTCACCTTGTCAACATTAATATAAAGGTCTGTCTTACATGTAGTTAAAGTTAGGGTTATTTCTTCATTGTCTTAGGACATGTGGTACACTGGTCTTACACCCAAAGTGCATCCTCGTGCATTTCTTAATGTGTGTGGTGGTGACAAGAGGCAGCATCTGGCATAGTGACCAATATTAATTTCAAAGATGTGAAAACAATAATATTTTATTAATACAGGTATAAATAAAGATAATCAAGTTACTGAGCTATTTATTAAATCAGACAAATTTTTTTGTATGAACTCCTGGCAAATGTGGCAACTCACTAGAAGGTGCTGGTACATGAATAAACCCATTTAATTCACATATTTTGGCTTCGGATTTTTTTTTTTTTTTACATAAAGTGTGCACACAATATTCTTTTATTTTGTTATTCAAATAGTAAAACAAATATTCAACTGAGTTTGTGTGTATGTGTAAGCAAATCTTGACTTAACAAGGGAAAACAGCCCAGTTTTTGATAGTCTGTACTGCACCTGTAGCCTGTCAACATAAATGATTGTTTTATATGAGATACCAATAAATTTATAACATCATTCTCATGTTTTCAGTGCTGCAGTTGCTCGCAGTCATTGTACTGTAGATGGGAATGGCCACTTCTTCGTATTATTGGCAGGGGTCATAATAGGGACAGTGACAAAAGGAACGCCAACTCTCACCCGGCCACCCACAAATCTGTCTACTGGTAAGCAGTACGACACAACTGTGGATGATGTGCACGCCCCAACCATCTTCGTTAAGTATGATAAGGGAGAGTATTATCCCGAGTATATTATAGAATTCTACTAAAAGGCAGTAACTACTGTACAGTATATATATATATTAAATGTGCTCCATGAATTTTGTGTCATCCTGGAACACATTTTGAATACAGTACTGTGTCAAACTGCCTCTTAAATCTCCCAGTGCCTTACAGTTAACGATTTTCACTAGATCTTAGCACCTAGTACAGTAATGGAAATACGTCTCACTCGTACAGTATAAATGCCTCCACCTTTCTGCCTACATACAGTACATGTTGCATGTTCTCTGTTTGTGTTTCTTTGTAAACCAGAGACGGTATAGTGCAGTAAACTGATATGTTTCAGTTTTTGCTCTGTAACATTGTTATATGTGTATTACAAATAAAGATAGATCTTTCTTGCGTGACAAGAACCAAATTTATAATAAATATGTTATGTATACCTTAACTGTTACAGTATTGTCTTTACAGGACTACAGTACTTTAGTTTTTACATAAAGTGAGCAGCTAAAAATGTTAAGAAAATTAATTAATATTTTGTTGACTCTGAATTGAGTTTAAGAAACGTATATATCTTTGGCTTTGGGAGAACCCTGTTGGTGTAAGAACAGTATTTGTACAACACACACACACACACACACACACACACCATACGCAGGGAGAGAGAACTTCGCTACAGCAAAGATAATTTTTTCTAAGTTAGTTATTAAAATGTTAATCAAGATATAACAAGTCGCTGATTTACATTGTAGACACTATATTCCCGGGGCACATTTTCAGTCGTCCTAACCCTAAGTTTTTCAGTGAACCTCATACAGTGAAGCTTTTCATTAGCATGAACCAAAGTAAAGTACTAAGTTAAAAAGTTAAATGGCAAGTTGAAATGGTATGTGACATTAAAGTACAGTGCAGGTTTAAAACAAGAGAAGTTTTCAGTCATTTTAACCTAACTTTTTCACAACTTCATACGGTAGAGCTATTCATTGTGTATGAACCAAAGCAGACTATTAACTTTGTGTTATAATAGCATACTGTACTGAAGTTCTGTATAGGTTAAAAATAAATGACATCTGTGAATACACATTTATTTACAAAAAAAAAATCTCTAAATGGTGAAGCCATGACACCACTCACAAGCAGCTGCCACACCACGAGACTCACCTCATAATTATTCTTTCTCCACTTTTCTTTAATAAGCATCACTTATACAATTAAAACAAAAAGACTCTCAGACTTAAACTAACCAAGTATGTCTAAATGCACATTGCTTTCCTCTGCAATGTCACTGTCAAGGTCACTCTCCTCCCCAGCCAGTCTTCCCCAGGTGTCATCTTGTCCCAAACCTCTCTTCACACTTCCTGAATTTTCATGTCTAAACTGATGGAAACATGAGATTTCTTGAGTACAGTACCCGCAGGACTGTTTGCAGAATGTTTTCCATTTATTTATTTTTTTTTTTAATAATGGGCTCAAAAATATTTCACAGAGCAGCACCAGTTGTTGTCACTGGCAGAATGCGTGAAACTGAATTTTGGCGAGCTGGGAGAGTGTAGGTGAGGCATGAGATTCAAACTGATGCTATATCAGACTTCAGCAACTTATATCACTCTTGTTCCATAATTATTAAACCACTTTATATCGAAATGGTGTAAATCAGCGAATGATTATCCTGACGAATCTGAAGATGGAGACAAAGAGGTTTTATCAAGATAAAAGTCTGTTTGCAATGTGAGCATTAGATTAAAGATAAAATACTGTACCTGTATAGCATTACCTGTAAATTGCAAGTAGATTACCCGAGGTAGGCAAGTATGAAGTTGTTTCCTGGGCAAAATGAAGCAAACTTTATAACTATATATTAGTCTGAGCTATTAGATTAATTTGGTGTGTCAATTGACATTCTGCCATGTTAGCATGTACAGTACTGTATTATTAATGTGCTGGTCGAGGCTGTAGGATGAATAAGGCCTGGATGTACCCATGGATATTTGTAAGATAACTTCACCTGACCCAATGTAACACATCCAGGTGTCAAATGTCAGCATCCAAACAACCATAAACACCAACTGAAGTCTACTTTCTGCTGGTGTGTATTGTTACTGTAAAGACTTATATTTTTGGGAGGAGGATGTAATAATGACTTGAGACTTTTTACATGGCCTGATGTTTCTTAATGTAAAGACTTATCTTTTTGGGAGGAGGATGTAATAATGACTTGAGACTTTTTACATGGCCTGATTTCTCTTAATGTAAAGACTTACCTTTTTGGTAGGAGGATGTAATAATGACTTGAGACTTTTTACATGGCCTGATTTCTCTTAATGCTGTACCGACAAGGACAGCTTGGTAATGTGGTCACTGAAGAACTATTTGATCTTATTGAAATGAATCAGGCTTTGCTGCTCAGTGCATTTTATCTTGAGAAAACTCTTGTGAATTGACTAATGCAGGAAAAAGAATCTTAAGAAATGCATCTCAGCAGATCTTTTAATACGGTATATATGCAGTTCCTCAATAATACATAATATTACCTTCAGTGTAGGGATTCAACACCTGACACATGCAGTGCTCAGTTAATTTTAACCCTTTCACTATGGGATACCTTTTCTAATAGTTTATTTGACTAATGCCAGAAAGTTTTATTCACTGGAGAGAGGTCCCCTGTACCCAAGGAGTAAATAAACTATCTCCACTGAGTGGTTTTCATGCTTGCAGTCCTGTACTCGGTGCTATGTGGCTCATGCGCTACAGTATATATACTGGTGCATATTTCATCACATCTTGTGTTGTATGGTGAAGGGATTATGCAAATTATCTCTACAGGGTGGCCCACAAGTAGTAATTAAGGGAAAAGAAAGGGTAAAACCTTTTTAATAAGCTTAGAAATATGAAGTGATTAATGAGGGTCCAAAACCAAACAATATACTGTACTGTAAATGGATCTATGAGCTTCCCTGTATAAGGAATCATTCTGTTGTAGTTTATTAATTGTCAGTTGTATCTTATATCATTTATATCTCTCGTACTTAAACTGTTAATTTGATCAGAACAGCTATTAACTCTTGATTAGAATTACTGTACTATTAACTCTTGATTAGAATTACTGTACTATTAACTCTTGATCAGAATTACTGTTAATTCTTGATCAGGATAGCTGTTAACCCTTGATCAGAACAGAAGTTAAGTTGATAGATTTTTACTTGTACTTTAGTTAACTTTAAGGGGTTGTAACATCAGGGGTTCAAAATTGGCAAGTGTGTGTGTTTAAGGATGTTTAAGTTTGTGTCTGACCCTAAAATTACATCTCTTGCCATATATGAATATTGAGGTGGACACAGTTAATTTATTTACCGTATTTCACGGCATATTAGACAAAGCCATATAAGATTCACCCCCCATTTTAGCTGGGAGTATTTAGGAAAAAATTTTAGTGTGTATTTTCCTCCTGTAGCCATAGTTTTCTTAAAACAATATATACAGTTCCAGGAAATATGAGGAATAAATAAAAATAATACCAATAATTAAGTTACAACAAAAAATGCTGTATTTCCAAACCAGTAAATAAAAGCCAAATGAAAGTCTAACACAGTCTACATTTGCATATACATCTGCACTCCCTCTTCACCATAGCAACGGTGATGCTACCTCTACTGATTCCCTAGCAACACACCCCCCACCACCACCAACCGCCCAGCTGTCCTCTCACTAAGCCAGCTAACCCGTGTGCAAAGAAGTGTACAGTACAGCTCCTCCCCGATTTACGACGGGGTTAGGGACCCAAATCCAGGTCGTAAGTCGAAAATGCTTAAAAAATACATAGAAAATCTAAAATGGATGTCTCTTTTTCTTCTCAGCACCACAAAACTCTCACTTATAAGCTTGCCAGCCATGTTAAAGTGAATTCCAAACAAAAATTTTGTCAGTACACAGCGCAATCACTGACGTTGGGGACTCGAAAATACGTAATTTGACAAAATATTGGTACGACTGAGGCGGTCGTAAGTCGGGGAGGAGCTGTATATTCCTTTTATGTGTTTGCCCTTATGACAAATATTTCTTTTACTTCTTTCACAGTCTGTATGTAGGATGGTGTGTGCATGTAACCGAGTAAAAATAAATGAAGAAAGTTACGTATATCTACCCTAAAATACGAGTTGAAAAGCAATGGCTTGGCCAAGTAGCTTGGTGGTTATAAAGACGAGTCTAACAAATGTAAATGTGAAAAGAAAGTTTAATGTAAATCTTAATTTTTATCAGGTATTTGTAGATCTAAAAATAAATGTTGGAGGTATGGCATTAATAGATTGTAATACTTGTAAGAGTTCAGAAATGGTTACTGCTTAGCTACCTCTGAAGAGTTGGGTGTCTGTCGTATGAACGTTAATCATCTCGGGTTATCGTCATCAGTACAGTACAGAGTAGTTATAGATTGAGCTTTTATATTTACAATAATTATTTTTTGATTAATTGAAACTTATAATAAAGTTTAAGAAAACAATAACATATTTTTCAATCTGGAGTTGGGTAAGGTAAAATTTAGCCTACTGGAGACAGCAACAGGGATTCATTAGCTTGCAGAAGACAGCAACTTCACATAAAGGACGCAGGCTGATTTCTTAGGCCATTTTTTTTTCAGACGAAAAGTGTATCTTTTATGCCATAAAATACAGTAATTATCATTTCACCTATTATCAGTCGATTTGGCAGTTGGTCTATCCAGTGTTGGTACAGGAGGACACCAGGGTCCAGAAAACCTGTGATGTTTAGTGAAGTTACACGGGATAACACCCTTCTCACGTGTGTCCGGGCCAAGCAGGAATCGGACCCTTGATATATTAGTGAGAGATACACAAGTTACCGCTGTACAGTACCACCAACACTGATAATTATGCCTAGACACACTATTGTATACTAAATGTCTCTTCTCTCACACTCGCACACAGGTATGTTTTGAACCACCTAAGATGACATTATACTGTATAGTCACAGCTCTGCTCCTGCCAAGCTGTACATAGATTTTAAGAACATAACATTTAACTTTCATATATTTTGTTTTATTATTATTATTGAATTGTACTTTAATTTTAAGAACAAATGTGGTTCTATAATCAATAATTATAGGGTGAGAGTTATGTAGGCGGTTGATTGTCCTGCCTACCAAAGTTGAATTATTAACTAAATATTATTCCTTAGTACAGTATAGAGGTCATACTGATTGATATATAAAATAACATATAAAGATCCTATATCTAATTAATATAGATCAGGGGTTCCCAAACTTTTCTTTCCCACTGCGGACCAGGGTGTATGCTTCAGTGTTTGTGTGGATCTTTAAATGTGTGCTTCCCCTGGTTCATGTGTTTTCCTTGGTTCAGGTGTGTTTTCCCTGGTTCATGTGTTTTCCTTGGTTCAGGTGTGCTTTCCCTGGTTCATGTGTTTTCCTTGGTTCAGGTGTGCTTTCCCTGGTTCATGTGTACTTCTATTTTATTTGTATATTCCTTAGTTCATCGGAAAGGAAGAAATTATACTGTTTGGGCTTTTACCGAGAGAATAATATTGTCTCTTGTGTTTAGATTTCAGGATAAAGTGTTGGAACAGGATAAGAAAAGATGAATTAGGATATGTTTGGCCCTTTGCAGTTTTATAAGATAATATTCTCTAAAAAATGTGGCTGAAATTCTTTGCTATTTGGTTAATTTCAACAGACTTAAATTTTCTCTGTTTTGGGATTTACACATAGATAATGTATGTTATAATTATACAATATGATTAAAGCACATTTTAATTTACCTGTTTCATTTACCATCAATTCCACAAGTATTCACATATAATTTTGAAAAGGGCCTGGGTGTGTATGCTGATAGTGAACTGAACTTCTTGGACCATTGTGAAAAGAAGGTTAATCATGCAACCAAGCGAATAGGTTTTACAAGAAGTTCGATCAGATAAAGCATCTAAATGATCCGTCCCGCATAACGTTCTTCATTAGTGAGGTGCTTCCCTGTCTGGTCCCCGGAATATGCGAGAGACTGTCGATTGATTGAAAATGTCCAAGGAGGGCCATCACACAGGTGCCTGCACAACAGAACCTCAGTTACTCAGAGAGATAAGAACGCCTGTAGTTGCCCAGCTTATACTATAGGTAGGGAAGGGTTGATTTAATTGAAGTCGATACCAAGTGCACCTCATAATGAAGTGTTCATACCTGGAGCTAACAAATTCCTGCCCCACTAAAGGTCACAAGTTCAGAAAATTTTCAGAGTGGAAATTGTAAACTCAAATCTGTTAAGTGTGTTGTGACGGCACTGAGTGTGATCTCAATTAAGATCAGACTTTACCAACACAGCAGAGGTTCAGGTACATTCTGGAGCCGGTGCATGCCCAGTACTTACCAACAGTGTGTAACAGAGACGTGACCGACTGCCCAAGCTGCTATTGAGCCAATCAGGATAAAAGTAAGTAAATACAGTAAACAGAAAGATTGTACGTAGTACCTATTTGGTCTTAGTTTTGCCAACCATTTATTTTACAGTACTTTTATCTTCTTCACTGCTTGTCAGCCTGTATGATAGTTGGTCTGTCAGTTTTCTGTTACTGTTAACAAGTGCTAGATGAGTATGGGCTCTGTTACACACAGCAAATAATTATGGACATGTATAGGCTCTTTATTATACAGTACAGTTGACAATTACTGGTAACTGAACATGTTCGGGCTCAGATACACACTGTTGACAAGTAGTGGACATGTATGGGCTTTCTGTAACACTTTTGACAAGTCCTGTACTGTACAGTATATGTACAGGCTCTGTTACACATTGTTAACAAGTACTGTACAGGTTCTGTAAACTGTTGAAAAATACTGGACTTGTATGGGCTGTTACGCATATTTGACAGGTACTGTACTAGTGCAGTACAGTATTGAATACTGTACTGTATATACAAGCTGTTGAAAGCACTTGAACATGTGCCAGTGAAGTATGATAATTCTGTAAGTCTCCAACTAGATACAGTAATGGTACTACAGTACTACAATCACTAAAACAACAAGTTAAGAAATGGGTTACTGTTGTATTTTCAACCAATATGCCTCTCGAGCCAGTTCCTGGACCCTCTACTGCTAATTAAGGTATCCGGTATTCATTCGAGGTTAGATTAGGTTGGATTTTGAGATGAGCTCAACTTAAGAGCCATATTGGTTGAAAATGCAAACTTACCAGCAAAGCAAGGTAAAGTTCTACTTTAGACAACACAGGAATCTTAGAAATTTTACCTTTGCAATCAATTGTTTAGACAATTCTAAGACACTTATATGACGTTACCCTTGTAAATGACCTGACCTAAACTCCGACATATGTAAGTTGTTTGTGAGGGAAACGTCATACAAGAAAAGTGTCTTAGAAAAGTCTAAACTACTGATTCCCATAACTAAATTCCTAAGATTCCTCGGTTGACCGAAACTAAAATAGTGCCCACAGGAAATCATTAAACATTTTCTAGTGGCAGTACCGTAGTGGTTCCCTCATAAATTACCCCAAATAGTAACAAATAAGAGATTAGCAAATGGCTATTGGAGTAAGTGTTGAAATGATGAATTAAACTGTAATTTAACTTTCACTGCTTATGGATATTTGGACCAAAATTCTGGAACAGGGTGGTAATATCGACAGTATTTACCTAGATTTTGCCAAGGCTTTCGACAGTGTACCCCATGGAAGGATGAAAATTAAACTGGAAAGGTACGGGATTCGGGGAAATGTTCTAGAGTGGATTGGAGATTTTCTCCATGACCGCAAGCAGTGTGTGGTGATTAATGGCACAAAATTATCAAGTGTACCCATCACAAGTGGGGTACTGCAGGGCAGTGTATTGGGCCCATTGTTGTTTGTCTGCTTCATAAATGCCATACCTGACACTGTACATTCCTCCATACCACTGTTTGCGGATGACTCCAAATTACTGTATTTCGGGAAATCAAGAAGCAAACAGACTGTGAAGAGCTGCAGAAGGATCTCTGTGAGGTCCAAGAATGGTCAAAGAAATGGCTGCTGAGATTCAATGTCACGAAGTGTAAGAGGATGCACCTTGGGTGTACCAACGGTAAGGAGGCATATCATATGTCCCAACGGAACGAAGAAACTGCATTAATTGAGACTGAATGTGAGAAGGACCTACTGTAGGCGTGTATGTTGACAATGAGCTGAAGTTCTCGGGCCATTGCGAGAAGGTAAATCAGGCAACTAAATTATTATGTCTTACAAGAAGGTCGTTCAGATATTTAGACGGTCCGTCCCTCATAATGATCTTCAAGAGTGAAGTGCTTCCCCATCTGGAGTACTGTCACCCCATCTGGAGTACTGTCACCCCATCTGGTCCCCGAGATATGCTAGGGACTGTCAGTTGGTTGAAAATGTTCAAAGGAGAGCCACCAGACTGGTGCCTGCACTTCGGCACCTCAACTACCTTGAGAGATTGGAGCGCCTGAACTTGCCTAGCTTATACTACAGACGTGCACTCAGTCGAGTGCCCTTACCTGGAGGTGGTGGACGCTTGCCCCACAAGGGGTCACAGCTCAAGGCTGAAGAAGCCGCAAGCCCAAAAAACTGTGAGGGGTAACTTTTCCGGAGTGAGAGTTGTGAACTCTTGGAACAATCTGCCAGGAAGTGTTGTACTTTTTCTTACTTTTATCCTCTTCACCATTGATCGGCTCGTTAGCCGCTTGGGCGATCGGTCACAGCTCTGGTCTTCCTCCACCAGGCTTGACCAACACTGGAGCAGGTTCATGCCCAGTACCTGTCAACAGTGCCTGACAGAGACGTGACTGATCGCCCAAGCGGCTAACGAGCCGACCAATGGTGAAGAGGATAAAAATAAAGGTAAAATATTAATCAATGACAACTATGCGCTGTTTTTGGGGAAGAAATGAAACCTACGCTGTCTATTATTTCCTTTGTTTTTCCCACAAACAACACAAGGGTGAAAGGTGTTTGGAGCCGTGTTTATATCTCCCGCCACCTGCAGAATAATGTAAACAAACAAAATATATAAACAAGCAGCATACACACCATTACCAGGACAAGCATCCAACTAATAAGGATTTAATTATTCCCATAAGACTAATAGTTACTTTATGATATTCATTGATAAATAACATTAAAATTTGACAATTGTTTTATACCCGAGAGTTTGTTTATAGTAGAGGTGGCTAATGTTTTAAACCTACCACAAACAACTACAAAATTACATATATTTTTACTTAACTCATAAATAAATATCAATACTTAATGAATAAATGTAAATAAATATATTTTTTAAATTAAACTATATTAAGTCTGGATCATATGCCTTGCAAATATAGAATAAGATGAAATTTACTGAGTGGTGTTCGTGGTATAGGAACTAACATTAATAGCTTTTACCACTACACAAGTAGTAGTATTTGTAACAATTACTTTAGATTGTGATAATGTCGGATCGTGAGTATTTTAATGCATTTATTTACCTTTTAAGAGGATCATGAATCAATTGTCATTAATAGAAGTGAAGAAATAACGGTGTGATGAAGTATATACGAGATAATTGTTATATGTAGGGTTGGTTTGCATCATCACAAAACAAAATATTATAAGAACATAAGAAAATAAGGAGTCTGCAATAGGCCGGTTGGCCTGTGCCTGGCAGCTCCTGTCGAGAGTTACTGCCACTCTCTATCATCCATGAATCTATCTAGCCTCCTTTTGAAACTTTCCAGAGTTCCCGCACTTACTACAAAGTTGCTAAGCTTGTTCCACTCGTCCACCACCCTATTTGTGAACCAGTTTCTTCCTATCTCCCTCCTAAACCTAAACTTATCCAACTTAAATCCGTTGCTCCGAGTCCTATCCTGCTCGGATATTATAAGAACTTTATCTATATCCCCTTTATTGATTCCTTTCACCCACTTAAATACTTCTATCATATCTCCCCGCACTCTTCGTCTTTCTAGGGAATGCAAGTTAAGTTTCTTTAACATATCCTGATATGGAAGGTTTCTAAGTCCCGGAATCATTTTTGTCATTCTTCGCTGCACCGACTCTAGTGAATTTATATCCATTCTATAATAGGGGCACCAGAACTGAACAGCATAATCGAGGTGCGGCCTGACTAGCGCAAGATATAGTTGCAATAAGACCTCTGCACTCTTGTTACTTACACTTCTAGATATAAAACCCAATACTCTGTTTGCCTTATTTCGAACATTAACGCACTGTTTTCTAGGCCGTAGGTCCGGGCTTACAAGTACCCCTAGGTCTCTTTCACAAGTCGACTTCTCTAGGTTGATGTTGTTCAGGCTGTATACATTATAAGTATTTGTTCTTCCAATATTAAGTACGCTGCACTTGCTGGTGTTGAATTTCATTTGCCATTTTTCAGACCACCCCTGCAGTTTATTTAGATCCTCCTGTAATGCATTTGCATCCTGCCCTGAATTAATTTGCCGCCCTATTTTGGTGTCATCCGCAAACTTGCTTATGTCACTGCTGATCCCAGTATCTAAATCGTTTATGTAGATTATGAACAAGAGTGGGCCTAGTACTGACCCCTGGGGAACCTCACTGGTTACACGGCCCCACTCAGATTTAACACCATCTACGCTGACCCTCTGTGTTCTATCGGTGAGCCATGATTTTATCCAATTTAAAACTTTCCCCTCGATACCATGAGCCTTAATTTTTCTCAGAAGCCTCTGATGCGGTACTCTGTCAAATGCTTTGCTAAAGTCTAAGTAAATAACATCGTAATTTTCGTCATTATCTACTACCTCGAAGACTTTCCTAAAAAACGTTAGCAGATTTGTTAGACAAGATTTTCCCTTTGTAAACCCATGTTGAGAGTCGTAGATTAATTTGCTTTTCTCTAGATGCGATCGGATGCTATCTGCTATAATTGATTCAAGAAATTTCCCCACTACTGACGTCAAACTGATCGGCCGGTAATTTGACGCTGATGCTCTGTCTCCCTTTTTAAATATGGGTACTACATTCGCCTGTTTCCACAACTCTGGCACAACTCCAGTGTCTAATGATTTTGTAAATAAGTTTACGAGGGGTCCGCTAATCTGTTCCCTACACTCTTTTAAGACTCGAGGAAAAATTTCATCCGGCCCTGGGGATTTTGTGTTCTTTAGTTTATTTATCTTCTTAAGAACATCCTCTTTTCTGATGGTGATATTCTTTAATTTCTCTTCTTCCTTTCCCTTAAATATCAGTTCCACCTCCGGAATTTCATCGCAAATTTCTTCTGTGAAAACTGATAAGAAGTAGCTGTTCAATGCTTTGCTCATGTCTTCACTGCCATTTATCAATTCTCCCCTCCCTGACTTTAAAGGCCCAACTTTGTCCTTGACCTTTGTCCTATATACCTGGAAAAATCCCTTGGGATTCGCCTTGGATTCTCTTGCTATTTTGATTTCATAGTCTCTCTTTGCTTTCCTTACATTTTTCTTAACATTCCTAGATAGTTCATTATACCTGTTTCTGAGCTGCTCCTCCCCTCCCTTTAATTTCTTATATATTCCTTTCTTTATTCCTATGTCATGTTTAAGTTTTCTGGTCATCCACCTTGGCTCATTCTTATTTGACCTAATTTTTCTGTATGGTATATTTTGTTCTTGTGCTTTATGTAGTATACTGGTGAATATATTATAGTCATGATCAATTGTTGTGTCATCTATGACCTCACCACTTCCTACTGGGAACTGACGTGACTGTTCCCAGGTGACTCACCTAGGTACCTTCTTAACCCCTGATAATCCGCCAACCGAAAGTTTGGGACTCTGACCATATTGTCATTATTTTTCGTTTCCCAATTTAGGGTGAACCTGATTTCTCTGTGATCACTGTTACCTAGTTCTTCCCCTACTGTGATATCTCTGATAATATTTTCTTTATTTGTTAATACTAGGTCTAATATATTGTCACCTCTAGTAGGTTCTGTAATTAGTTGTTTCAAAAAATTGTCCTGTACTGCGTCTAGGAAGTCTTCAGATTCATAGTCGCCTACAATGTTGTCTTCTTGGGTAACTACACTCACTGGTCATATCCCACGGAACTATAATATGTACTCCACTCACTGGGCATCACCAACGAGGGGAAATATTGTAGTGTGTGTGAAGTCTTTGAACCATAAATGTCTTATTAAATATCCACTCACCGAACTCACCGAAGACACCAGTGACTGTACAGTGTCCTTGTTTACTGTTGCATTATCTTTATACATTGTATATCATCTAAGGTGGAGTTAGAGGAGATTGAGGTGCCAAAGAGATTAGCTTTATCAGGGGGAAAGTTGGCTATAGAGTTATCAGGTAGGAAGAGAGGAGGAAAAGAGGGAGTGCAGAAGTTATTACAGATGTTTTTGGTTAAGGACCAGAAGGATTTACTGTACTAGAAGAAGAATTAGTCAGGACAGCGGTCTTTCTTTCTTATAAAGTTCCGCTTGGCCCAACGAAGAATAACCTTTGTACTAAATTGAGGAAGTTTCTCCAATGGAAGGTGAAGGCTTTTTTACCTTGAGAAAAGATGACACAAAGTGCACAAAAAATACAATTTGCAAAATAAAACTAAATGTTGTTTCCATTGTGGGATCCATACAGTATTGTACTATACAGTACTGTGTATTCATTCAGAATGAGACTTGGTACTGTACTGAAGACATGTTCTTATCACCTTAGGATAATAGTTACAGCAAAGAGTTTAAGGACATTTACAGTATCCCTGTACCTTTTTATTTATAGTTCAGGGATTTTCTGGATTCTGTGATGAGTGTGTCTGTAATGTTTGTACAGTTTATAGAACTATATCAAATTGAAGCTGTTATTTTTGTACTGTTAATTTCAATGGTGTAGTAAGTGTCTAGTCCCTGATGATTACCGTGTGTTTTGTGTGGATGGAGAAGATGTAGTTGTACAGTAGCTAAAGCAGTTCCTCTCATTGTAGTAACACAGCTGCTCCTCCAGCGTGGCATTGGGGCCATTCTGTCCAGCATGGGGGGCGGTAAACTGAAGGGCGGCCAAGCTGCTGAGCTGAAGAAGACGCCTCCTAAGGGTGAGACTCATGTTTGTGTTGGTGATATTAATGTTTAGATATACTGTATAATAAACTAACCTTGGTGTAAAAATAACTTAATTTCATAGTTTTATTTAACAAATTCTACTGTACATTATATAAAGAACTTAATACCTGTAGTTTAGTACAGGAATAATTATGTATAGAGTGTGGCAGATGAGGGAATGCAGTACTGTACTGTACTGTACATTGTACTGTACTGTACTTCCTTTAAGGCAGTGTGTGTGTGTGTATCACTTGTTGTGTAGTACTGTAGTAATACAGTACTGTACTGTACAGTGTACTGTACTGTACTGTACTTACTTTAAGACAGTGTGTGTGTCACTTGTTGCAGTAATAAGTCCTCCATTATTATTAATGCTGGTATTGTTATTATTATTTTGTGGTGGGAATGTGTTCTAAGTCAGTAATTATATTGTTAACATGAACGCACACATCTTAGTGAGCAGCCACACAGTATAATGTATCAGCTAATGTGCCGTAAAACTTGACAGTGAATGCGGCCAAGCCCAAGCCAGCGCCGCAAGAAAGGCAGGGGTTTGATGTGAGTTCCACGGCAGAGTTTACTGGCTGGGGGGACCTTAAGCCCGAGCCGCCGGCCAGCGTCGACGCCGACGACAAGAAAAACGCGACTGAACCAACTAAGGTTAAAGAGGAATTAAAAGAAGAAAAGGACAATGTTGCTGGAGAAAAAAATAAATATTGTACAGTATAATTTATTTTTCTTCAATCTTGGAAACATTCACTGATTGTTGATGTCATGTACAATGTTGCTCTGGCAGTCAATCGCTCTCTTTATTATCTCACACATAATAAGTCTTCTGGGTTTTAATTTTTGATTATACAAAACTGCATTACTTTTAATGATGTATTTAAGGCAGAAACATACATGATGCAGGAGGCATACTATCTTAGGCTCTTGAGCTTCATATAGTTTTGTTTTGACTTTATTACTCATGTACAGTACTGTACTGTATGTCAGTTAATCATTACAGGTATTAATTGTAATACAGTAATTATTTTTTCTTCTAGATAATCAACAAGCAGCGCCCCTCCATCGTGGTGTAGGAACTCTGCTCTCAAACTTGGGCAGCTTAAAGAATCTCAATGGTGGCAACAAACAACAACAACCACAACAACAACAACAACCTAATAAAAGTAAGACTCAGTTGTTTTCCCATGTTTTATTTAATTACCTGAGTCAGGTACAGTGTTATAAAGGTTCCTCTACAGTGATATCAAGGTGAGTCCTTGTTAGAGTGGTGGTGTGTCCTTGTTGGAGTGGTGGTGTGTCCTTGTTGGAGTGGTGGTGTGTCCTTGTTGGAGTGGTGGTGTGTTTTTGTAACAGTTTGAGGAAATGATTGTTTAAGTATCAATTTTTTTCCATGGAGAATATTTTGATTACATCTCAACTGATCTGTTTCATATTTGTAACAGTGTGTGTGTGTTGTGTAATGGTCAGCATGCTTGCCTTGCAAGCGTGCGGACCCGGGTTCGGTCCCCAGGCAGGGTGAAACTATGGGCAAGTTTCTTTACGCCACTTGCCTCTGTCTACCCAGCAGTAATTGGGGACCTGGGTGTTAATCGATTTGCGGATCGTGTTCCGGAGTAATGGTTAGAAAGTGCAGTTGGTGAGTTGTCCTGTCTTCTTGGACTATTCCTTGACACTGGGTCATGCAGCTCATTAACTTAGGGTGTGGTTGTTATGTTGGCGACAGCTTCTACACCTCAAACAAATTCACGCCTAGGTGGCTCTTGGGCAGGCCATCCTTGTTACATGAGAGGCAACCATTATTATATTTGTGTGTGTGTCTGTGTGTGTGTGTGTGTGTGGACATATTTCTGTGAATGATTATTTACATGCACATATTCCTGACATACAGTATTCATGTGAGTGGAATGATACATTCTAACATACATAATATTTATAGCAAATATTGCACCATGTTTAAACTAATGTACATTTAATGTTCAGTCAACAGGAACAACAGACAAATACAAAAGGAAGTCATGGGATTTGACCTAAATCTTGGATCAGAATTCTCCGGTTGGGGAGACATTTCTGAGAATAGGGGTGCCAACATGCCTCCTGGGGCAACGGGTGCCAACATGCCTCTCGGGGCAACGGGTGCCAACATGGAACCTGTCAAACTACACCCAATGATGAACCAGCGAAGGAACAACTATAATAGAGAAAATGGTACGTTTTGTTTATTGTTTTATTCATATAAGTGTGTGTGTGTCAATCTTTGAAGGTGATTGAGTAAGTGTCACAAGAGACTTAAGAGTGAGGCGAGTGAAGGAAACAATCAGATATACTTTATGTTTACTTCTCGTATAGTGTGGCCATAGGCAGGTGCAGGGGAAAGGGTGGTGGCAGGATAGTGTGGCCACAAGGAGGTACAGGGGATAGGTTGGTGGCAGGATAGTGTGGCCATAGGCAGGTGCAGGGGATAGGGTGGTGGCAGGATAGTGTGGCCACAAGGAGGTACATGGGATAGGTTGGTGGCAGGATAGTGTGGCCATAGGCAGGTGCAGGGGATAGGGTGGTGGCAGGATAGTGTGGCCACAAGGAGGTACAGGGGATAGGTTGGTGGCAGGATAGTGTGTGGCCATAGGCAGGTGCAGGATAGGGTGGCCAAGGAGGTACAGGGGATAGGTTGGTGGCAGGATAGTGTGGTCATAGGCAGGTGCAGGGGATAGGGTGGTGGCAGGATAGTGTGGCCACAAGGAGGTACAGGGATAGGTTGGTGGCAGGATAGTGTGGCCAAGCAGGTGCAGGGGATAGGTTGGTGGCAGGATAGTGTGGAGGTACAGGATTGGTGGCAGGATAGTGTGGCCATAGGCAGGTGCAGGGGATAGGGTGGTGGCAGGATAGTGTGGCCACAAGGAGGTACAGGGGATAGGGTGGTGGCAGGATAGTGTGGCCATAAGCAGGTACAGGGGATAGGTTGGTGGCAGGATAGTGTGCCCATAAGCAGGTACAGGGGATAGGGTGGTGGCAGGATAGTGTGGCCATAAGGAGGTACAGGGGATAGGTTGGTGGCAGGATAGTGTGGCCATAAGCAGGTACAGAGGATGGGTTAACAGGTAAGTATCCTCCTGTGAAAGAGAGAGTTTGATACATTTTACAGTTTCAGTTTGTCATGTCATTTATTAAATTTGTTATGAAACTCATTACTACTGTATATCATTAAATGGTAATTATCATTATTAAACTTGACTTAAAAGTCTCCACATTTACCTTTAAGGAGAACCTGAAGCTGTGGAACATTGTGATCATGATTGACAGCACTAAAAGGCAGTGTAATGTGGCGGCAGTTGTTAGAACGGCCGGTGATAAATTATTATGTGGTGTTTGGTGCGTTAAAGTGGTCTCGTAGAACTATCAATATATCACTGATGCTCACAGCTAATACGGGCAAAGGACCACAACAAAGAAATCGTGGGTTTCAACAGAATTCGTTGATGGGAGAATACCCGGTCCCAGGGATGGCTGCTAACAACACTCCTTGGGGCACACAACCACCAAGAGATGGCAGCACTGACAGAGGTGATATATGTACAGTATAGTAGTTGTTTATATGTTTGTGAATGTGTGCAGGAGTAGACACACACACACACACACACACACACACACTTATAATAATCCTTATTGGACTACAGTAGTATACAGTACTGTATTACAATATATGAATACAGTACACAACTATACTGAGTTGGACACATTTTCATAATGTATTTATTAAGCTGAATCATCTGTCACAAATAATATAAATATTCAGAAGACAATACAGTATTTGGTAATGCTGTAATGGATTACTTTATTTTGTGTTTTCCAGTGAACAAACTTCCCAGTTTAATAAGAAAATTGTGGTTAACATTATTGAAGTATTGTGTACAACTCACTGTTAATTGTTTAATGTACTGGTGTGATACATATAAGTACAGTGCATGTTTCATGTGTAAATATACCATTATTTTATGTACCTCTGTGTACAGTATTTCAATGATTATAATGTAGTATGGTAAAGAAACATAACACACAATAATCAAGGTTCTTACTGGAAGGTTTAAATTATCTTCAAGACATTTATTAAAATGGAAGAATATTATTTTATACTGTACTGTACCAGTTATTGATATGTACAGTAATTCATTAAGAATATCCCTGCCTTTAGTCAGTTGTAGGGGGCCAATTGTACTCCAGCAGCTAGTCTACTGTACATTCAGTACTGTACTGTACAAACTTATGGGTAATAACCAAATCAACCAAGCTGTTGCTGTCTGTTCCTTGTAAGCTAAAATATTCTTCACAGCCCAGTTGATCAGGAATACTCTTCTGGTTTGTTCTTGAAATCATTCACTGATCTTACCAGGATGTTTCTTATTCTTGATGGCAACACTTCCAGAGCCTCAAACCATAGCTGCTGACCTTCTGTAGTGACCACAGTACATCTGTAAGATGTAGCAAAGGTGTAGAGAGTGGAATCAGTCATGTCCCAGAAAGACTGCACTATATATAGGCTTGGGATCAATGAAAATGGAGTTTAATAACTTAGAGGGGGGTGGAGGAGGTTGATGCTTAATGGGATTTGAATTTCCACTGTCACTCAACCAAACTAAATTTTACAGAAAATGGTTTTACATTGTATTTGTGTATATTGCTATGTGATCAAAAATAGAGCTGTGAAGGAGAGTGCAGAACAAAAATGATGAAATACTGTATTACATAATGGAGTGTGACTCGCTAAACAGCTTTTAATGATAAAAAAATTTTAAATCAGAACTTTTTAACCATAAGGAATGTAAATAAACTTATAAGAATATTTTAACATTTACCACAAGAAGAGAAGATGGTTGTTTGAGATGGGTGATGGAGGAGGCGAGGGTTCATAACCTTGCCACGCATTGTAATTAAAACCAATTAAGTTGATACTGTACAGACGTCTGATACATATGGAAGATAAACAAAAACTGGGAGGTGGGGCATACCGCCTTCTATGATGCTGCACCGAGGTGACCGCATAACTATTTATTCCTACTCAAGTAACATAGTTTCATTTACTCAATGGTGTTGTATCCAAATCACATCTGCATTATAGAAAATGTGTTCTTAATACATTCATCACATTATTGCAGAACCAAATCTCACTTTGAAAACACTCGTTATGGGAGAACTTATTGTTCACTACTAAGTAGCACCTCAAGTGTCATATGTCCTGGATGTTATTTCAGTAGCAATTGTCAATGGGTCAATTTGTTTCCTTAAAAGACTCACATATATTAAGAAGCGTCATTCAAATTGTGCCATTCAGGGTGTGTCATTAAAGATGTTCTATTTGGGGAGTGTTATTTAAGATGTGTCATTCAGAGAGTGTTATCAAGATGTGTCTTTTAGATAGAATTATTCAAGGTGTGTCATTCAGGGTGTCACTTAACCAGTATAAACTAACATGTGCGACCTGTGGTGTAATGGTCAGCATGCTCGCCTCGCAAGCGAGCGGACCCTAGCTCGATCCCCGGGCAGGGTGAAACTATGGGTAAGTTTCTTTACGCCATTTGCCTCTGTCTACCCAGCAGTAATTGGGGTCCTGGATGTTAATCAGTTTGCAGATTGTATTAAGGGGTAATGGTTAGCCAGTGCAGTTGGCAAGTTGTCTGGTCTTTACGGACTATTCCTTGACACTGGGTCATGCAGCTCATTAACTCAGGGTGGTTGTTGTGTTGGTGACAGCTTCTACACCTTAAACAAATTTACGCCTAAGTGGCCCTTGGGCCGGCCATCCTCGTTACACCATTATTATTATTATAAACTGACACTGAAAGTTAAGGTTCCTCAAGTCCTGTGTATTCACTACTTGCAATCTGATCAGTCATTTCTGGCTTGAGTGGTTAAGATGAGAGGATCAGTGGTCACACTTTGTACTCAATATGTTCTATCAAAAGAAAATATGAATGGTGGTTGAGTTAGTAAGACTCTTAATGTGAAATGAGAAATGGAGAAAGGGAGTCTTCATTATGTTATAACCTGTTGCCATCCTTCAAGTAAAAGAAGCTATATTTTAAGTTGATATCTTGACTTTTAATGATATCAACTGAAAGACAAGTTTGTTGTTGATCACCTACCTTATTATAATAGAAAAGTGGCTGTATTCTGCTGCTACTTCATGTTGGTGTGGTGTTGACAGTTAACTGCTCTATAGCCATAATGCTTCCTCCCTCAGAGTGGCAGTGAAGGGGATTGTGGCAAAGTTGAAAAACAAGATAACAAGACAGTGTGTGTGGGGTTTTTTAAAGCTTAGTAAAAGTTGGGACTGTCAATGGAGGGCTGGTCACACCCCTCTCTAGAGGAGGTCTGGTTACACCCCTACCTAGAGGGGGTGTAGTCACACCTTATAGAGGAAACTGTTGTGACAAACCATAAAATTGTTACTTTAGTATAACTGCTAAATGTTTCTGGCAGAATCAGTGTTCATATCTTGCTAATATGGAATTTTAATAATCAATTTTCATTTCATCTAACAGTTCATTATAGTTTCAAACCCCCAAATATGACAATTTATGGGATGTTTCTTCGGTGCCTTTATTTAGCTGCAGCTTGATGTAACAAAAATTGTTTTTTGTGTATGTCAAATCTACAGTAGAAGAAAGAAAATTTACAGCATTTTGTTGTCAGGTATTGGGAAATTTGCTCTTCTGTGGTATTCCTACAAAGAATATATAAATATAAACTGGTTTGGACTCTTAGCATAATTTAACATTACAGGACTACTATACCTACAGTACTCTATGTATGTTGTGCACTGCAGGTAAGATGGACACACCGGCTAAAATCCTCTTTTCCTCTTTATCAGATTCTCAATATTTCCACTGGACAGTCTTGTATTTATGACACCTTACTGGTTTTATGTCCAAGATTTGTGTCATACAGGTCTTTCCTACAGGTAATTTAGTTTCATAAGTATCAGCAATGGGATTTACTCTGATACACGATGCTCCAAGACTTGTGCATTACTCTCCAAAAGTCATGTACTGTATTAGTATTGGTGAGTTATAAATGCTGTATTTTAGAGTAAGAGCCAATTTCCCACTCCTCTATTGCTGGATATTGAACTGTTTCATCACCAGTGTCAAAAACTACATTGGCAGCTTCTCCACTCTTGGTCAATACAGATTCTGGAGGTTTTAGTGTTTCTGATCCTAATATTACTGCAAATCTTCACACATTTGCTCAGCCTTCAGTCCTCTCAGCACCTACAGATGATGAGAGTTGTCTTGGTACTTAATATCTGGGAGGTGTTTGGTCCAGTTGTGTTAATGATGACTCACCATATTGTCTTATTCTTAAAACTTAAACCTTTCCTTCCACTTGAAAATTCAAATAAATGTACCTGGCATTAAAACAATGCTTCTCACCCAGCCCATTCTTGTCTCTTTTTATCATCATCATCATTATATAAATGTAAGGCACAGAATTAACTTCTTAGTTTCAACAGCTCTTCTCACATAAACCATTTGGCTATTGAGGAGTTGATTAAACAAGATATCTCTCTCAAATGTACATCAGGTCATCATCTCTCTACAGTAAGCCATGACTTCATATTATCATCTCTAAAGGTTAAGGCAGAGGACAGGGCAAAACTCTGACATAAGTTTATCTTCTTACAGAACTTTTTAGCCCATCCAGTTGTCTCTTACAGTTTGCAGGAACTATCAATGATCTGTTTGTAAGGGGTCCTGCTGCTGTAAGGAAAGGCTGGGATGTCATGTTGAAGCACCCTTGGGACCAAAGTACCTTAATGTGATCAATGAGATGAAGTGATAGGCCATGAGAGTGAGAGAAAGTTTTACGTAATGAAGAATTTGAGTTGTGGGTCTGGCCTTAAAGCTCAGTCCCTCAGTGGTAAATCCTCCTGACTTGGTGCTTCTGTCTCACCTCATATAGTTGGCAGTGATGAAAGTGTTATTAAATGAGGGTTACACATGATAATAATTTTTCTCACTCACACTCTTGAAGCCTTTTCTCACATGGTGCTGGCTGGCCAAATGGATCACTTCTCTTTGAATGTAATTGTCATAAATTTTGGTCACATCATATACTGTATTACCATAAACACAGGCTTGGGTTTACATCAGCATTTGTGTGTTTCTGATGACTTGTTGTACAACTATTTTCACAACATTACACCCAAAAGAGTATTTAGATAAAGGCTTTGTCCGAGACCAGTGCTTTGACAAACACAAAACCTAAAGAAAATCGCTCACCAGAAATACTTTAACCTGCTGACAGATGTGAAGTTGGTTTTTAATATCCATTTTCTGCCCACACAACCATTACCTTCCTTGGTATTATACAGTGTTAGGGAATATAAGAAAAAGACCTTCAGCAGGATTTAAGCGTGACGCACCTGAAGGACTTGACCGGGAGAACAAGAGGCACAGGCAAGATGGAGATTTTAACGTTAAAGAAATGACTAAGTGGAGCGACACTTTGGAGTACAATGATGATGAAGAGAGTGTGTACATTGCTGATGAAAATAGGAGATTAGGTGAGTTATATTAGTATATGTTATTTATAATGTCTTAAAAAATATTTTTTCCCGGTTGATCTTGTTATGGTAAATGCCTTCTATAGCTACATATACAAACACTGAATAAGTCGTTAACCCTATCGCACACGCAAAAAGTTTTTAAGTTTCCTTGACCACGACAAAAGTCATATGGGACCACTCACGTGATGTCTGGTTATCTTCGTCTGTGGCCAATTTATCCCACAAGAATTGTTTTGTTTTTTTCATTATTTATACATCATTGGCTTTGCTATTGTTTTGGCTACAACGTATGCAGAAAAAAAGATGATAATATTTTTTCACTCTGAATAAAGAAAAAAAATGTGTTTCCAGCATCACATCTCTGATATTTTCTCACAAACCTACCAAGGTATTATATAGTTATAGAAGCAGAATTTTATGAGCTTTCCAACAGTGGCTTTGGAATTTTGATACAGCTAATTGTGGGGAGGGTGGAAGAGGAAATAAAAAGAGACAAATGCGACACACCAGCACAGCCGATGGGAGGAACTGTTGGTCAGCGGAACTCCTCCGATCCTTTGGTACTTTCTGGGAGCTTCCCAGGCAAGATCCTGCAATCATATGTGACACAAAAAATTTGGCACATTTATCTTGATTTTCTTTGGGTGGAGGCATATTTTTTAAAGTTCAATGACACAATTCGCATCACTGATGCAAAAAGTGCTACCCAATGATTTGGTGCAATTTGCGTTATAATATGCGAGAGGGTTAATTCATTCTCCTTCTTAGTGTTTGCAGATAGTGTATTAACAGCTGGCCAGCCTTATACTTGTGTGCCTTTTTCAGTTGTTCAATGATTCTCATATTAGACTTTTCTTTCTCTGGGAGTCACATGTTTGTCTGTGTAGAATCATTAATAGAATACAAACAAGTGCAGTGCACATAATATCCATGAGGACCTGTCTTATGAGGAGGACAATCCTTATTGGTGAGTTTAGCTGAGGTTCACATTTACAGTACAACACTGTACAGTATATTAGGAAGATAATCCTTATTGATGAGTTTAGCTGAGGTTCACATTTACAGTACAACACTGTACAGTATATTAGGAAGATAATCCTTATTGGTGAGTTTAGCTGAGGTTCACATTTACAGTACAACACTGTACAGTATATTAGGAAGATAATCCTTATTGGTGAGTTTAGCTGAGGTTCACATTTATAGTACAACACTGTACAGTATATTAGGAAGATAATCCTTATTGATGAGTTTAGTTGAGGTTCACATTTACAGTACAACACTGTACAGTATATTAGGAAGATAATCCTTATTGGTGAGTTTAGTTGAGGTTCACATTTATAGTACAACACTGTACAGTATATTAGGAAGATAATCCTTATTGATGAGTTTAGTTGAGGTTCACATTTACAGTACAACACTGTACAGTATATTAGGAAGATAATCCTTATTGATGAGTTTAGTTGAGGTTCACATTTACAGTACAACACTGTACAGTATATTAGGAAGATAATCCTTATTGATGAGTTTAGTTGAGGTTCACATTTACAGTACAACACTGTACAGTATATTAGGAAGATAATCCTTATTGATGAGTTTAGTTGAGGTTCACATTTACAGTACAACACTGTACAGTATATTAGGAAGATAATCCTTATTGGTGAGTTTAGTTGAGGTTCACATTTACAGTACAACACTGTACAGTATATTAGGAAGATAATCCTTATTGATGAGTTTAGTTGAGGTTCACATTTACAGTACAACACTGTACAGTATATTAGGAAGATAATCCTTATTGATGAGTTTAGTTGAGGTTCACATTTACAGTACAACACTGTACAGTATATTAGGAAGATAATCCTTATTGATGAGTTTAGTTGAGGTTCACATTTACAGTACAACACTGTACAGTATATTAGGAAGATAATCCTTATTGATGAGTTTAGTTGAGGTTCACATTTACAGTACAACACTGTACAGTATATTAGGAAGATAATCCTTATTGATGAGTTTAGTTGAGGTTCACATTTATAGTACAACACTGTACAGTATATTAGGAAGATAATCCTTATTGATGAGTTTAGTTGAGGTTCACATTTATAGTACAACACTGTACAGTATATTAGGAAGATAATCCTTATTGGTGAGTTTAGTTGAGGTTCACATTTATAGTACAACACTGTACAGTATATTAGGAAGATAATCCTTATTGATGAGTTTAGTTGAGGTTCACATTTACAGTACAACACTCAGTATATTAGGAAGATAATCCTTATTGATTTGAGGTTCAGTACAACACTGTACAGTATATTAGGAAGATAATCCTTATTGATGAGTTTAGTTGAGGTTCACATTTACAGTACAACACTGTACAGTATATTAGGAAGATAATCCTTATTGATGAGTTTAGTTGAGGTTCACATTTACAGTACAACACTGTACAGTATATTAGGAAGATAATCCTTATTGATGAGTTTAGTTGAGGTTCACATTTACAGTACAACACTGTACAGTATATTAGGAAGATAATCCTTATTGATGAGTTTAGTTGAGGTTCACATTTATAGTACAACACTGTACAGTATATTAGGAAGATAATCCTTATTGATGAGTTTAGTTGAGGTTCACATTTACAGTACAACACTGTACAGTATATTAGGAAGATAATCCTTATTGATGAGTTTAGTTGAGGTTCACATTTACAGTACAACACTGTACAGTATATTAGGAAGATAATCCTTATTGATGAGTTTAGTTGAGGTTCACATTTACAGTACAACACTGTACAGTATATTAGGAAGATAATCCTTATTGATGAGTTTAGTTGAGGTTCACATTTATAGTACAACACTGTACAGTATATTAGGAAGATAATCCTTATTGATGAGTTTAGTTGAGGTTCACATTTATAGTACAACACTGTACAGTATATTAGGAAGATAATCCTTATTGATGAGTTTAGTTGAGGTTCACATTTACAGTACAACACTGTACAGTATATTAGGAAGATAATCCTTATTGATGAGTTTAGTTGAGGTTCACATTTACAGTACAACACTGTACAGTATATTAGGAAGATAATCCTTATTGGTGAGTTTAGTTGAGGTTCACATTTATAGTACAACACTGTACAGTATATTAGGAAGATAATCCTTATTGGTGAGTTTAGTTGAGGTTCACATTTATAGTACAACACTGTACAGTATATTAGGAAGATAATCCTTATTGATGAGTTTAGCTGAGGTTCACATTTACAGTACAACACTGTACAGTATATTAGGAAGATAATCCTTATTGATGAGTTTAGTTGAGGTTCACATTTATAGTACAACACTGTACAGTATATTAGGAAGATAATCCTTATTGATGAGTTTAGTTGAGGTTCACATTTATAGTACAACACTGTACAGTATATTAGGAAGATAATCCTTATTGATGAGTTTAGCTGAGGTTCACATTTACAGTACAACACTGTACAGTATATTAGGAAGATAATCCTTATTGATGAGTTTAGTTGAGGTTCACATTTACAGTACAACACTGTACAGTATATTAGGAAGATAATCCTTATTGATGAGTTTAGCTGAGGTTCACATTTATAGTACAACACTGTACAGTATATTAGGAAGATAATCCTTATTGATGAGTTTAGCTGAGGTTCACATTTACAGTACAACACTGTACAGTATATTAGGAAGATAATCCTTATTGATGAGTTTAGTTGAGGTTCACATTTACAGTACAACACTGTACAGTATATTAGGAAGATAATCCTTATTGATGAGTTTAGCTGAGGTTCACATTTACAGTACAACACTGTACAGTATATTAGGAAGATAATCCTTATTGATGAGTTTAGCTGAGGTTCACATTTATAGTACAACACTGTACAGTATATTAGGAAGATAATCCTTATTGATGAGTTTAGCTGAGGTTCACATTTACAGTACAACACTGTACAGTATATTAGGAAGATAATCCTTATTGATGAGTTTAGTTGGGGTTCCACATTTACAGTACAACACTGTACAGTATATTAGGAAGATAATCCTTATTGATGAGTTTAGCTGAGGTTCACATTTATAGTACAACACTGTACAGTATATTAGGAAGATAATCCTTATTGATGAGTTTAGCTGAGGTTCACATTTACAGTACAACACTGTACAGTATATTAGGAAGATAATCCTTATTGATGAGTTTAGCTGAGGTTCACATTTATAGTACAACACTGTACAGTATATTAGGAAGATAATCCTTATTGATGAGTTTAGCTGAGGTTCACATTTACAGTACAACACTGTACAGTATATTAGGAAGATAATCCTTATTGATGAGTTTAGTTGAGGTTCACATTTACAGTACAACACTGTACAGTATATTAGGAAGATAATCCTTATTGATGAGTTTAGTTGAGGTTCACATTTATAGTACAACACTGTACAGTATATTAGGAAGATAATCCTTATTGATGAGTTTAGCTGAGGTTCACATTTATAGTACAACACTGTACAGTATATTAGGAAGATAATCCTTATTGATGAGTTTAGCTGAGGTTCACATTTACAGTACAACACTGTACAGTATATTAGGAAGATAATCCTTATTGATGAGTTTAGCTGAGGTTCACATTTATAGTACAACACTGTACAGTATATTAGGAAGATAATCCTTATTGATGAGTTTAGCTGAGGTTCACATTTACAGTACAACACTGTACAGTATATTAGGAAGATAATCCTTATTGATGAGTTTAGCTGAGGTTCACATTTATAGTACAACACTGTACAGTATATTAGGAAGATAATCCTTATTGATGAGTTTAGTTGAGGTTCACATTTACAGTACAACACTGTACAGTATATTAGGAAGATAATCCTTATTGATGAGTTTAGCTGAGGTTCACATTTATAGTACAACACTGTACAGTATATTAGGAAGATAATCCTTATTGATGAGTTTAGTTGAGGTTCACATTTACAGTACAACACTGTACAGTATATTAGGAAGATAATCCTTATTGATGAGTTTAGCTGAGGTTCACATTTATAGTACAACACTGTACAGTATATTAGGAAGATAATCCTTATTGATGAGTTTAGCTGAGGTTCACATTTACAGTACAACACTGTACAGTATATTAGGAAGATAATCCTTATTGATGAGTTTAGCTGAGGTTCACATTTATAGTACAACACTGTACAGTATATTAGGAAGATAATCCTTATTGATGAGTTTAGTTGAGGTTCACATTTACAGTACAACACTGTACAGTATATTAGGAAGATAATCCTTATTGATGAGTTTAGTTGAGGTTCACATTTACAGTACAACACTGTACAGTATATTAGGAAGATAATCCTTATTGATGAGTTTAGCTGAGGTTCACATTTACAGTACAACACTGTACAGTATATTAGGAAGATAATCCTTATTGATGAGTTTAGCTGAGGTTCACATTTACAGTACAACACTGTACAGTATATTAGGAAGATAATCCTTATTGATGAGTTTAGCTGAGGTTCACATTTACAGTACAACACTGTACAGTATATTAGGAAGATAATCCTTATTGATGAGTTTAGTTGAGGTTCACATTTACAGTACAACACTGTACAGTATATTAGGAAGATAATCCTTATTGATGAGTTTAGTTGAGGTTCACATTTACAGTACAACACTGTACAGTATATTAGGAAGATAATCCTTATTGATGAGTTTAGTTGAGGTTCACATTTACAGTACAACACTGTACAGTATACAGCTCATCCCCAACATACGATGGGGTTAGAGACCCAAATCCAGGTCGTAAGTCGAAAATGCTTAAATAACACATAGAAAATCTAAAATGGGTGTCTCTTTTTCTTCTCAGCACCACAAAACTCTCACTTTTAATCTTTCCAGCCATTTTAAAGTAAATTACAAACGAAAATTTTGTCTGTGTACTGACGTTGAGACTCGAAAATACGTAATTTGACATAATTTTGGTGCGACTGAGGCAGGTCGTAAGTGCGGGTGGTCATAAGTGCGGGTGGTCATAAGTCGAGTAGGTCGTAAGTCGGGGAGTAGCTGTATTAGGAAGGTAATCCTTATTGATGAGTTTAGCTGAGGTTCACATTTACAAGTACAATATATTGACACAAAAAAAATGACTAGAATCAACACATTTACCGTAGGTGGTCGTTATTTCTTACAAACTTATTCTTTTCAAGCCGAAGAATACGGTTCTTTCGTGACGGTAAAAATCCTCAAAGACCAGGGAGGAAAGATGGGATACTATTGTGAGGTAAGACCATCGTTGCATGAAGCAGATCATTTTGTAGTACAGTACTGTACAGTACAGTCAGTGTCCAGGCAAAGATCAATGTTTTACTCTTGGTGCAATAAATGTGATGGAAAGTGAAAAGAATGAAAGTTGCCACAAGACACTTGGAGATGAATACAAGTTATGATACAAGATTACTTTGAGAATTGAGTCTTTGTAGAATAGTGTTGTGTTATAGCAAGTGGAAATGGATTATCTGAGAGTTGACAATGGAGATGAGAGAAGAGTTTAAAAGTTAGGGAAAGAGGTGTAGTTCTTTGCAGTGAAAATGTTGTGGTGAAAGTGACCAGTAATGAATGTTGAAACTACATGTAATGAATAGGACAGTGGGTGACAATGGATGAAAACAGGACAATGAAGAAAAGCCTATATGAATATGGTTAGAGAGAATAAAAAAGGAGAGCAAGAACATAAAGAAAGGAGAGGGAGGCAGTGTGTGTCACCCTGGAGGAGTGCCAGGATGGTACACACACACACACGGAGGAGGTTTATCAGCATGATGGTTCGTGGAAATTTTATTAAAAAAAAAATATTAGAAATAATGCTTTAAATAAAGTTTAAGATTGTTATCACTGTTTAGTGCTAAGATGAATTGAATACTTGTAATAGGGGATAAAGACAGTGTGGCAACTCACCTGTAATAAAGGCTGCTCTCTCTTCCTTTTGTCTCTTACTTTAGTTTTGATCAATTAGCTTTCTCTCTCTTTCATTTGTGTTACTTCCGGTTGCATGGAGGGTTTTTTTCAGTGTTAACCTTTTTTTTTTCTTTTTTAATATATACAGGTATCCGTTTTTAGCACTAATTTACTTTACGTAAATTCAATTTGGCGATAAAAAAATTTGACATCCTTTCTCACTTTACATTAGGTCAAAATTTGGTTTAGCAATAACTTAACTCACTGGGATGGAGAAAAAACTGGGGATGAGATGGCCTGTGAGATTGTGTGTTGCCATTGTTACATGTAATGAAACTGTAAAAGTCATGGAAAAAATCACTACAATACTGTATTGTGGCTTAGAAATAAAGAAAATATAATATATAACTGAAATAAGAAAAATTAAAAGCATGGGTGTTTATGTGCGTGAATTGAACGTACGTGTGGAGGCAATGAGCTGTAACTCGCCACCCAGCTGTGCTCCCTCTCTCCTGATGTGGCATCACGGCATGCACTCTCACACACACACTGTATGTTCCTTTACCTTTCTCTAATGAAGGCTTTTGTTAAACCACCAATATCAATGTCTGTAATAAGTCATTTCTGTCCAATGTATATTTTCAGCCTTCGGGCTGCAGAACCTTTTCAATAAACCTTTAATTATTATTACTGTATTATTATTATTATTATTATTATTATTATCATTATTATTATTATTATTATTATTATTATTATTATTATTATTATTATTATTATTATTATTATACACACACACACGCCTCAGAGTCAACTTGGTAACTGCCCGGCTGAACTGTGTTGCATTTCCCATAGGATGGTTTGAGTGTGGAAGGAACAATTTTTTTTAACATAAAATTCCTGTATGTGCATGCTATTGTATTTTATGATATGCTATGTATCCATTTTATTGTTTATCAGACCAATTTGTGTTAATTTTTTGTATTTTCAATTTAACTTTTTTTCAAATTAGACTCAGCTTTTGCTCATTAATTGTTTAACACTGAATTACATTGTTTTATATATAAGTTTGGTATTAATAAATCAGTTGCTTGATTTTGAAACCATTTATAACAAAATCGTGTTTTATTATTATTAGGGAGTACAGTACGGTACTGTGCTGTAGTCAGTGTTTACCGTCCTGCCGTTTGATCCTGTTGTTCGCCCTCCATGCTTCGCTGTTATCCCTCGTTTAGCGATAATTTTGTTTAATGTTTGTTTTTCAGGAATGCAGGGATATCTGTATACATGTACAGTACTACAGTATATTTACAGCACACAGTATTTATCACATCCCACGTTAGAATAGAGTCAGTACTCAGTTGTCATCTCCAACATTTATTTGTAGTATCATCCTTGTCTTGTAAGGTGAGTAGCAGTGAAGTTTTTCTGCATTAGAAATTAATTAGTTATTTCCTGTCTTCATATCTTTTCTTGTAGGATAATACATGTCTGGTGTGAGGGAACCATCTTACACTGTTATAGATAACCACTCTCACAAGGCTGCCATACACTGTGTATAAAGTCACTTGGTATTATTTTCTCAAGTGGTGTAAAGTTATCACAGGATTACCACATAATATCAAATTACACTACAGTAAACCCTCGAAGATCCAGACAAAAAATTTGGGAGTTCTGGGCTAAGAAGCCTCCTAGAAGTTTCCCTAAGAAACGTTCCCAAACCAGAGCAAAGAACAGTTTAGGCTCGTGGGCACTGCTTGACCCGTCAGTTCCTTGGACATGGGTGCCCGAGGAGGTGGGAAACATAACTGGGTTGACAATTGTTGTTTGTGGGAATATTATTTCATTCACTCTAGTAATGATACAATGTTTCTTATTATGTTATCATAGGTAAATGCATTGCTTATATAAGGTAATTTGTTTATCACTACATTAGTACTGTATTTTTGGTGTTTCTTATATCATTTATTATTCACCGGAAAATCCGGACAATCGGCTTTTCCGGATAGGTGGTCCCCCCTTTTAGTCCGGATCTTCGAGGGTTCACTGTATTAACATTTATTTACAAATAAACTACATTTATATCAAAGGAGATGGCTAGTTATTGTGAAAGGTTTCACTATTAAATACACTAAGCTTGCCTCCTTGGTCAATCCACCTAGAAACTTCTAAGGGTTAATTTGCCAAAGTCCACAAGTCTCACAACTAATATTGAAGAGCTCAGGGTGAGTGTGGCACTACCTCTCTCTCTGTAGTATGTAATGTACTATAATAGTACACTCTTACTAAAAGTATGGCTAAATCTCTGAGGGCACTACTTCCCCCTGAGAGTATTGCTGAGTCTGTAGTTACAGTCACCAGCAGCTCGTCTGGCCATCTCACCTGGCCAACAGCTGGCCAGGGCTGGCCATAGCCCTGGGCCACCTGGCCATACCAGCTCCAAGGACTGGACTTACCAGTGCCAGTGATAGAAATCTGCATGCTGCACTTTGACAGCTGAAACCAATTATAGGCTATTTACCTCCAACACAAGAACATACCATTCGACGCCTCTCTTGGTCAACAAGTTATTTCACATTCGCCCACATTTCCTTCCTACCCAGAATGCCTTTGTCAACTTGGACACCTACCATATTAATTCTTAATATACTGTACTGAACTTCTTGATTTTATACATTGATTTAAATTATTTTAAACACTAAATCTATCAGTACAATGAGTGTTTTCATTACTTACAGCTTTGTTTTGCGGAAATGAATGCAAAGAAGTCATTGGAGCTTCACTGCGGTGGTATGAAACATCTAAAGGTAACGGTGAAAGTGTCATTCATGATAAAGTTTATATGGCAGAAACAATGAAGGAGGGAGAGGTGATGTTTTAACCTTTGTTTGGAGTCTCTACATTCCTTCCATCTTATTTACAGTATTTATTTATTTGTATAAGTGTTATTTCTGTACAGTACTTAGGAGTGAAGGGGTAGAGACCCAATGAGTGGAAAATAGATTCCTTGAAAATGTTTATGTGAGGTGTGACCACCTGTGGAGAGTGAGGTGGGTAAGTACTGAAGGTGGGTAAGTATTGTAGGTGGGTAAGTACTGAAGGTGGGTAAGTACTGTAGGTGGGTAGGTGCTGTGGGTGGGTAAGCACTGTAGGTGGGTAAGTACTGAAGGTGGGTAAGTACTGTGGGTGGGTAAGTACTGAAGGTGGGTAAGTACTGTGGGTGGGTAAGTACTGTAGGTGGACAGATATCACCCCCAGTGAAGGTGTTGTATTTTAATGTTAAAGCTTTGTATGGAGTCAGAAGGTCAAGTTTTGGACATTACAAAGTTAAAGAAGGCCATACTGTATACTGTAGTTAAAACAAATGGGATGGTTGAGTGAGATTAATTATAACTTGGTGAAAATGTGGTATAATTCATTTATGTACAGTGTTTTATTTGTACAGCAAGACACCTAAAACATTACAGAGACATCTTAAAGAAATAATAATAATAATAATAATAATAAGATATTAAAGAATACTGTATACATATGAGAACTTTGTTTTTGCATAGAAGAGCAATATATTCCTTATTTTGGATGTGAACTTTTTAAACATTAAGATTATTGTACAGTATACATATCTAGGTGTCTATGATGCTGAAAAAAGCTGCACAGTTTAATAGAATAAACTTTGTGTTAGTTGAACAAGAAAGATGAGTGTGGATGATATGGGAGAATATGTATGATAGTTTCAACTAACAATAATTTGCACCTTGGATAAACCTGATTGATTACAAGACTGCCACTTAGTTGTATCAGAGAGAAAGATAAGGCTTTTTATGAACACATTATGTTGTTGGTCAAACTCATCATAAATGAAGAGCTTTTTGGTAAATGGACTGAGGATGAGAGTCTATAACACCACTACAGTCCTGCCAATAGCTGAGGCTTTGTTTTGTCAAGTGTAAGGCACACTTTCTCGTCTCTATTAATGGCGTTATAACATTCCTATTTTCATTCATAAGATGGTATATAGTGGCTACTGGATCATGATGTTTATAGTAGAAAGTTTTATTTTAGTATAGGGGTGTGCCTAGGTTGTGACTAATGACCTTATACTATACTGTACTGTAATAGACTTTGGAGTGTGGTTTTACCTTCATTACAGTGTCTAGAATTTTGGGAGAGCTTTTATATTCATACTTAACACAGTATTTATATAGAACATTTATGGGACTAATGTACGGTATTGTACTGTTGGATTGTTTCTGTCAAGTTTGATTTTCTTGAGTATTTTATGCTGAAGAAAGTTGGTTTAGGGAGTTATTTTTGTAGCCGTGAGGTGTTAGACTTACCATAAATTGTTATTGCCTTGTAAGATGTGAATAATTAGGTTGAAAGTGAATGTTAGGTTTAGTAACACTTCAGGGTGACATCTTTCACCTGACTGAAAGTGTTATTCTTACTCTGACAAAGTTGCCACATATTAATACAGTACAATACTATTTTAACCACTGTAAGACAGACTATTGCCATAGTCCGTTTTCATTGGGTAAAATAATCATGGTCTTGGCTATAAACGGCCATCAGTGAATTTATTCATACCTGTAGAACTTAGTAGTGTTTGTATAAAGATGTAAATTTATAGTAATACATATGTAGAAAACTAACTAAATTATTGTTGTTTCAGATGCTTACCGGTAAGACATATTAGGCTTTACCCTATTTGGGAAAATTGTCATGGGAATGTTTAACAGTAGAGCACTGTACTGATAAATTAATTAATTTAAATATATTGTGCTGGACAACCCTTAAAGACTCTTAATGCTGCATAATTCATGAGTACTGTGGTGACTTGAAACACTAGTACTGTTCTGTAAAAATAAGGTACTGTAGTTATATTTCTGGACATTATTACCTCATATTCAAGTACAATACACAGTCCTGGCTAGGTTCACCTTACCTACCATCAGTACAGATGAATGGTACACTGTACTGTCCTGTACTAAGGATTTGTTTTAACCAGTGCAAGACAGACTTTTCAGTCAGTTTTCATTGGGTAAAACGTTATAATTTTATCTAAAAGACCTGCTGGACTGTTTCCAGGAGATGTAAGATTTGTTAGTTGAAAAAAACATTGATGTTTATGTGCATAGATTATGTATATGGAAACTTGATATAAAAGAAGATTGTTTTACACCACTGCATCTAGTAAGATAATGTTGTCTGTGTAGTTTGCTCTCAAATATTAGGTTTCAGTCAAGAGCCTTTTCAACTCAGCTTGGTTGTACTGTAAATAATTACTTCTGTACCACCACTAGTATACTGTCTTGTACTGTACAAGCAAATGACATGTTAAAGGTTTTTAACCAATGTAAGGCAGACTCTGAAGCCTATTTTTATTGGGTAAAAACTATTATATTCATGCGATTGGATGGTAGCTGCTTAATTATGCCTGTGGGAGATTGATAGTGCTGTATACAGTATATGTAAACACAAACCCACCCACCCACATCCACTCACATCCACACCCACACATACAGTAATATCCAGTATTAAAGACCAAATCCCATTTAATGTTATTCTTCCCAGCAGTAAAAATTAGTTCATATAGAAAAGTGAACAGAAACAAGAGTCTCACTGAAGAATCAAGTTATTGGACAACTTGAATAGTTCAGAAGACTTCAGCAAATATGGAAACCTTGATGGGAAATAGATTGTTTCCTCTATTTATTTATTTCCATTATGCAACATGAATAAGCTTGACAGAGATAAAAATATCATGTCCCCCAAAAGATGGTGATGCTTTCTTGTTCCTCAGAGACTTTCCATAAGTCCACTTATATATCTATACTTGTCCAGGACTGACAGACAAGGCACACCAACAACATTTACCTCAGAGTTCTACATGACAATATTGTTATTTCATAATTATCGTTTTTAACTACTGTACTCACATTATGGCTTAATTTAAAAAGACTTGGAGTTGCCACTGCAAGTGTTCTGAGTTGACATGACTACATTACTGCAACTTTATGTGTGCTGGAGCTTTAAGATACTGTACTGTATTGTTGTGCTTCTACAAGTTTCATGTACTGTACTGTAATGTACTGTACTCAAGTTATATTTATGATAGTTGTCTAAATGTGAGTCCTGCAGAACCTGTGGTCTTGGTCCATAGTTGTGTTTGATGTCTCATGAATGTGTCCAACATTCTCCGAGAATGCAAATTATTTTCCACTGATGCCCAACAAAAGTTTGAAAACACATCATTAATTTAGATAGTACAGTATAATATTCAGAAGTGGTGTGTTCTCTCCTCTACCAGTACAGTAGGAAGATGATGGTGCAGTATTCTGGGTGTGTGAAGCGTTGCCATAATTTGTCTTGTCAGTTTGCATTATACTTAACATATTTTTTTTCATTGCAGAAAAAGAATTTGTGGGAGAAGATGAAGGGTGAGTATTGTATTTTTCTTCTCACTGTATGAAAGGTTTAAACTGTTGAGGATTGACTAACTGTATCTCCTGGAGTGTTAACTGTATGATAGGTTCACCTGTTGAGGATTGACTAACTGTATCTGCTGGAGTGTTAACTGTATGATAGGTTCACCTGTTGAGGATTGACTAACTGTATCTCTTGGAGTGTTAACTGTATGATAGGTTCACCTGTTGAGGATTGACTAACTGTATCTCCTGGAGTGTTAACTGTATGATAGGTTCACCTGTTGAGGATTGACTAACTGTATCTCCTGGAGTGTTAACTGTATGATAGGTTCACCTGTTAAGGATTGACTAACTGTATCTCCTGGAGTGTTAACTGTATGATAGGTTCACCTATTGAGGATTGACTAACTGTATCTCCTGGAGTGTTAACTGTATGATAGGTTCACCTGTTGAGGATTGACTAACTGTATCTGATTATTGCCCTTTACAAGTGAGTGCTGATGCTTTTACTTTTTTTTATTAATGTTAGTAGTACAGTACAATAATACCAGTACCAGTACATATGGAGGCCTCAGAAGTACAAGACCTCAAGTGCCACCACAGTGGAGTTATTGGTACCAACGTTACTCTCACATGGTCAAAATAGTACTGAAATACATTGGTTTGTGTACCTAAAAGGACCATGTTCAACGCACATTCGTCACACAAGGCCGCAAGTCTCACACCACCGCACCGCATCCCTTTAACTCACATAGCAGCCAATAACAGGCTCACACCAACCGCCACACCTCCCAGCTGAGCCAATGGTGCAGTGAGTAGACCCACTTCAGTCAATGGGCGCACATGGGCTGTGATGCATGACACTCATACACATAACTTGTACAACAAAAATCTTTTAAATAAAATAATCCTCACCTCGATATCTTTATTGGTTGTGGAGTAACAAACTAAAAACCTTAGGGGCATGTTTCTTAATTTTTTTAAAAATGGCACTTGCAGCCTTGTAATTCTAAGGCCCTCATATAGTACATAATTACAGTAGAACGTCGATATAACACGAGATACTTTCCAAGAGAGGTCGCTTTAAACCGAATTTGCACTAAATCGAAGTGTTGTTTCAATGAAATAATTTAGTTTGGTACTTGAGAGAAACACAAAATACTAAAAAGACTGAGTCTACCCAGATGCACCTCAGTCCATCTCCTAGAATAAACAAAACATTATTTTTTGTCGTATTATGTTAAAACAAACACTTATAAATCAACACAGCTTAAATTAAGGGATGCAAAATGGTCTATTGACTGGCTGGGAAGATGGGAAGAAAGGGGGGGGGGAGGGGAGGTGAGGTGATATGTTTGACAGTTGATGCCAAGGTCTAGTGCTTATTTATTTATCTGTCCTTAAGAGTGACTTTAAGTTTTTCTCTTATAAAATGTCACTGAACTGACATGTTCAAATTAATTTTATTACAAAGGCCTAAAATTTTTATCTCTTATGCAAAATATATGACGTTTATATTCAAATTATTTGCTGTCTTGCAAGGATTCTAGCAATGCAAATTTTATTTTCCTAACTTTTGACTGTGATATTATGTAAGATAAAAACTGTAAACCTATAACCACCCAACCCTGGCTGGGAAGATGGGGTGGGGGGTGACAGTGACACATTTGACAGTTGGCGCCAAAGGTATATTGATGCATTTATTTGTTTATTTATGTCCTTTAGATTGAGTTTTTGTTTTTTGCTTATAAAATGTCACAGAAGTGACCGGGGAGGATATACGGTACAGTAATTTACATTGCTGGAATTCTTATAAGATATAGTGATTAATGTGAATATAATCATGCTATAGTTTGCACCAGACAAAAATTTTAGTTATCATTTAGTACATTATTTTGAGTACATGTACAGTACAGCTTTGCCCTTAGGACAGTGTAGCGTGCCCAGAGAAACATTAGGCATGAATTTTAAAATATGTTGCGCCAGATTGACTCACACAAAATAGGAAAGATTCGCTTTAAATTAAAACATTGTCCTTAATTGTGGGTGTCGCTTTAAATCAATAATCTTAAATTGAATCGCTTTAAATCGATGTTTTACTGTATATGTTTACACTTTTTTCACAATAATTTAATTTTCCTGTGTCATCTTCAGCATACTGTATTGTAATCATCTTACTTCTCTCTGCCCCTGTTTTATATAAAAGGAAACACTGTTGTCCAGTTGAGCTTTTATGAAATTAGTTAAATTTATAAACTGACAACAGATTGATTCTGGAGCTTGAGCAGTAGAGATGTTTCACAGTAACATGGTGACTGGTTACAGTATATGATATGCAGGTTATTGTTGCAAAACATCTGTAATCAAGATGAAGACATTTTCAAGATGAGTACATTACCTGTATGTAAACACAAATGATTAGATATTTCTTGTTCTAATCATTCCAAGTTGCTTTCCACACATAATTTGCATCATTTTCTCCTTTTACTTCTCTCTTTGAATTTTTTCTTCATCTACGTCCTCTCCATATAAAGTGGGAAAGCAATAAAGAAAATAGATAATGAAAGAATAGGTAGGTAGTGTAGACATTAAATAGCATTTTTCCTCTTTTCAGGAAAACCTGGCAATGGTTCTCTTGGTGGCATGGTCAAACCTGGGTTGGAGCTTGGCCCACCTTCTGCTGAAGGGTTAAGACCACTTCCAGGGCGTCTCTTACCACCTGCTGCTTTTAGGTAGTGTGTGTGTGTGTAATAATAATAATAATAATAATAATAATAATAATAATACCCTATGTGTTATTGTATTTTTTCATGTATAATGTATGATATTAAGTGTTTACTAAAGCATTTTTGGAATATTTTATGAGTATTTTTTGGTCTCTGGAATGTAATTATGTAATTACTTCCTTTTAAATCAGTTAAACTATGATTCACGGTTTGATAATTTTTATGTCTTCTGGTACCTAACCAATGAAGTATTGCAACTCCATTGTATTTTGTAGTAGTTTTTAGTGTAATTATATGTGATGATATATAGTATATAAGAAGCTACTACAGACTGCTACTACATTTTTTTTTACATGGCCTCCAGCCTCCCCCAATAGTCAAACCTTTGCCACCATTTTATTACTACTGTACTGTACTACTAAATTTTTGAGTACACCTGTATTGTACTTGTATTATTATTTCCAGGGAAGACAGCAATAAAGGTCCTCAGGAACGTGATCGCTCGGGGCGTCATGAGCATGATCACCTCGAAAGCCAAAAACATGACCACTTTGGCTGTCAAAGACAAAACTTCCCAGAATATCAAAATCGTAACTACCCGGGACGTCAAGAGGGTAATTTTCCAGGAGGCCAAAACCATGACTACAAGAGACAGGAGTTCCAGGGATGTGAAGAAAAGATGAATCAAAATGAACAAAGTAAGAGATCTGGTTTATGAGTCAGCTGTGTAGTGAGTCACCCTGTACAGTAATTGTGTGGTGAGTTACCCTGGGGTCATCACTCACTACACATCTAAACCACAAAAAAAAGTAATGGGTAGTAAAGTGAAGTATTAGTGTGACTATAACTAATACACCATTTTATTTATTCATGTTGACTTTTTAATGGCTTATCACACCAAGATTATATTATTATTTATATTGGTGACATTGTATGCTAAAAAAGATCAATGTAATATAAAGTACAATCAGACATAATGAAATTTATATAAGAAATATACTTATTGATCTTCTAGAGCAGGGGTTCCCAATTACGGGTAAAATACACCCACAGGGTAATTTGGCTTTTTTGGAGGGGTAACGACAGCCATCATATAAGACTAATAGGTGTACTTTTGGTCTTTTTTTTTCTACTTCAGCCCACCTGAACATCTGTAACAAAGATAGACACAGACTGAACCCAAAAAGTAATACCGTATCACATGTTCCCAAACAAAGTTATCCCCACTGATTTAAGAAATGGTCACCAACCATAAATGCCATTTTGCTCATAACTAAAACTCAGTTCTTGTCAATTCAGTGACAGTTGTATTTCATGTTCAGTATTGTAATTACTGTATAATACACAATTAGCAATAAAAGAATGGTATAAATTAAATCGCAAGTTTTATTTGCAGTCATGCAAAGTACGACAATGTAGGCAGTCACCTTGAAAATTTTGGGGGAAAAAAATACAATTTAAAGTCAATGTGGGGCTAATAAGTATTGTTGTCATGTCTGTTGTCTGGTAATGCCTAAAACTAATTGGGAAACTCTGTTTTAGAGTATAGCAACACATAATTATCTTAAATGAACAGTATGTATGTAATTTTAAACTCATTTGTTTTTAAGTACTGTACTGTGTATATTTTCCATTATTTCAGAGGGATATAGCAGAAGAGCTGAACCCTTGATAAGGTACTTTTCACTTCTTATGTAGTACATATATAGTATAGTATTATGTAATATAGTAGTACATTAAAGTAGTACATACTGCACTGTATATAGTAGTACTGTACATATATAAAAGTACAATATAAAAATTTTTGTTTACCTCGTTGATCAGTATGACGTCACTTACCCTAACAGTAGGTCAAACAGTTATTCCACAATGTAAAAAGTTTGCTTTGGTCCCAAGTACAGGTAGTCAGGGTTATTAGGGTTATACTGCATAGACTATATTATTAACAGTGGTAGACATATTTTATCTTAGCCAAATATGCTGTATAATGCACCTAGGCAAGACTGGCTGGGGGGAGGGTTTTAGAAGCTGAGTGGATACATCTCTTGCCACTTGTTCTAAGGGATCCTGGTTTGTGCCCCCAGTCCACCCAGGTTGTGAATGGGTACCTAACTTTACAAATTTACAGGTTGAGAAGTGACTGAAGTCAAGTGCAGTGCTCTGGCAACACTGCCTTTGTGTACAGTATGTACTTACTATAATGTTCAGTATCTGTACTAGACCATCTGGCTTATGGGCCCCACATTTACTTTTCACAATACTGTACAGTATAGCAATTAATATCTTTTGTTTAGTTAATACCCAGTATGTTAAAACTCAGAGCAATAAAACTGTATACTGTACTTTTTTTGTTTTAGCTAATTAAAATGACTTTCCAACTGTTGGTGAATAACCCACAGTCAAATTGGATATTTAGGATGTATCAAATCTGTGAGAAATTTTAAAGTTTGAGAGATAGTAACTATATATACAGTACATACATTACATACAAATAATATCTCATGTGTCAGGGATCAAACCCAGGACCTCTGCATGGGAACAAGCAGTTCTACCACAGCACCGCAAAGACAACTAAAAACCAACCTCGGCTCTGTTGTATTTTCACTCAAAGCATTCTCCTTCCTCTTATTCTTAAGCAACGAGAGCTTCCACTGGGGTTATGCCATTTCCTGTTCCCATACTACAGAGGTCCCTGGTTTGTTCCTTATGCGTGATATATATATATATATATATATATATATATATATATATATATATATATATATATATATATATATATATATATATATATATATATATATATATATATATATATATATATATATATATATATATATATATATATATATACTGTGTTGATAGATATATAGACTCAAGTTATCAGCTGAAAAAGCTACTGTGCTAATAAATAAGACATTGTTATTTACTTGTTATATATAGTGTAATATACAAGTGACAGGTGTGTTATGTCCCAGGAGTGAGGTAAACTTCTCCAGACCTCCACCGATGGTAGCACCTCTTCCGATGTTAGCACCTCCCCAGATGGTAGCACCTCCCCCGACGTTTGCACCACCCCCGATGTTAGCACCACCCCCGATGTTTGCACCACCCCGTGAACACCTCTCAGGAGAAACTGCTGGACCACTGCTTAAGAAACTGGTAAGTTAGTAATTGTTGCTTTTATTGTATCATTGTCCTGGTTCCTTCCTGGTGAGTTAGTTTTATTGTTTCATTGTTCTGGTTCCTTCCTGGTGAGTTAGTTTTATTGTATCATTGTTCTGGTTCCTTCCTGGTGAGTTAGTTTTCATTGTTCTGGTTCCTTCCTGTTTCATTGTTCTGGTTCCTTCCTGGTGAGTTAGTTTTATTGTATCATTGTTCTGGTTCCTTCCTGGTGAGTTAGTTTTATTGTATCATTGTTCTGGTTCCTTCCTGGTGAGTTAGTTTTATTGTATCATTGTTCTGGTTCCTTCCTGGTGAGTTAGTTTTATTGTTTCATTGTTCTGGTTCCTTCCTGGTGAGTTAGTTTTATTGTTCATTGTTCTGGTTCCTTCCTGGTGAGTTAGTTTTATTGTATCATTGTTCTGGTTCCTTCCTGGTGAGTTAGTTTTATTGTATCATTGTTCTGGTTCCTTCCTGGTGAGTTAGTTTTATTGTATCATTGTTCTGGTTCCTTCCTGGTGAGTTAGTTTTATTGTCATTGTTCTGGTTCCTTCCTGGTGAGTTAGTTTTATTGTTCATTGTTCTGGTTCCTTCCTGGTGAGTTAGTTTTATTGTTCATTGTTCTGGTTCCTTCCTGGTGAGTTAAAGACAAAGAGGAAGGTGCTGCCCTGTGGTGTGCAAAGATGAGTTGTATTTTGTCCAGACAGTATTTTAGTGGAGTTGGTGTGTGTGTGTGCGTGCGTGCGTAGCATATGTGTTGTGTGCATGTGTGTGTGTGTGTAGAGGTGGGTGATCACACATTTTTCTATGTAAATTTAATAATTCTGAGTACAGTAATGGATGGTTGATGCCAGAGCCTCTAAAGTGGGATTTATTTCTTGTGTATTAAGGAGAATGTCATTTGAACATAGCTATAGTAAGAGAATTTAACTCCACCTGCCATATAGGTTTATCACATTACTGTAGTTTGGTCAATAGTAATATTGGTTTATGGTGTGTAGAGTTGTGGCCCCACAGACCTTGTTGTCACATGTCAAGGAATTTGGCAACGTTTGATACTACAGTAAGCTCTGTTAATGTGTTCTGTTTCCCCCGGGCTGAGTGTTGTGATTGTTATTGTGTTCTATTTCCTCAGGCTGAGAGCGCTGTGATTCACCAAGATGATGCAAATGTTGCCACAGATGTTATCTCTATGCTTCTGGAGTCACTTAAAGAATTCCATGAAAAACATAGGACCCCCAGCACCGTTCATGTGAGTGTACATGTTGTGTTACATTATACCCAACCTAACCCAACTTTACCAGGGAATGCCTGGGAGGTGCTCACTGAACCAGTGACAGAAAAATGCCAGAGCTGTTATTTTTCAACTGGTAATTTCAGGTACACATACATAATTTTCTTCATTTTTTTACTCTGTTACATTCACGCACAATCTTTTGATACATAATGTGCAAAAACATAAAAAAAATCATAATTATTATAAGGACAAAAATATAAAGGGAATAGACATTTTTTATGGACACGGGAGTTATTACGCAGACCAGGGGCTGAGCTAAACTTATAGAATATTAATGTGTTGACTCTTCTCCTCAGCTGATCTCAGAGGCTGAGCTAAACTTATAGCATAAGAATGTGTTGACTCTTCTCCTCAGCTGATCTCAGAGGCTGAGCTAAACTTATAGAATATTAATGTGTTGACTCTTCTCCTCAGCTGATCTCAGAGGCTGAGCTAAACTTATAGCATAAGAATGTGTTGACTCTTCTCCTCAGCTGATCTCAGAGGCTGAGCTAAACTTATAGAATATTAATGTGTTGACTCTTCTCCTCAGCTGATCTCAGAGGCTGAGCTAAACTTATAGCATAAGAATGTGTTGACTCTTCTCCTCAGCTGATCTCAGAGGCTGAGCTAAACTTATAGCTGAAGCTGAGAGGCTGAGCTAAACTTATAGCATATTAATGTGTTGACTCTTCTCCTCAGCTGATCTCAGAGGCTGAGCTAAACTTATAGCATATTAATGTGTTGACTCTTCTCCTCAGCTGATCTCAGAGGCTGAGCTAAACTTATAGAATATTAATGTGTTGACTCTTCTCCTCAGCTGATCTCAGAGGCTGAGCTAAACTTATAGCATAAGAATGTGTTGACTCTTCTCCTCAGCTGATCTCAGAGGCTGAGCTAAACTTATAGCATATTAATGTGTTGACTCTTCTCCTCAGCTGATCTCAGAGGCTGAGCTAAACTTATAGCATAATTAATGTGTTGACTCTTCTCCTCAGCTGATCTCAGAGGCTGAGCTAAACTTATAGCATAAGAATGTGTTGACTCTTCTCCTCAGCTGATCTCAGAGGCTGAGCTAAACTTATAGCATATTAATGTGTTGATCAGCTGATCTCAGAGGCTGAGCTAAACTTATAGCATAATGTGTTGACTTCTCCTCAGCTGATCTCAGAGGCTGAGCTAAACTTATAGAATATTAATGTGTTGACTCTTCTCCTCAGCTGATCTCAGAGGCTGAGCTAAACTTATAGCATAAGAATGTGTTGACTCTTCTCCTCAGCTGATCTCAGAGGCTGAGCTAAACTTATAGAATATTAATGTGTTGACTCTTCTCCTCAGCTGATCTCAGAGGCTGAGCTAAACTTATAGCATAAGAATGTGTTGACTCTTCTCCTCAGCTGATCTCAGAGGCTGAGCTAAACTTATAGAATATTAATGTGTTGACTCTTCTCCTCAGCTGATCTCAGAGGCTGAGCTAAACTTATAGCATAAGAATGTGTTGACTCTTCTCCTCAGCTGATCTCAGAGGCTGAGCTAAACTTATAGAATATTAATGTGTTGACTCTTCTCCTCAGCTGATCTCAGAGGCTGAGCTAAACTTATAGCATAAGAATGTGTTGACTCTTCTCCTCTGAGAGAATATTAATGTGTTGACTCTTCTCCTCAGCTGATCTTAGAGGCTGAGCTAAACTTATAGCATAAGAATGTGTTGACTCTTCTCCTCAGCTGATCTCAGAGGCTGAGCTAAACTTATAGCATATTAATGTGTTGACTCTTCTCCTCAGCTGATCTCAGAGGCTGAGCTAAACTTATAGCATAAGAATGTGTTGACTCTTCTCCTCAGCTGATCTCAGAGGCTGAGCTAAACTTATAGAATATTAATGTGTTGACTCTTCTCCTCAGCTGATCTCAGAGGCTGAGCTAAACTTATAGCATATTAATGTGTTGACTCTTCTCCTCAGCTGATCTCAGAGGCTGAGCTAAACTTATAGAATATTAATGTGTTGACTCTTCTCCTCAGCTGATCTCAGAGGCTGAGCTAAACTTATAGCATAAGAATGTGTTGACTCTTCTCCTCAGCTGATCTCAGAGGCTGAGCTAAACTTATAGCATATTAATGTGTTGACTCTTCTCCTCAGCTGATCTCAGAGGCTGAGTTAAACTTATAGCATAAGAATGTGTTGACTCTTCTCCTCAGCTGATCTCGGAGGCTGAGCTAAACTTATAGCATATGAATGTGTTGACTCTTCTCCTCAGCTGATCTTGGAGGCTGAGCTAAACTTATAGCATATGAATGTGTTGACTCTTCTCCTCAGCTGATCTTGGAGGCTGAGCTAAACTTATAGCATATTAATGTGTTGACTCTTCTCCTCAGCTGATCTCGGAGGCTGAGCTAAAGTTCAATATAGTGGTGGAACTTGAGAAGGCAGCTCAGCTAGGGAGGGCCAACTCCAATAGAGGTCATCCACACAATAAACCAGACATGAGGGATAAGAGTAACAAGAGTGAACTAGTTGACTCCAGTAAAGGTGAGTCTGACTCAGCCCAAGAGAGTCTACCAAACACTAACTCCAAGAAGAGCGAGTCGCCGCAGAGTTACGGCTCTGCCGCGCACAGTTATAACCCTACGTCGAAGAGTGACATCTCCGCTGCGCCGGATTATACGTCCCCAACAAAGAACTACGGCTCTGCCACGTTAAGTCCTGCCTCTGCAACACCAAGTTACACCTCTTCCCCCCCAGACTACTCCACTGCACCCCCAAATTACAACCCAGCAGCACAGGGATACAGCTCAGCAGCCAGTTACAGCTCAACAGGTTACAACTCTGCACCACATGGTTACAACCCAGCAGCAGCAGGTTACAGTGCAGCACCACCCAATTTCAACCCAGCTATGCACACTTTCAACCCTGCTGCAGGTTTCTTTAACTACCCTCCAGTAAGTTGCTGAGATGCCTTATGGTAAAGTCTTGGTTATTGTCTGTATTTATTGACTTCTGTTGATCCTGAGAGTGTGTGTGTATATATGTGTGTGTGTGTGTGTGTGTCCTCTCTCATGCTCTAGAAGGCCAGCCACCCCTCTCATGCTCTTGAAGGCCAGCCACCCCTCTCATGCTCTAGAAAGCCAGCCACCCCTCTCATGCTCCAGAAGGCCAGCCACCCCTCTCATGTACTAGAAGTCCAGCCACTCCTCTCATGTACTAGAAGTCCAGCCACCCCTCTCATGCTCTAGAAAGCCAGCCACCCCTCTCATGCTCCAGAAGGCCAGCCACCCTCTCATGCTCACTAGAAGTCCAGCCACCCCTCTCATGTACTAGAAGTCCAGCCACCCCTCTCATGCTCTCCAGCCACCCCTCTCATGCTCTAGCCAGCCAATGCCAGGCCAGCCAACCCTCTCATGCTCCAGAAGTCCAGCCACCCTCTCATGTACTAGAAGTCCAGCCACCCCTCTCATGCTCTAGAAAGCCAGCCACCCCTCTCATGCTCCAGGGCCAGGCTCCAGAAGGCCAGCCACCTCTCTCATGCATGCTCAGAAGGCCAGCCACCTCTCTCATGCTCTAGAAGGCCAGCCACCCCTCCCATGCTCTAGAAGGCCAGCCACCCCTTTCATGCTCTAGAAGGCCAGCCACCCCTCTCATGCTCTAGAAGGCCAGCCACCCCTCTCATGCTCTAGAAGGCCAGCCACCCCTCTCAATGCTGCATGAAAATAAAAATGTAATCCAATATTCCACTTAAGAGTTTTTTTTACTTTGTTTGCAGGGGAGTGGACAGAGTTTGTTTAGTGCTCCTCCACCACCACCTCCTCCACCAGCAACATCATTATCAACATTTGGATACAATCAGTAGCTTGATACTTGTCTAGTTGTTCACTAATACAGTGTAAGTTGCTTTAGGAAAATAAGTCAAGTTTTTATTCCTTTTTGTATGTCAATCTTTTAGTTTTCTGTCACTTGATGACCAGATTCACATAGAAATGAATGGTACTGTACAATTATTACCAGATATTAATTGTATGTGTTATTAATGAATAAACCATTCATTTGAAATAGAGTTCTTGATGGTTTTCTTCATGTTGCCACAACTTGTACCTGGTATTGTGGCTTTAGTTCACAAGGGGATGGTCGTCACTCACAAATAAAGAGTTAACACACAATACTGTACCACCAGGCAAGGAATGTTGGTTCAGCCAATGGCATTGTGGTGACTGTTGGCCAACTGTGTGTAACTGTGCACCATAATACTGCACAATATTGTGGTGACTGTTGGCCAACTGTGTGTAACTGTACACCATAATACTGCACAATATTGTGGTGACTGTTGGCCAACTGTGTGTAACTGTGCACCATAATACTGCACAATATTGTGGTGACTGTTGGCCAACTGTGTGTAACTGTACACCTTAGTACTGCACAATATTGTGGTGACTGTTGGCCAACTGTGTGTAACTGTACACCATAGTACTGCACAATAATGTGGTGACTGTTGGCCAACTGTGTGTAACTGTGCACCATAATACTGCACAATATTGTGGTGACTGTTGGCCAACTGTGTGTAACTGTACACCATAGTACTGCACAATATTGTGATGACTGTTTGCCAACTGTGTGTAACTGTACACCATAGTACTGCACAATATTGTGGTGACTGTTTGCCAACTGTGTGTAACTGTACAACATAGTACTGCACAATATTGCAGTGACTGTTGGCCAACTGTATACACTGTAGTACAATATAGCACTGTATTGTAGTGACTGGTGTTCACCACATATAATTCTATAGTAACTGGTGTACACCACAACACATCACTGTAGTAACTGATGTACACCACAGCACAATACTGCAGAGACTGGTGTACTCTACAGCACAACATTGTAGTGACTGACTGTTGCCTAGCTGTGCATACATCACAGTGTAATACTATAGTAATAATATTATGGATGACTGTATCAAATCTTCAACCTTAGGCAGTGCAATGCATCATGGGTATTACTTTAGTTGGGCAAAACAATATTTATGAATTTTAACCATCAAAATATTTGTCTAAAGCAAGATCTTTGATATACATTACAGTACCTGCATCGAACAATGTTTTACATACACTAAAATTACAGTATCTTTGACATCTCTGTTTGGAGTTGGACATGAAGATTAGTAATACAGTACTGTACTGTAATCATAATATACAGTAATGGTTGCCCCTTGTATTTGAGGCTGGCAAGCCCTAAGGTCACCAAGGTACGAATCTCCATAAGGTGTTAAAGTTGTTGCCAACACAATGGCTACACCTTGAGTTAACAAAGGAATAACCCAGGAAATTAAACAACTAATCAACTGTGCTGGCTAATGAATACCACAGAACACAAGCTTCTAATCAATTAATTTACAGGTCCCCAATACTGCTGGGTGTAACAGCAAGTAGCAAAAAGGAACTTGCCCATTGTTTTACCCTGCATGCCTGGGGATTAATCCCAGGCCACTGGTTTGTGAGGTGGTTACAGTATAGTGACCATTACAGTTCACCAATAGGGATAGCCCACCTGGGGACAGGTCGCCGAACTCCATCGGGACTGGGGGGGGGGCATAAATAAATACAGAAATGGAAAATAAAAATAAAAAACATCAACAGTGAGGAACAATATACAGATACATTTTGTTTTGTCAAAATAATAGAAACAATTGAGACCCTGCAATTGTGTGTAAATGAGGCAGAAAGTCAGTCGCATCAGCAACCTGGGACTTGGTCACAATTTTTGTGATGCCATATGGCAGCAAAGAACACCAAACCTTACCCAATCTTTCCTAACCTATAAAACACTTACTGTACTAAACACTGAAAATACAAATAAGGTAAGTGTTTTATAGGTTTAGGATCTTTACAGGTTAGGTCTGCAACGAAAACCATAGACTAAAACAATTTAGGCTAAAAATAGTAACATTTCAATGTAGAACATTGAAAGTTTAAAAGACTATAATTTTTTTGCTATTCATTTCTCCCCTCCAAAAAAGGGTGAACAACATTTTTGGAATCAACATAAAAATCTATGTTAGAAAAATATACAGTATTTACATTTTTAAGTGTGCACCACAAAACCGAAAAGATCCAGGATACTCTTGTGCTAGTTTAGTATGTTTCTGTGGTTCCAAACTTTCTTCCTTTTCCCCTGCCAAGAGAGAGTCCTCGGACGTTTTTTCCTCACCTTTGTGTTGGTGATACAGTACAGCAGTAACACATGTATCTCACCAATATGTTATGTGTTTGAGTTCTGCATGGTCAGGACAAAAGCCCCCTGGATATAACCCCTCGTTAAAAGTTCAAAATAGGTTAGGTTCATAAACTGTAAACTATAAATAATAAAAATAATGATAATTAAAGTCTTATAATTATTTGTGCTAGGGGGCTTTTGTCCTACACTCGGCCGGGCTCACATCAGAAGTGTGACCTTACCAAACATAACAGGTTTTCCAGACTCCGGTTTCCTCCCGAATGACAAGTAAGCTGATAAGTGTCAGAATTATACAAAAAAGCAAAAGTTGTAAGAACTAACAGTTCATCGTCAAAATCTTTGGTAAATATTCATTTAATGGCTGTGGTTGTTATTCTCATAACAATTTCGACTCCCAAATCACTGTCGAAACCAAACTTAACCAAACCAAAACCTCCAATGTATTCCTAAAACAAATGAATCTCTTCACAACCACAAAAACCTACCTAACTACTGTAAATTAGTGTTTGTAAACTGATTTCATTTGTTTTAGGAATACATTGGAGGTTTTCTTGTAGTTAGTTAGGTACTAAACTACAATAGTTCGGTACTAATTTACAGTAGTTGTGAACTGCATACCATATTTCCATGGGTGACAAAAAATAAAATAACTTAAATGTCGCTTAGGTTACTAAATGGTAACCCGAATGTACAGTACAGTACAAGCTGCTAATAGAGTTTGACGAATCCATTTGTCAGGCTCGTAAAATTTAACTCGACATTTGGAATTGCTCTTTGGACTTATTGCCCGGAATGTTTTTTAAAAAAAATATTGTATGTTAAATAATTTCGTCTATTGTTAGTTAAATAAAATATTAAAGTGATATCCCTGCAGTGAAGGGGTGAGGAACCTTTGAGAGTCCATCTTTGTGTCTTAACATTACTGTAGCGAGTTTAGAGATCTATTCGGACTTTATCAATGTCAACACGCCCTTATCCACCCCGGTAATTCATAAATAGAGCTACCTACTGTAATTTAGCACCTATCACATTAAAAAATGAATAAAGTATATACCTAGTACATTACCTTAAGTACCATGGGTTTTGTATAGTGAGAAAATAATGTAAGACTAACCTAACCTAACAAGCACTGGTAGTACCTAATGTGAAATATAACACTTGTAAACTATTACCTCAACAATCTACCAAACACATTTTGTATCATCTTGGACCAGGAATGCATTACAAGATAAATTATAATTTGTGAGTAGCGAGATGTGGAGACGAAAATGATTCCGGGACTTAGAAACCTTCCATATCAAGATATGTTAATGAAACTAAACTTGCATTCCCTAGAAAGACGAAGAGTGCGGGGAGATATGATAGAAGTATTTAAGTGGGTGAAAGGAATCAATAAAGGGGATATAGATAAAGTTCTTATAATATCCGAGCAGGATAGGACTCGGAGCAACGGATTCAAGTTGGATAAGTTTAGGTTTAGGAGGGAGATAGGAAGGAACTGGTTCATACATAGGGTGGTGGACGAGTGGAACAAGCTTAGCAACTTTGTAGTAAGTGCGGGAACTCTGGAGAGTTTCAAAAGGAGGCTAGATAGATTCATGGATGATAGAGAGTGGTAGTAACTCTCGACAGGAGCTGCCATGCACAGGCCAACCGGCCTATTGCAGACTCCTTATTTTCTTATGTTCTTCTTATGTTATGTATATTGCCTTTAAAAAATAATTACGACTCGGGTGGCACCTTAGGGATAATAATAAGTAGCCCGGAATGTTTAGAAGTGCTGGGCCTTCTATTTTGAAAATTGTAAGTTTAAAACTGACTTATCAATGAAATCTCATTGACTTGACCTTATAAACAATGCAATTTAAACTGATCCAGGTATTAGATATATTGAATATTTATCGGAATAAAGCCAAATAACCAATTTGAGAAATGTATTCCCAAACCATGGAAAGATGATGTTAAAATAGGTTACGAACTGAACTGAGTAATTACTTATGAGGAGATAAAAGATAATAATAATAATAATAATTAATATTTATTAATTTTAACTTATAAGACTAATATTAACCATACTACCAATATTAATTTTTACTACTAATAAATATTTGGTTCAAGATGTTCGTAGTAGTTTTACCAACACTAGACACTGTTGTGGCGAGGTGGTGAGACGCTCCTCAACCACTGAAGACAAAACTAAAAAACAAAATTAATAATGGCAGACGAGGGTGAGGCCTTTACACTGTGATATGTTGATAGTGATAAATTTAATATACAGCCACTTATTAGATAGCTAGGAGGTGTGTGCAGAAGAGGAATTTGTTGTCACGTAGTAAAAGAAATGATTGTGTCTTGAGCTATTTATTTGCGTCAATATTTAACAATTAACTCTTTTGATCAGGCTATTAATATTTAAATTTGTGCGTCTGAATGAAGGAGTAATCTTCACCTTCATTACGGGATGCTTCTTTATATCTTATTGGCTAACACCAGATGAATTTACTAGACCCCCATGCCTAAAGGGTTAGCCCTATAGTAAATTCCTGTCATGAATTTATGCTTGATACAATTGAGTTTACGAGGTGTTTATTATACTTTCAGGTGTTGAGAGTGTAATACGTGCAAACCGTGGTCTAGCAGCGATCCTGGCCAACATTGGGCGAGGGAACGAAGGAAAAAAAGATGATGACAGATTTAAGAAGCCATTTCCTCCAAAAGGTGAGGCAGACAGTCTATACAGTTATCTTGTCAGGTTTCAGAGCCAGGTGAATCAGGTTAAAGTATAAAGTACAGTACAATACCTCCAACATATTTTGGTAAAATTATCAATTCAGTCATCCCTGGATTTAGTTATCCAACCTAACCATCCTTACCTAACCTACATAATTTCAACCTAACCTAACCTAACCTAACCTAATTTAACCCAACCTAACCCAACTTAACCCATCATAAAATTCGGTGTACCTCCAACTCGGCCCATCTTAAATAGCCAACTCGGCCCACACATTACTACCTCGGCCCACCTTGCACACTTCAAAGTAGCTAACTAGGGGTCTGACTAATTACCCAAATGTAGCCAAATATAGCCGGAATGAAGTCAAATAATGGTCCTAGATGAATAAATCGGACTGCTAATCACTTCTCGACTAGTATTTGGTGTCACAAAGTCACAAAAAATTGGTAAACTTACTTTAATCTGAGTTAATAGATCGAGTGCATGTACCTAACCTAACCTAATCTAACCTCGACTAGTATTTGGTGTCACGAAGTCACAAAAAATTGGTAAACTTAATTTAATCTGAGTTAATAGATCAAGTGCATGTACCTAACCTAATCTAATCTAACCTAACCTAACCTAACCTAACCTAACCTAACACAACACAACTCAGATTAAATTAAGTTTACCAATTTTTTTTTTACTTTATGACACCAAATAATAATCGAGAAGTGATTCACAACCCGAATTACGCTTGTACGACCATCATTTGACTTCATTGCGGCTACATTTGGCTACATTTGGGTAATTCCTCGCTCCGTCGGTACATGCACGCGATCTATTAACTCAGATTAAAGTAAGTTTACCAATTTTTTGTGACTTTCTGACACCAAATACTAGTCGAGAAGTGATTAGCAGTCCGATTTATTCATCTAGGACCATTATTTGACTTCATTCCGGCTATATTTGGCTACATTTGGGTAATTAGTCGGACCGGCTAACTAGAGGTTCAGGAATGAGTTTGAGATATGTTTTATGTCTCTTTTGGTTCACTGAAACACAAAAAGTGTGAATGAGTGAACACTGAGGGTTCACTCGGTATGAAGGAGGAATTTTATGAGTTTATGTTAGTAGAACGTGATCAATGAACCGTGATTCACATTCGAAACTTGTGCTTCTCCAGGTGATTTCTAATAGGGTTTGAAATCATTGCTTCCAGCAATTTGCTTACAATTGATGTTGAACTGATTGGACGGTAGTCAGAGGATAGTGAACTATCTCCCTTCTTGAAAATTGGTATCACATTCGCTATCCTCCAGGATTCTGGTACTACACCCGATTTTAATGACATGTTTAACAAATTTACTTAGGGCATACTGAGCTCTTCCTTACATTCCTTTAATGCTCTGGCAACTATATCATCGGAGTAATTATTCAGGACTAACCCGCAGCTGAAATTGATCGAAAACAATTATAAAAACTCCGGATTTTCTGGAGGTTTTCTTTAGAGTGAACACTGTTGAAGTTTGTGCAAATGTGTTTAAAAAATGGATATTTTTAAAATAAACGTAACTTAACATTTGTGAGTATGAAAAACAGACCAAACCAACCTAACCAAACAAACCTACCTAACCTTACCTGACTTCCTTACCGGTGGGCTCCCCCCCCCTGTACCCCCCGGTATATTAAACAGAAAGAACTTACTATGATTATGGTGAAATTTGAGGCATTTACTGTCATGGCGGGTAACGTTGAGCCACGGCGTTGTGGAAGTGATGAACAAATTTCTTTCCAGTCTGAAAGCACAGGAATTCCCTCAGTCTCTATTTAACGGAACAATGTTGTGGTCTTTGAATAATTGAAGAGTCTCGTCTTTATCCCTTAATTCGCAAATTACGTCCATATAAGACCGGCGACAACCTTCACATGTCATGCTGAAAATGAAACTGCTGTGGGCCCGGGGAAAAGCACAGAACCATAGCGCGGCCTCATTACCAAGAGGAAGACAAATTAGTGGGCTCATAGGCGCCTAATTATTTATGAAACAAAGAATTTGCACAAGAAATGATTATCATATCACAACTCCTGATGAAAATAATGAAAGAAAATAAACTAATAAAAATAACTCGTCCGCAGATTAGTCGTATATATATTAACCGTCATCGGGACCTGGTGACTTATTAGGCTTTAGCTTGTCTCTTTGCTTACCAACATCGTTACTAGTCACTACTGTCTCACTTAATCTATTTTCTTCACTGTCTCTGTATATAGTCGCACCGGCTATATCATATTTAAATTTTCGATGGTGAAAACTGTTGAAAAATACCTGTTCAGATTATTGCTCATTTCTCCGTCGTTATAAGTTAGCGCACCTGTATTGGTCCAATTTTGTCTCATGTTTTAGTTTGATACATTTGAAAGAATTCCTTGGGGTTTGACTTCGCCTCCCTTGCTACCTTCAGTTCATTATTCCTCTTTGCTTTTCTTATCTCAGTCTTAACCCTACCGGCCAATACCTTATAATAATCTCGGAAGTAAACTTCTCGATTTAGTCACCAACCTATAGCCTTCCTTTGGCCAATAATATTCTTTAAATAATTATGTATCCATTTGAGGTCATTGTTATTTGTGCATTAAGTAACTCATTATTTAAATTGTTATGAAACTCATCAACCTCAGATCTCGTGATCAGGCTATCCTTAACCGTCATATTTTGTGAGGGTGTCGTTGTCAGGTCTCCAGGTAGAGTGGTCTTAATTGTGAACTAAATGTAAAATATAAAATTATATATGTAAAAGTTAAAAGACCACCTCCACATATGTACATTAATATATTTATAATATAGAATGAAAAGATAATTAATAACAAATCAATTCCCCCCCCCTTAAAATCTATGCTGCTTTTTATCATTCATGCAAAAATTTGTAAACTTTTACTTTTTAGTCCGAGTTTGTTAACCTAAGTGGCCTGAGTTGGTTATCCGAGATGGTCCGAGTTGGTATTTGATGGTCTGAGTTGGATTTGGGCCGAGTTGGACTGTAACCCTAAAATTCGCTAGATGACCGAAACGATGATACTTCCCACATTTTAACCATTTCATATTTATGCCAGACCTACAATTGTGTAGGGTAATATCTGTTTGTGCATTAATGTGTATATCTTTATGTAAAAATATGTGTGTATGGGAGTACAGGACTGTACTTGTGGTAAAGAACTACCATATACTGTACTGTATTTTAGAATATTCCACATTACAGCACCACCAGCACCAGGATTTGTTTAATTTCGTTCATTTTTTCCACAAATGTTCTTATCATTATAGTAACTATTTTGAAAGAGGCGATAACTTTGTATTTTAATTATAAGTTTTCTCTCTATCTACAATTATAAATCACCTGTAGTGGACAGGGCATGAAGGATGAGGGAAATTGCAGGATAAAAACATGGTTAATAACTGATCATGTGACACTAAAATGAAGTCTCTACATGCTTTGCACAGGAAGAAATTAAATTTTTATATTAAATATTCGGCCGAAAATTCTGTCCTGTTAGCGCGTATTCTCGTCCGATTGTAAACAAATAAATTCAGATTCCAGTCTTACTTAAATTGTTAACAAACGAGTTGTGTCCATAACATGCACAAATCCCATATAATTTTCTCTGCTCAGTAGGTTCTTAACCTTATTCAATTTATAAATGATGATCATCATATTGTTAGAATTGAAGTTACTGTGGGTAAGGTTAGGTAGGTTCTTTGGTTGGTTAAGTTCTAGTTAATGTTTTCTCTTTTAAAATACTTACTATAATGATAAGAACATCTGTGGAACATTGAACAAAATCAAACAACTCCTTCTGGTGGTAGCAGTGTTCTCATACATTACCCGTGATAATAATTCACCCTTTAGGCAGCAGGCAGGGTCGATCATACCCGGAATGTCAGTAGGAATAATTGCTGGCTTTTCTTCATCCATAGTCTTAAGAAATATGACCCAAGTAAGAGAAAGAAATGTGAAAAATACTAAGATAGAGATAACAGTGGGAGTTACAGTAATAGATAATGAATTGATTTATTGCAGTTTCTCATGAGATGTGTGTTGGTGTGCTTGTCAGAATATTTACACGTCTTCCTTCAATATTTACAGCAAAGGTGCCCAGAAAAATACCGCAGCCACAGAAACAACCACAGAAACAGGAACAGCAACAAGGATTTGACCTGGACACCACAGTAGAATTTTCAGGATGGGAAGACATCAGTTCACATCAAAACATTGGTTTTCAGGGGGAATACACAAAGGACGATTGTGACTCAAGAGCAGGTGAGCTTTTATAATACAGTATTTATTACCTTTGTGTGTGTGTGTGTGTGTTTCAGAATTTGATTTGAGTTTCATGATGCATAATGGTATAGATTGATGTTGTTGGCACAGAATCTTGAGCATAATAAATAAAGTAAGTCATATACCATTTGAAGAACAATAAAACATGAAAAAATATAAAGGTATAGCCCTCCCGGGAACAGGTCACTGACCCATATCTGGGGAACAAGAAACAAATTGTATACAAAAAAACAAATGGAAAAAATAAAACAGATGAAGAGTAAGAAATAATATATTGTGTACAGTATATATTGTATGTAAATGACAACACATTATGCTTCCAAAATCTTCCCAGGTGGTAGTACCTCCCTGTTTGATAGCTGCCTACTACCTACTACCTTGGAGTATTCAAAAGAAACACACACTGTGGAGGCACTGAAACCCTCAGAGCCTCAGGGGGAATAACATAGAAAGTAGGAAGTTTAAATATGTGGTGCACACAAAAAATGCAGATCCTGCGATAATTGTTGTGTACAGTCAAAACACAGACATCAAAGAGTTAGACGCACACACATACAGTAAATAATTGACTGCAAAATGAATGTGGACATGCTCATACTCATGAAGAATTAAGAGCCTTTTTCAAGTTTTATTACAGCACAGTACCTGCTTATGGTATTACTGTATTTTGGTCTTGTTTGCAAAATGATTTGAGTTCACGATACATAGTTCCTTCTTGTCACACTTTATATTTCTTCCTGGGAATGATTTAATGTGTGGCATTGTGGTCGCATGAATCCCAGTCACAAGACTTTCTAAGAGGAATAACTTACAGAACCAGAAAGTCAGGGAGACAACCACATAAACTATGCTTGGTTTGTGACAAATTCCTCTATGTGGCAAGAAAATACATAATCAGGATGAGAAAAGTGTCTTTATGATGGGTCACCTGGAGGACAAACTTATTTGTTTTGAACAGAACCCCAGAGTTTAGCTACTACTCACTGCACAGCATTGTGCGTTATCATATTGAAAAATTTAACTTAGTCTGACAGGCTGTTTCGTTTGTTTTGTCTGCCATACGATATTTAACTTATTTTTTATACCGTTGAGAGTTTGAAATTGTTTACATTTCTATAATGTGAAAAAATTCAAGTTAATGAATAATACAATGAAAAGTAAGTTATATGGGATTGAGTACAGTATGTTATAGGATAATTGAGTAAACTGATATGTACTGTACTTTGGAAGGTGAAGTCACTTGTGTACTGTACAGTCAATCCTCACATTACGCGGTCCCGCATTCCGCGTTTCACCGTTAACGCGGTGCCTTGCCAGAACCTAACATGCTCACATTCCGCGGTCGTGAACCCCATTACGCGGAGAGCGGCTGGCAAGCCGCGCCATTTTTGGATCCAAACCTCCCGCCATCCGCCATGTTGTGTAAGAGGCGCGAAAATGGTGCGCACAAGGTCGCCCAGTCATCAAAACATTACCGAGTTCTTTACCCGCCACCCACCACAACCGGCCCAAGTCAGTGATAGTGATAATTATAGTGAGGATATGGACTTATATGGACTTTGAGGGGTTTAACAAAGAGGCCCTGCAAGCCTCTGTGGTGGATAGTGATACAATTGATACCAGTGATACAGGTGAGGGCCAATACTCTGCCCTCTGCCTCGGAACCAACCCCCCATCCCCGTGTGCCCAGCCATCTTTTCTACTAATGTAAGTGTTAAAAAACCTAATATTGTTGATATTTCTCTTAATTATTAATTGTGTGTGCATGCCATCATAAAGTTAAGATAATATTTTTACTACAACATAGTTGTGTGTCGTCAAAAAGTGGAGTTTGGGGATCGGCCTGGACTCCATTTCAATTAATCCCATATGTTATGTTGTTCACTTTACGCGTTCCTCACTTTCCGCGGTACCCTCCGGGTTACATTAACCGCGTAATGTGAGACCCAACTGTATATGAAATATTATGTGCTTACATCATAAGATAACCATATTATCTGGTGTTGTCACGTGACTGCTGGGCTGGCAAGCAGAATCTTTGTACTTTATACCACTGAGTGATAAAGTTTTATTGTCAAACTCAAAGCTGAGAGAGAGAAGACTAATTGAAATCTCTGCATAAGAACAACTTAATAGTTTTAGCTCAGTCATTGTTTTTGATGGTGGTTTCTCCGTCACCACAAACCTATTAATGCTTCCTCTGTGTTACTTTAGGGAGTAGAATAATAAATATATCCACAGGATTTGAACTTGACACTTCTCAAGATGAGAAGACAGACAACAAAATACACAGGCAGGAACAAGACACAGACGTTGGCGACCACATAAACAAACAAGATGGAGATAGTGGTGATAGCAGCGAACAGAGAGAAGAAGCTAAAGGAAAACGAGCCGCTGATAATACCACTCAAATTAGCCATAACAAAGATGAAGACGTCTACGGTCCAAAAGAGTTGAGCTCTTGGAGTGACATCTTAGAATACAATGATGACCACGACTCCGCATGGTTTGAAGCTGAAAACAAGAGATTGGGTGAGTAGTGTCAGTCACTCTCTTTATACGGTTCAGCGTGTGATTTGTTGTTGTTAACATTATTCTGTTAGTGTAAACCTAGAGAATACAGTACGTAGTTTGTTTGCTAATCCTTTTATTATTAAACTCCGTATATCATAGGGACACACTGCTAAACTCATGTCTGTCTGTAAGCTAGTTCTGATATGACAAAATGATTATACTGTAGACAGAACTGCAGTGTTGATAGAGATGCGTTGAGACAATGGGAAGAGCAGGACTGGATGCAAGAAAGTACGGTATAATTCTAAGATGGATGATACGAGAGACTGTAACTGGGAGGTGGATGATACGAGAGACTGTAACTGGGAGGTGGATGATACGAGAGACTGTAACTGGGATGTGGATGATACGAGAGACTGTAACTGGGAGGTGGATGATACGAGAGACTGTAACTGGGAGGTGGATGATACGAGAGACTGTAACTGGGAGGTGGATGATACGAGAGACTGTAATTGGGAGGTGGATGATACAAGAGACTGTAACTGGGAGGTGGATGATACGAGAGACTGTAACTGGGAGGTGGATGATACGAGAGACTGTATAACTGGGAGGGATGAGAGGAAAGAAAAGGGAAGAACAAGGAAGTGATAGGAAGAGAAAGGATTGGGGGAGGTAGAGGAGGAAGGAGAGAGGCAGTAGGAAGGAGTGAGGGAGGTAGAGGAGGAAGGAGAGAGGCAGTAGGAAGGAGTGAGGGAGGTAGAGGAGGAAGGAGAGAGGCAGTAGGAAGGAGTGAGGGAGGTAGAGGAGGAAGGAGAGAGGCAGTAGGAAGGAGTGAGGGAGGTAGAGGAGGAAGGAGTGAAATATTGTGTGTGTGCATAACTAAAAACTCTTGTTATAATTATTTTCATACCGTACATGTTTGTTTTCTCCTAGCTGAAAAGTATGGTGGTACATTCATCATAGTGAAGTACACAGACAGCCAGCCAGTAAGGGTGGGATACTATTGTGAGGTAGGTGTGGCAGTGCTGTGTTTTCTCACTCTAGTTTGGGTGTGAGTATTCTCCATGAAGGTAAAGCGTTATTAAATGCTTTTGAAATTATAGCTGTGTAGTGTATAACCTGAGATATATTTAGTTGCCGTAAGAACAAATGACTCGTACAAAGAGTTTCAAGATTACTTTATCAAATTTCCTATACTGTACCTCGAGTAGTACAGTCTAATTTAACTTTGTGTATTATTTTTTATATTTAGATAACCATTATTTCAAGTAATGACATGAACTTCCTTGATTACAGCTTTGTTTTGCAGAAATGAATGCAAAGAAGTCCTTGGAATCACATTGCATGGGTATGAAGCATTTGAGGGTAAGAATAAATCATTTTAGTTCTCTGACTTGGGGTAATGTGTCTACTTTATATACACATCTTTACCCAAAAAAATTATTCATTATTTAAATACTCCCTGGCCTGTATAGTGTAGTGTAGGTTGACTATAGTACTATCATCACTTGATGTTTGTGTGTGTGTTAACCTAAGAATTATTCAGGATAACTAAATAGCCTTATAGTTTGGAATATATTGATTTGGAACTAGGTCAATATTATGACTCAGAGATGTGTATGTGTAGTTTTGGGGTCAGGGTCACTTAATTAGCAGGCAGGGCAAGGGGCCTGTTGTGTATAAACAGTGCAAGCATTCATGGCAATCTGTAAGGCAGGCAGTGTGTATTACAGTGTTGTGAAACACCCTGTTTTCTGATTCTTCTTTTTTTTTAATTAATTCATTTTTTGCTTCATTTCAGAAAAAGAATATATGGGAAATGAATCAAGGTGAGTGTCTTACTTGTTGTGTAAGTATTATACATGTTGTGCTTGTTGAGTGTTTTGCCTAGTATTGTAATTGTCTTGTGAGGGTGTTGGAGGTTACCAGTAACTGTAAGATTGACAGCCATCATCAGTGGAAGTTAGCTGTAGGGGTGGCACCCATCATCAGTGGATGTTTTTTGTTCCTTGCATTCCATTTTTGTGCATACGGGGATGGAGTACAGCATCCTTAGCTACCATTTAAGGTTAAAATCAAAGTGAGATGCACATGTCTCCTCCACACTGTGTTTTATAAGTATGACCCCAGAATCATCTGAAAATGTCTTGGGTTTTATTAGGTTATAACCGTTTCAAGGGAATTTACACTTGAAGATCACCATTATGCACGATATTCATGCAATTGTACAGTAATCGAATTTGTAGTTTATGATGCCATATATAAATGCTAGTGTCACTTATCTCTTTCAGGTTATGTTAGGTTAGTTTACATTACCAATGTGTAGTTTATTAGGTTGGGTGAAGCTCGTAATGTTCCCTAAGTGTGGCTTGGTTAGGTTATGTAGGATTGGTTTAGTTTTGTGTGGTTTGTCAGGTTAGAATGCTGTGTTCATTTCCTGCACTACTACTGTATATCATTAAGTTACACCCCTTTATTGTGCTTATATATGTTGGCTTTTTCCAAGTAAGAAGTTTCTTATTTTCTTATGCAGAGTGGGTAATTTCATGTACTTTTAAGTAGGTGTTGTTGCTGTAGTAGTAATGGGAGTGGGGGATCAATTCTTTGAACATCAAAATGTGATTTTATGGTTTTACAGGAAAATCTGTTGAAGAAAAAATTGAAGCTCCTCCTGAAGAACCTAATAATAAAAATGAAGGCCAAGCAGGAAGGAGACAAGACCCACCACCTAGACGAGGTCGATCTGATAGGCCGCGACCTTCTCAGGGGCGTCCCCCACCACATCCGAGGTATTTGCAGTATAGTGTTCACTTACCACAGTCAAAATAGGATAAACTTGTAGAATCTTACCCATATACTTTACTTAATTATCCACTCCACGTCATCACTGTTGAAAATTTATGAGTACAGGATTAAAAAACTAGAGGCAGTGTTTTATAATGTGTCCCTTGGGTGTTAACTTACAAGGTTGATCAGCTTGGTCCACACCATAGCCTCTCTTACCTTACCCTGCCACAGACTAGTCCACTTCCATAATGATGTCACAGTTTTTGTGCATAATATTGTGGGTGAAAAGGGGGACTATATATAAAGATGGATGGTGATAGAATAACATGTAGTCAAGCACTTTTATAGACTTTTATGAACAAAAAAATTCTAGTTTTCTTACACCAACACTGCTGTGTAAATGATTCCACAATACTGTGTATGCTACACTTTAAGTTGGTTTACACATATGATGATTATATTGGATCAGGGTTAAAGAGCTCACCCCTCATCTATTGAGAGTTCAGAGCTTAAAAGCTGGAAACATTTCACGTATTGGTCACCTGCAAGTAAGTGAGGAACTCAATATTTGTGTCTTGGTAAGAAATTTTGAATTGTATGTGTTCCGAGAAAGGAAAAATAATGAAATTGTAGAAAGAGTAATGGAAGGGAAATAAAGTTTTTCTTGGGACGATACATGAAAATATGCAGAAATTAGGAGGCGAAATGGAAGTGTGAACAGAAAGTGGATTAGGTTATAGTATAGTAAGGTGGTAAGAACATTTTGAGAGAATGGAAAGATTAGTACCGGTAATTCAGATTTGGATGGTAGGAGGGTAAGGGGAAGACCTAGATGGCAATGGATGGATGGATAATAGATGAACATCCAGGAAACAGCAGTGTTTCTGAATGGTTGTACCATTACATAGCTTGCAGGTTCTTGACATTGTCTGTTCTCATTCCAGACAGTATTATACCTCATTGTTTTTATGGCTTATACAATTTTTCTTTCAGAGGTCACTATGAAAGTCGTGATCGTTCTGGATATGGTGGGAGAATGGGTTCAGCTGGGAGGGACTACAATCGCTATTATGATGATTATGATCGAAGGTCTCCATATGGTGGGGGTCGTTATGACAGGGGTAAGTTGTCTTACAGTTTTATGATGATATCTCCTCAAAACCTCTGCATTCTTCTGTTTGAATCATAGGAGGGGGCACAAATGGAGATGGTGGGGGGGGGATTCTAAGATAATGAGAGGTGAGGAGGGAACAGCAGAACAGAGATGGAAAAGGGAGGTGAAAGATGCACCAAGAAGCAACAGTGTGTGGACAAACAAGAGAACATGACATAGACTGATTTTTGTGAAAGGATGTAGTACTGCCCTGGGTAACCTAGACCTGGGATGTTGTGTAAGGGAAGCATCACATCAGAACTTTTACAACATTAAGAATGATGGAATAATGAATGAAGAGTAAATATGATTTGCCCTTATATCCAATTACCTTGCATTAAGTGGGGAAAGGCTTAATGCAGAAACAACATGAAGTTAAATGCCTGGGAGTTAGAAGAGGTGTGGAGATAGTTTACACTACAAAAGTAAGGTGGGTTGGGAAACAAATTACTGTAGTTTAAACAATGCTCTACATGACGGATTTTATTTTTTCTCTTTTTTTTATAGAAAAGAAAGAGCCATCATCAACAGAATGGTTGTCCAGTTAGATTTTCTATTTGGTTTATTTATCTTAAACAGATGAGCATTTGTATCCACTCCCAGTGGTAGTCCCTCCATCAACATCTGAGAAAGAGATCATGATGAGAAATGGCCCAAATATGGTATCCCCAAAAGTTTCTTTATTGTACGTCTCTATAGTACTGTAGTTTGTATCATGGTTTTGTTATTTGGTATTTTTAATTGTTCGTGTAATTTGTTTCTATATTACTGTACTTACCTTCATAAGTAAATGGATTTACAGTCCCCCAAAAAAGTATCGTTAGCCGTGGGGTCAATGTGATTTGTGGCGTTCCAAGCAATGTTGCTCGACCTGTTTTTTAACTATTGGTAGTTCTACATCCATGACCATTGAGCATGAATGAGTATATACATTATTAAACGATGTGACTCCCCCGAGGCTTCAGATCATACATTACAGGATTGAGTGGATGTCGTAAATGGATACCAATGCCATGCCAGTCAACAATGGGATCTTACGTCGAATGGAGCGAGGAATTATTGGAGAGACATCACAAGATGTGAGAGGTGCTATTATTGCCCTTCAAAACAATGTTATAATGCTGAGATAGTACGCAGAACTGGGGTGGACAAACCCGCAGAAGCACAATGGGTTAGGTACCATAAAGCAACTGGTGCCACCCTGAAACATTATTTCAGTGTTAAGTCAATGAATTTACATATCAGTAACATGACAGATCCCATTAGAATGATATTTTGTTTATTGCTGTAGCTGTTCACTCTAATATTAAGTACTATTGGCTTAGTCACTTCATAAATCAGTATGAATGAAACTCCTTGAGTACAACGATGTAATGGTGAAATGTCCATTTTGAGGTCTGTCTCAGTCTCGGTTATGATGTTCCAAAACATTTCCAATTAATATATATTTCAATGTCATTGTAAACATTAGTCAGTGGCTTGTTTACATATACCTTGCTTCTACCCAGCATGATACATACATAAGGACAGCTTAACGGATTTCTTGTTCTATTAAAGTATCCAGTATGCCATACATGGACGACTCCCTCCTCCCATCTCTAGCTGTTGCTGATATGGGGAGCAGGCATACCAACTTGGGGGGGACTGTACATCAGCAATAGAGATACAGTAGACCCTCAATTTAACACTAGAGTGACACCAAGAATTGTTATGCAGTATCAAAAGGTCCTGTGTGTTGTTATTGTCACTATATTATTATTATTTCAGGAAGATATGACAGAAGCAACGTTCCATACAGTGACAGGCAGACATATGATGACTTACATTACAGAAGCAGGTTTGTAGAATCACTTACTGTTAAAACTTAATGGAGTTTTTAGTGTATTTACCCGTCCTTCTTCATACCTTTCAATATATCGGATGCTTCATTTTGTCGGCAACTCCCTGTAAGGATATTTCCATGACCTCTCTGTTAGCCCCTACACAACAGCCATTATTAGTGGAAGTTAGCTGTAGACACAGTGACCATTATCAGTGGAAGTTAGCTGTAGACACAGTGACCATTATCAGTGGAAGTTAGCTGTAGGGACAGTGACCACTATCAGTGGAAGTTAGCTGTAGGGACAGTGGCCATTATCAGTAGAAGTTAGCTGTATGGACAGTGGCAGTTAGCTGTAGGGACAGTGGCCATTATCAGTGGAAGTTAGCTGTAGGGACAGTGGCCATTATCAGTGGAAGTTAGCTGTAGGGACAGTGACCATTATCAGTGGAAGTTAGCTGTATGGATGGCAGCCATTAGCAGTGGAAGTTAGCTGTAGGGACGGTGACCATTATCAGTGGAAGTTAGCTGTAGGGACAGTGGCCATTATCAGTGGAAGTTAGCTGTAGGGACAGTGGCCATTATCAGTGGCAGTTAGCTGTAGGGACAGTGGCCATTATCAGTAGCAGTTAGCTGTAGGGACAGTGACCATTATCAGTGGAAGTTAGCTGTGACCATTATCAGTGGACAGCAGTTAGCTGTAGGGACAGTGGCCATTATCAGTGGAAGTTAGCTGTAGGGACAGTGGCCATTATCAGTGGAAGTTAGCTGTAGGGACAGTGGCCATTATCAGTGGAAGTTAGCTGTAGGGACAGTGGCCATTATCAGTGGAAGTTAGCTGTAGGGACAGTGGCCATTATCAGTGGCAGTTTCTAGTTGCTTGCATTTACTTTTTAACATAATGAGGTGGAATAGGAGAATTCTTAGCCACCATTTAAGAGTTAATAAATATTGTAAGATGTCATGAGGAATAGTATAATTACTATAAGTATCAACATTTGAACCAGATCTCACCAATGTTATTCACTGACAGTATATGAAAAAAAGTGAAGAATACTGTTTCCGAATTTAGTAATACTGAAAAAGGACCAAGGGTTGAACAGGAAATTTGAAGGCGTCAACATTATATTATCTTACTTGTACTTCAACATAACACTTCCTTTGCACATCTGATGATACTAGATAATCTTTATATAATAGTCACTTTTGTTACCTTTTAACTAATATATTATCAGTCCAGTAAGGCAACGAGACAGACTAGTGAGAGTGCTTCCAGCATTGTCTGAATATCTTGTAATTATAAATAAATTTGCTATTAAATCTAATTTCACAAACCTTAGTGAGGATACTGTGGATAAGATCTTGAATGGGATTTCACTTGATTAGTCTGACATTTTATGATCTTTGTAAAATTTTCCAGAACATTAGAAACGTTGTTAACCCTTTTGTTGCATCTGTATCGTATACAATCATGTGGTTTTAAATTGGTACATGCACCTGAAGAGCAAAAATGCAGCTGTATTATAATTAAGTATTTTTCTACCAAGTTGAAATGTATATACGGTATTTGAACTCGGCAAAAAAAAACCTTTTTTTTTATTATACATTACTTGTATAACAGATTTTTATTTATTTTTATTTATTTTTTAATGTCCATACACAGGATATCCTGATTAATTACTGACGTCATAGTGAAAGGATTAAGAAATAATAAATTTGCCTTTAATATTTGCTTTTTTTGGGTCATACTGTAATCATCCATCACATCTTCTCATAGGGCTGATTCTGACCCATACCCTTATGAACGTAACAAACGCCGCACTCCACCTCCTCCAAGGATATCCTCAACCCAGAAAACCTTACCAGCTGTTCCACTACCACCCCTAGATGCTCCTGTTCATGGGCCAACTGGAACACTTCTCAAACAACTGGTATGTTAGCAGTTATAAGTAGAAAGTTGGTGGAAATGTAGATTAATTAAGTGAGAAGGTTGGTGTTAATGCCAATGAAGTACATGTTGAAATTATATTGTGAATTATTTTGAGAATGGAGAAAGTGTAGTTTTTTAACAAGAGTGTATTGAATAGGGTTGATAGCAGACAAATTATTGGATACAAGAATAACCAAAAATACTGATCTAATGTAAAACAGTTGTCGTTTGTTGCTAACATACTAAAAAGCAGTATTCTTTTAGTCTGACTGTGAGGTGAGGGATGAAAAGGATGTGGATCTTGCCTCCGATGTTATCACCATGCTTTTAAAGGGTCTCTCGGATTTCCACAGGAAACAAGGTTCTTCCAGTTCTGTTCATGTAAGTACAGTAATTGAAAATATCTAGTTTATAAATTAAACCATACTATGCTATCACATTGTAGCGTAAAGGAAATTTACAATTTAGGAGTCATTGGTATCTGTTAAGAAGAATGACAGTTGACTGCTGTGTGAAAGTGGAAAAGTGATGAGATGAAAGTTCCCTGATTAATCAGCGAAGAATGAATCACTGTAAAGCAGTGGTCATGTAGACAATGAATCGGTGTGAAACAGTGGTCATGTACAAGTCTTGGTTTTCATTGTCTTTTGAACATGTAGAGAAGAATTGTTATGGTAAGTTTTTGTTCCATATTAGTTATCAAAGACACTGGGAGAGGTATTTGATATATATTTGGTCCATCACATGACTCCATCCATCAATTGAGTGGTTGAGAACACAGTAATTCACACTACTAGCAATGGTTTTGTAACCATTCTATATACAATATAAGATAGTTGTATGACAGATCATTAACAGTTTCTTCTTGTACAGTACGCCATATAACTTTTTTTCTCGTGATTTTGCACTATTCTTCCACTTTTAGATATGAATGAAATACCATACTGGTTGATAAAGAAAGTTTTTAAGTTATTTTTAGCTTTAAAAGAACTTAATTATTAATATTCTTTAATTAAGAATCATGTGATTATTTATTGGTCAGCTAAGAAAATACAGTCATGCTGTAAAAAGAAATTTCAATTTAAATGTCTCTTTCTCTCCCACAGTTGATATCAGAGGCACAGATCAAATTTGACATTATGAAAGAGCTCATAAATGTGCCCAACCCAGAGGTGTCAACTTGGATGTGAACCACACAGATACAACAAACACCAGAATATCATAATGCAGCAGCCATTACTGAACAACCAGTAAGCTTCACCTTGGATGTGAATTATTGTACAAATGCAATAAACAGTAAAATATTTATGAAGTAAACACTATGAAAAAAATTCTTTAGATTTATCCCAGCATAAACTGGTCATGTAGAGGGGAAATATTTTTATATTTTTTAACAAAGTGCTCTGGGGATTGGTCCTGTAACAATAAATATTATAGGAAGGAAGATCTCAGCTCCCCTAAAAAAAAATACAGTATACAGTTGTACCCCACTTAACGCGGTCAATTGAACCCAGAGGGTCCTGTGGTAAGTGAAAACCGTGTTAAGTGAATAACAGAACATATGGGATTAATTCCAATAGAAACCAGCCCGACCCCCAAACTCCACTTTTTGACGACAAATAACTATGTTGTAGTAAAAATAACATCTTAATTTTATGATGGTACATGCACACAATTAATACTTAAGAGAAATAGAGAAATACAGTCGCCAAGTTAATGTCCATTCAAATAATGGACTCAACTCCCTCCCCCTCTTCTCACACTACACTCACTGGCTCTTCCCTCTGAGAAATTTTTGGGGGAAAACCAGGTATAGTAATAAATAATTCCTCAAACTAAAGTTAGGATAATATAATTGACATTGCTGGATTCCTTGTAAGACCAGGAATATTTTGAATATAAATGTCATATATTTTTCACAAAAGATAACATATTTACTCAGAATAAACTTTACATCAAAAATTTGTATGTCTAATGCAAAATCTATGATGTTTATATTCAAAATGATCAGCAAATTGTAAGAATTCCAGCAATGTAAATTATATTCTGGCCGGATAATTTGTATGAATTTTATGAGCTAAAACAAATATCTTCAGTTAATAAAAAAAAAAAATATATTCTTCGACACTATCTGTCAATCAAAGTACCCCACCTTGCCTTCCCCCCCTCTTCCAACCGCGTGGTCAGTCCCAACCCTCCCCCCACCCCCCACCAATCCTCCCTTCCAGAGTTTATAACATTTAGTATTAAATAATACCTCAGATTAAAGTTAGGATAATATAATTGACATTGCTGGATTCCTTGTAAGACCAGGAATATTTTTAATATAAATGTCATATATTTTGGACAAAAGATAACATAGTTACCTAGAGAACAATTTTTATCTAAAAATTGTATGTTTAATGCAAAATATATGTTGTTTATATTCAAAATGATCACCAAATTATAAGAATTCCAGCAATGTAAATTATATTCTGGCTGGGTAATTTGTATGAATTTTATGAGCTAAAACAGGCAGTCAGGCAGGGTGGGGGGTGGTGCGAATCTAAAAATAGCTCTCGAGCCGGACACTCACTCACCGCGTATATGATGAAAAATGCCGCGTTAAGTGAAAGTTCAGCTTTGGCAAGGCACCGTGTATATGCGAAAACGCGTTAAGTGAAAGCGCGTTAAGCGGGGTAAAACTGTACTAGTATTAAAAAAATTTCATATAACCATGTGTAAAGCTAAAGACCCACAACTGTACAAGACCTAAAATAATGTGAAAGCAACCAATTAAATGATATCGGTAGATGTATATAGACGAGGGAATTTAGATTTGTTTTGATACTTGTGGAGAATTCACTGAGCCAATGATCAGGAAGGGAGTGAAAAGCACAAGGTATTTTGAAACAATAATTTGCAACCTTTACAGTGAACAGGTAAGAGTAACTCCACAGCATCATTCATGTTAGCCTAACATTACATACAACCACCCAAAAAAAAAAGGATAACTGTATTTGGGTATTTTTTCACGCATTTGAATTTTACAAATTGGCTATGCAGTATAGTAAGTATTCGCTTAAAGTGGTTCCATTCCTGAAATAGATCAAATACGGAAGTTACGTTCCCCAGCCTCCCTTTGCCCCATAAAATACATTACATATACAGAAATTCAATGGAATTTTTTAGAAAATAGTATATATATACAAATAAACTAAATCATTTTGTATTGTACACACTGATGGACGGAGGTGTTTGGTGGGTAGTGGAGCAAAGGAAGAGGAGGGAGGCGAGTCACCGAGACCGGGCGGGTGGCTCCTCACCTTTCTCAAAACGGTTTAAAACCTCCATTTTTGTAGCAAGGCTAATGGTCTTCACAACACTGGCACTTGATGGGTGCTTGGAAGCCATTTTGAATGGTTAGAGTACATTTTTAAGAGCAAAAACACTTAAACATGCACTAATGCTGTAGTGGCCTAACAAAGACTGGGACTCCGTGACGCTCCGCGGGTGAGAGCGTAGCACGTCATGATAAGATGCGCCGTACAAAGTCCGTGACGACGTTATACTGAATCGGCGGGACGTTATCTGAATCATGGGTATCTAAAGAATAGCGACGTTATAACGAAACAACGTTAATTGAGGACTTACTGTAGAAGGTGCATAATTTAACATACGATAATCTCCCCATTAGCTGGAATATCTGGTATGCCCCGACAACAGATGTAAATGCGGTCTGTGAAGCAATAAATCCCATAAGAATATAACAAATTAGGGAGGTTGGGGACCAGCCACCCTCCAAAAACTATGTTGTTCAAACTGTCAAACAAGAAAAAACAGCAAACATAGTATGTATTAATTAATGAATGTAAGCAAAAATTGAGAGGTTATTCACCAGTGTTGAAGCATTGAGTCATCATTCCTTCCCTCAACCAGATCCTTTGGCTGAAGGGCTGGCTGATGCTTTGGCCACTGTTTCTGCCATTGAGAGTTTTAAAAGATTTCTCCACACATAGAAAAAATTACAGGCTAGTGTAAATTTCTGTGGGCTAATGGAAAATTTTTAGATTCAGCAGGTCTGCTAACACATTCACTATGATGTCCCATGCCTATAAACCTGTTCTATATAGTTACTGGAGAAATGCAGCCATCTGCATACATAATATATGGCTTCTCTTATAAAGAATTTTTTGGTTGGGTTACTATGTTGTGGATGGGAGGAGGGAGAGAAGATAAAATGAGGCGTCACCTTCGATACAATCTAACCTTTTATTCTCAAGTCAAAATACAAATTTTATATTAAATTTTTTGTTATCGAAGACTTTGTTATTTACGATGAATCTTGTGTCATAAGAGGCTGAAAATAGTAGAATATAATAATAATAATGAATCAATAATATTCAATTCAAAAACTGACCAAGACGGCATTCAGCAGGCAGGGAAGAGATTACTGTATCTCTGATACAGCTTGTCCTTTTATTTTGAAGTCATTTCAAATTATATATCGTATTTTTGTCTATTATTTAATATAAAGTATTACATCATTTATGAAGAAACATACACCATAAGAGGCTGATCATACAAGAATATTATAATAATGAATAAGTACTGTAACAACAAACTGGCAAATGCAGCACTTATGTAGTTATACTTTAAAATCAAGAATGTGTAATGCCATTTTAAGTGAATTGTTTGAAAATTGCTCATTTAGTGAACTGAAAAATAATGTATTTAGATCATATTAAATAAATATATGAAATAAGTGGCGGCTCCAAGGCAACGCCATTTTTTTACCTGAATGACAAGCGACATGGGTTGTGTCGGCTCCGTAATTATTGACCAGCATGTTAGTGACCAGTGCCGTACGAGAACATATGGTCACAGGTCTTTCAGGTCAGAATCTCCACCCCATGTACCCAGGGAGGGTAAGCTAAGGTGAGGTCAGGTCATCTGACCTAAAATTCTGAAGAAATCAAATATACCAAATGGTCATGACCTGATATTTATTCGTTTTGTACAAAATCCTGCACACAATCGTTCATACAAAATGTGCAAAATATACAAATAAAAAGTAATTATCATGTCAAAAACATAAAGGGAATAAACATTTCTTCATGCACTGGAGTTAGTACTCAGAGTGGGGAAGGGGGAGCAGCACGAGGGATCTGAGCTGCTTACTGTCTCCCAGTGTGTAGTGAAACAATTGCTAAATAGGCGTGCAGAATTGTTCACATTTAAGGATACAGTACTATCTATATTATTTTATGTGCAAATAATAGCTCCTTCCATACTCAAACCATCCTCTGGGCAATGTGAGTTCAGCCAGGCAGTCACCCAGCTGATTCATATCAGGGAGGGAGCACTGCTGGAATGGTGAGTCAGCTACACATTCACTTCCCACTCATACACACCCATGCTCTTCATTTTTCTTATTTTATAGTTATGCAGTACAGGTTCAGTATATTGTATTTTATTTATTTCTAAGCCACATTAGAATATTGTAATAACTTTATTTTATTTTTTCAAATTAGCACAGACAAGTGATAAATTCACTGAGCTAGTGAGAGCTGCTGGTTAGGTTGGCTAGTGTGAGACCAAAGCATAAGGGTGGTTCAGGGGGTCAGACACATATAAGTTGAGATAGCATACCCTGGGACCCTACTGTATCGTGGTATATTTTGTTTATTTACAATATATTATACGTGTACTGTACTGTGCAGTGGTGTTTACGTAAATAAATACAGCTCTGTCTCTGTCCATGCGAGATACTGTACATAGTTTAGACACTTAGAAAACTTACCCCAGTACCTGTTATTCCAGCTAACGGGGATATCACTGTCTAGAAAGTGCTGCCCAGCCATGCATCAAAAGACAGTTCTGTGGTTCTACATGCAGAAAGAGTGCATGCTTCTGCTGTGGATGATTGTCTTAAAAAACTTTGGATTTCATTCCATAAAAAAAAATCTACTATATACTGTAGTTATTTGCAGTTCTACACATCTGTTACCAGTTACATACTTTTTATATTTACTCTAGGACAGGACGTGCGCATTTACCCCAGTGAGAAGGTTGGCTCTCACTCTGGGCCCGGTGTGGTGTAAATACACACGTCCTGTACACGACACTTGTATGAAGTCATTAAAGATTTTCATAAATTTTCCTCTTACAAAGAATCCCAAATAATTCCCATTTTCTAATAAATCCTTGTGGCCTCCACTGATATAAATAATAATAATAATTACTTTTGTCATTTCAGTCTTCAGTGTATTTTGGGACCCAGGAACTTAATCTCATTTTCACTATGGATGACAAAGTTTTACAATGCACAGGTCTACAGGCAAGTAACCCT